ACATCAACACATCAATATGTCAATATGTCAACATGTCAACATGTCAATACATCAACACATCAACACATCAATATGTCAATATGTCAACATGTCAATACATCAATACAAACGAAACGGATCTCCAATGTTTTCGTAATGAGTGTCAGGGCTATGTTGATGACATCATCAGGGCTATTGATACCCGGGGGTGTCGCGCACGTGACGGCCCCCAGGGCGAGGCTGTGACAATCTGCTGCGCTCAGCCTACAACAACCTTTGACGGGTTGTACCTGAAATATTTTGACAACCCCACGTCTATTGCTCTGGGTTTATAATTTATATAACATCTTGACATCTGGGATAGTTGGGAATTGGGTTCCTTATGCTAAGTATGGATCACCAGTTTCTAGGAGTCGACTCCTACAAGTCGCCTCAGTTGCATGTTCCGCCCATGGTCCCCCAGTTTGAGTTTGATAATAGCAACACCAGTGCTGGTGTTGGCAATGAACGAGTCACCACCACCGGTGGTGGTGGTGATCGGGGCCTCATGGCGCCCATCCCGCCGCTCCACATCCAGCAGCAGCTAGTCAACAACTTGGACCACGAGCAGATCAGCCCGCTTGAACCACTGCCCAACCACCTCCATCCGCTCAACACCCACCGCTTGAGCCACTCGTCCCAGTCGAGCGATCTCTCGAGCCCGGTCAACAGTGTCAAGTCCGACCAGGCCACCGAGTCGTTTCGAAGCAGCTGTTCCCGCTGCAAAAAAGAGTTTGACCAGCCCATCATCATTCCGCAGGCCGCCGCCGGCTCCAAGCCGTTGGTGGAGCCCAAGATATATAAACTCTGCCAGCACTGCCGGGACTTGCAACGCCATCGTAGTCGACGTTGGCAGAAGAAAACAAAGGAAAAACACGGCGCTTGTCGAAGATGTGGTGCTGAAATCCCTCCCGATGAACAGAAGTTTGTCTTGTGTCCCGGTTGTAGAGCCAATCTACGAACAAGAAAGGCCAATCGGGCGGCCCAGGGCAAATGCGTCCACTGCTCCGGGCCCTTGGACGCTTCCATCATTACTGGTAATGAAAAGGACTCTTCAAATCCCTCGCAGAGAACAAGTTACAAGGTTTGCCAACGATGTAGAGAAAATGACAAGATTAGAAGAACTAACTTGGAAAAAATGGGTAATTGTAATCGTTGTGCTAAATCGTTGGATCCAATCGATCACGGCAAACATAAGGTCTGTTCCAATTGTCGGAATCGTAAGAAGAAATTAAATCAATCAAATTCAAAATCTCCCAATATCCCGCTACACCAACCGTTGGTCCAACCAATCCAACTGGTCCAAGTCCACCACTTGCAACAAGCCCAGCTATTGGCCCAGGCCCAAGTACAGGCCCAAGTCCAGGCCCAGGTCCAGGCCCAGGCCCAATTGCAACTCCAGGCCCAAGCACAACTCCAGGCCCAACTACAACAACAAATGTTGGACGGGAATATCCACTACAACTTGGACCAGCAGTACTTACCCCAGCCTGTGTTCATGCCCGCGGCTCCCACCTCAACTACAACTTCGGCACCTCCTCCTACCGACCAGGTCTTACTCCAACCCCAACAACAGTTGATGATGCAAAATCGCTTTCGCAATAACTCAACCAACCTAACCGACTTTGGCAATAGCATGGCCGTTAGCCAACATCCCTCCATAGCTCCTGGCACCTCCGGCCAGTAATATATAGTTTGTTAATAATAAAAGTTTGCATAATTTATCTTGTATTTATTATTTGTATTGTATATTTGTTAGTGCAAGTGCTAAATCGTCAAAAGGATAACTTTTTTTAAACAGTGCTTTAATTGAGAAGAAGACAACAACACCCTAGAACCATGTCTGATATGTATATTCCCAAGGACCGTGCTCCTCCTCCTCCCAAACAGCATCCGTACCGTCAATTGAACGAGGTTAAGGAATCCCTGCTGGAAGAAAATATCTTACAATCGAAAACTTTGAAAAGAAAAAATTTTAAAAAATTAAGTCTTGAATCTTCCCCAGCACCTCCTTCAAATGATTTTAAGGAAACTCCAAAATCAATTAGACCCCAAACAGTTAAAATAAGACCAGCTCCTTTACTCAACCTAAACCATAAACAACCCATTAATCGAAATATCGATCCAGAGAATAAATCATCAACTAAAAATATAATAAATCAATTGGATGATTTAAACTTGAATGAAAAATTAAAAGAAAAAGAAAATTATAACATTATTAAACAAAATTCAAATTCAACTTCGGCAAATTATCAAAAACAATCAGTTCCAGTACCTTTAATCCACCGTAAAAAACAAACCATCATCTCTTCCATTAGTCCAACAAAATCATCATCATCCCCAACTTCAAATGCATCTCCTCAACAATTGAATAGTCCCATATCAACAACCCTGTCCATCAAACTAAACAACGATGACTTGGTCACCCTTAAAAATTTGGGTTCTGGTAACTCAGGTACAGTTTCAAAAATTTTACATATCCCTACTCAAAAGACAATGGCTAAAAAAATCATTCATATTGATCTGAAAACAGTTATACAAACTCAAATCATTAGAGAATTAAGAATTTTACATGAGTGCCATTCTCCTTATATCATTGAATTCTATGGTGCTTTTATAAATAATAATAATACTATAGTAATTTGTATGGAATATTGTAATTGTGGTTCTTTAGATAAAATTTTAGAATTATCAAAACCAAAACATTTCCCTATTCATGTCTTGAAAAAATTATCTTTTGCTATATTAAATGGTTTATGTTATTTATATACTAATCATAAAATTATTCATCGAGATATTAAACCTTCAAATGTCTTAATGACCCATAAGGGGGATTTTAAATTATGTGATTTTGGGGTAAGCAGAGAATTAACTAATTCTTTAGCAATGGCTGATACTTTTGTTGGGACTTCTACTTATATGTCTCCTGAAAGAATTCAAGGTTTAAATTATGGCATCAAATCAGATATCTGGTCAATGGGATTAATGCTAATTGAATTGGCTACGGGTAAATCGATTTGGGCCGATGACTCAAATGATGATGATATTCCAAAAGGTCCAGAAGGTATTTTGGATTTATTACAAAGAATTGTTAATGAAACTCCTCCTTCTTTGAAAAACAAATTGAATTCAAATGGGGAAAAATTCGATGATGATTTATGTAATTTCGTCGATTCTTGTCTAATTAAAGATGATAATTTAAGAAAATCTCCTTGGGATTTACTAAATGATAAAAATGGATTTTTGAAAAACGTCCAATCGGGCTATTTTGATAAAGATGTTAAAATTTGGGCTAAAAAAATTAGAAAGTTACATAAAAACAAATATGAATCTGGTCCGGATAAAAAATAATAAACTTGTATCTGCTTATATTAGCCTATATTAGTATTATTATATTAGTATATTATATTAGTATTATTATATTAGTTTTATTATATTAGTTTATTATATTAGTTTATTATATTAGTATATTATATTAGTATTATTATATTAGTATTATTATATTAGTTTATTATATTAGTTTATTAGATTAGTTTATTATATTAGTTTATTATATTAGTTATTAATTTACATACACTCACACTTTACGTTCAATTGGTTCAGAACTTGATTCATTTGCTGTATCATTATCTGATTCAGTTTTTTTAGAAGCTTGTAATTGTTTAAAATATGCTGCATATCCGTATTGGGATTTGGCTCTAAAACCTGGGCCCCATTTCCCAAATATAAATGGTAATGGTACCATGGCTAATGAAATAAATGCAAATACTGAAGATGCCCATCCAATATTCAAACGATCATACATTTGAACAGTGAATAATGGGAAAACACTTGCCAATATATAACGTAATAAATTATTTGCAGCTAATGCTGAAGCGACTGATAATGGAGGAAATGCCATTGAAAAATATAAAACAACTGAAAAAAATACTAAAATTAAACCAAAACCAAATGGGAATCCGGCAGCAGTTGGTGCCATCCAATGAACTGATTCAAATTTACCAGTCCATCCTAACCAAAATAATGATATTGGTAAACAAAATGCTCCGATTTTACCAACCAATAATTTTTTCTCTGGTGGATCAAAAACTGGATTACCATCAGCGTCCCTTTTACCTCTAGTTCCGTCAGGGTTTTTAGGAAATGCAATAGTGACATCCAAAATAATATAAAAGATAACCCCAACAATTAATCCAAGACCAACAGCAATAAATGGTAAACCAGAATTACCAAGAGTGAAGTGATGGACCCCTCTAAAGATAATTGGTAATGCTTCAAAAAATCCAAATAAAACTGCAAAAATAAAAGCAATATAGATTGATAATAATGAAACAATTGGTTCCACAACTAACATTTTAAGTGGTTTTAATAAAGTTACAGTAATAATTGATTTGAAAAAATTCCAATCTAATTGTGGATGGTTTAATTTAATACCTCTCTTTTTAGCTCTTCTAGCTAAGATAATATGTTTTAAAGTTTCTGGACAAAGTAATAAAAATGGTAAAACAGCACCTGAAAACATAAGAGAAACCCACATTGTCCATTCCCAACCTTTTTCTTGAGCTGCAAACCCACCAACAATTGGACCAATAACTGGACCTAAAAATGGAGCAACACAAAATAATGCAACTGCAATAGACATTTCTTGAGGAGAATGTCCCCATAAATCGGAAATAGTACCAGCAGCAATTGATAAAGCAGGAGATGCAATATAACCACAGAAAAATCTTAAAATTAAAATTGTTCTTATATTTTTAGCAAGACCAACCCCCATAGTAAATAACATGGAAACTGGGAAACTAAACATATAAACAGGTTGACGACCAATGATTTCAGAAAGAGGAGCCATTAAAACTGGACCAAGACCTAAACCAAGTAGATAGAAAGTTAAACCTGAAAGACAAAGCTCTTGAGATTTTTGGAATTTTTGCATAATTTCTGGAACTCCACTAACATAAAGAGAAGAACCTAAACTAACACATAAACAAACGTTAGCAACAGTCATGGTAATAAACCATTTTTTCCATTTGGGCCAATTTTGAGGATTATCTGGATCACTTGGACTGTCCCAATCCAAATCTTTAATATCAATAGCTCCGTCATTTGCTTGTTTAGAATGTTGTGAATAAGTTCTTAAAATATCTTCATTAACAGCTTCATCATAAGTACGATTACTCAATTCACGTCTTAATTCTTCTTCATTATATTCTTCATTATTGCGTTGAGGAACAGAATTACTTGGAAGATCTTTAATTGAAGAACTTTCACTAGTATTATTCACAGTATCAGACATCTTTTTAGTTCCAATGGCATCAACGTCATCATTCAAAGGATCTTGATTAGCTTTTATATTCCCAGCATCGTAACCATTCACCGAATTATGTCCGGCCCCAGCATCAACCTCGGATTCGTAATCGTCAGCCGTTTCATATCCTGACGACGTATATCCGGACGAAGCATCCACCGATTGTCTTGGACGATGACCCGATTGACCAGAACCAAGAGCTGCTTGTCTCAATTCTGCCTCTTCACTAGCTGATGTTCCCAAAATACCCATGATTGTCTTCACAATTGCTAAACTTTTAACCGGGTTGTAACTTAAGCAGGGATTTAATGGAGTTTAGAAAGAAGAAGTAATAACAAATTTTATTCGAGAACGAGAAAATTCTTTTTTAAATGCTAAGTCTTCGTTATAAATAAATAAAAGAATTGACTACAAAGCTGAATGGTTTATTTCTTCAACAAAGGAAAGAATCAACGAAAAAAGAAATGAAATAAGTAATAAGCAAAACAATACTAAATTTTGATAGAATAAAGGCTTATTCTGTTCAATATTATTCCAGCACTTCTTGCCCGTATCTTAAAGCGGTCTTTAGACTTGCAAAAGGGCTTAATCTTTGGGGCCATTTATTTGAAACTTCATTTCTTTTGAATTTCGATGAGCTCAAAGTCGATTTTGCGCTCGTTTGGTCCATTTATGTCCGGTCTCTCATTAAACTCCCTGGAACCATTTTTCCGGAGATAATTTGTTCGATCGCAAGGCCAAGTTTTGGTATTTCCCAAACTGTGGAGGTCCAAACCAAGATTACCCAATCTTTCAGTCGATAACCCACTTTATCAATGGCCATTGTTGGTGGTGATTGCTGCTGGGTGGTGGATAGGCGTGGGCCCTTGATTGCAAAACACGGGGGGGGGAGGACTGAACTTGGATAAATGTCTAACATGCAAAATCGAAAAAAAGTGTCCCGGGGTACGGGTCTTCCGGCTGGACTTACTTCTACATGAGCTATGCATGCAGCGGAGTTATTATTTTTCTGAACCTTGACATGTGCCGAGTACCGTAAAGTCGCTTAAAAATAACGTTTTTTTTTCTGCCGTTGCCGCTAGCCGCATCGAAGATCGGAAAACCGATTGCAATATCCATCGGGTAACTACTAGTCAGTTTTAAAAGCTTAATAAGGTAAATCTACGTTTAGAGAAAGTGTAGATGTGATTATCAGTCATTTAGAGAAAATGCAAATGTATTTATTAGTCATTTAGAGAAAATGCAAATGTATTTATTAGTCATTTAGAGAAAATGCAAATGTATTTATTAGTCATTTAGAGAAAATGCAAATGTGTTTATTAAGTATCTTCGTTCCAACCGTAATAGGTTTTAGCTCTGAAGTAGCCAAAGAGAAAATTGCTGCTGAATAGACTCACCACTAGTAAAAAACATAAAAACCAAAACTTCAAGCCTAAAGGCTCGACTAAAGAGTTGAGAATCATACCAATTGTCTGTGCACTGATTGACGCTTGCTTTCCACCTCCATTGAAGGGATCTTGATTCATACATTTCAACCAGTAATTACATTGTCTTTCTAATGCTGGCACTATAGTATCAGGAGAACATTGATTTTCATGATATTGTCTTTCGCAGCTTACTATATCAACCATTATATCATTTGCGTGCGCTAGAAGTTTATGCTGAATGTCTTGTTTAATCAGTTTAACCATACTGGTCAAAATATAACTTCCGTATCCAAATACAATTACATTGACTAGCAATTGCAAATATGTCATCAACATGTAAGGAATTTTTTCGTTGGGGGTGCTTTCTTCCCACGGTTGGGGGAGTTTGATTTTATCAAGTTGATACTCTGGCTTATCTGGTGCTGTGCTAATGGCCGGCTGGGCCAGCACGGTGGTGGTGGGCGCATTGCCGTAATAGTAATGATGGTGATGTATTTCAACATTGCCGTTGGCCCGGGCAAACTGTCGCTGGTAATTCCAACTCTTATTCATTTCATTACTATATATTGGAGCTTGTTTGATCTCGGGCGCCATTTCGTCATTCTCTGCTAAAAATATTTTGGCATCGACTTTGGGTTTAAAAGACGTCATATTGCGGGCAACTTCACTTTTCGTGCTGGGATACATGCTAGTGTCGTATTCGTAATCAACTTGATCCTCCCTTTCGCCCTCCTTATGATTACGCCTTATGGCCATCTGTGCCCCAAGCGACGTAGGCGATAAAATTAGAGAGTTGGAGATGTTTCCAACTAGCCCTTCGTTGTTTTCTTCATTGATTTCTCTATCATCAATTTCATCATCCTCATGATCGATTTGACTATCGATTTGATTCTTGAATTGATCCTTGTTTTGACTATCGATTTGATTATCGAGTTCATCGTTCATCTGCAAGGGAGTTTCAGCATTCTCACCTATGCCTGCAAGAGATGATTCATTCTCTTTAGTCTCCATCTCATATGTAGCATCAACTTCCATTAAATCATCACTTTCGTCAAACGTATCCGGTACGTTATATGCTGTTCCGGTAGAAGGTCCTTTCTTTGGCGAATCATCGATGGATAAAGCCAGTAGGAATGCGCCATCAAGATCCTGATATATGTTTTGATGCCGACTCGATGTAAATGCCATCGTATAGATAAGATATAACAAACAAGTTTATCAATATTGGAAGAACACCAAAATCTCACTTTTAAACAAAAAAAAAAAAACGTCAGAAAGCGAAAAAAAAAAAAATTAGGCAGCCCATCACTGAAAAATTAAACAGTGAAAAATTTACAAACTTATCACTAACTTGGTCGTATCTTCGAATAGAACAAGCAAGGATGGGATCAAAGAAGAAGAAGACCGAAAAGCAAAAGGATTTTGTTAAAACAAAGTTGAAAGTCGGTAAAACAAAGGCAAAACCAGATAATTATACCGATACTTCATTCGTTGCAAAATCGATTTCACTTCCAAATCAGTCGTTAAACCAAAGAACTAAAAGTAGTTCTACTCCAATTACACTGCCAGGTCCCAGTGAGGATATAGATCTTTCGCACCACTTATCGCTTACCAAACATCACTCATCCAATACTAGGAAAGAAGTACTTGGATATATCGAATCCCATCTTCCAACTAATCCATCAGCTTATAAAGCAATAATCGCCAGCATAACTCCATTAATTACCGATGAATCATTAAATGTTCGTCAAGCAGTAATCCTGTTACTCAATGCATGTGTCACTCGCCAACCAGGACTTTTAGCTTTACATATCCGACCAATTACTCTATTCATCCATGCGGCCATGTCTCATATCCAATCAGACATTCGTAATACATCGACCAAGTTTTTACAAGTTATAATAAACCACGCATCCCAAGCATTGATACGATCCTATTTTATTAAAACATTGAAGAATTACTTCACTTTAATGGCATGGACCCTTAAACAGGATAAAAAATCAGTGTCTTTAGCTATTACAACTAGTTCATCAATTGGAGGATCAACTAAAAAGGCTAGAATTCACCATTTGCAAATATTAAAATCGTTCTTAGAAAAATCACTTTGGGAAGAAAATGATCAAACAAGCCTGATCAATTGGGATAATATTGTTAGTATTCATCCTCAAACTAATAAATACTTATTACCAGATACTCCACAAACTTATTCATCTTTAAAATTATTCATACAAGAAATTCCTAAACCAATAACGAATGATGAAATGGGTAATGATGAAGGGAAATTCACTTTGGGAGATTTAGATCTGATAACTACTGAAGATCTTGATACCAGAAGAAAGGTATTAATTGATGTATTTATGGAACCAATGGTTAAAAACTTGAATAATTTAGTGAAAGAAGGAGGTGAAGTTGGTAGAGAAGCCCATTCATGTCTTAATTTATTTGATAAACTTAACGAAGAATTAAAACCTAAATAATGGTACATATATAGAAACAATGAATGTATTTTAAACAAGAGTAATATATTTATATACTTATATTGTAATATTAGCCATATCATACAAAAGCAAGAAGAAAGAAGAAAAAAAAAAAATTAAAAAAACAAAGATTAGAATATTTAAATACAGAAAACTCCCCATCATCAAAACTCCATTATAAGAATTATCAACTTACAAGAAAAAAGTATCACCAATGAGTCCTACAACAACCATCAAGAATCCCAAACCAGTAATTGAGGATCCTATGTTGTAACCGGATTTGACATGTCCCAAGTCATTGATGTATTCCTTCTTGTATAAGGCATTCTCCACTTCTTCTTCAATGGTTAATTCATGTTCCAAATCTTTAAGGGACTTGGATTCTTCACTAGAAGCAGGTTGTCTTGGAGAGTTTGGAACACTAGAATTTGGAGTCGAAGTATTGGAAGATGAGTCTTCATCAGAAACATGGATATAGGATTTACCCAATTGTGAATCTTCATCGGATTCTCTCTTTTTCTCTAATTCTTGTTGGGAATCTTGCTTCTTAGCAAGATCTTTTTCAGTCGATTGATCTTGATTTGGAATAACTGGTAAAACTTGTTTAGATTTCTTCAATAACTTAGCTTCATACTTAAACGTCTTGTAGTAACTACTAATAATCCCAATTGGAACACTAAGAGCAGAGTATAAAATATAAGGATGCTTATCTCTAGGAGCTGAAGCAATGAATGCTAATCCCAAGAATCCGGTACTGATAGCCCCCAAGACAAGATTAGATATTCTGGTATTGATAATAACCAGGGAAACTTTCCCCAAAATCTCATTGGAATTGATCGAAACCTTGGCCTTTAATTGATTAATCAAAAGCGGGATCGACTCAACGGACTGGTAAGTCAAATTACCAGCCAATAACCCTAAAGATGTGGCTCCAAGAACCTTAATTGTCGTAACACAAGTACCTGCCATTATAAGATACGGAATTCGTTCTTTTACAAACGGTTTGCAATCTAGAAAACGAACGCTAAAAAAACCAATTAGCACCAATGATTAGCTTCTATCCCAAAAAGAAGTTTAACCAAAAACACAAAAGAATAACTAGCTGTACAAGTAGTTTGTTGCTTGTTGATAAGAAGGCAAAATCCCTAGACATATATATTCTTTTTTTTTTTTTTTTTTTTGATTTGTATGACAGGTCGTGTGCACACCGCAGGGATTCCTCTTTTTGGGTTAATTCTCCGGTGCTGGTGTACGGGCGTATTCCATAACCTACAATATAAAAGTTAACTTGATGTATATATAGTACAGAGGATGCTAGTTAATGATACCGAAGGAGCCTTTGCTTAGTTCGTTTTTGATTTCATTTATGATGCTTCGTTTGTCATCGTTTAGTTCACCGAGTTCGTCGTCACCCAAAGCATTAATTGCTTTTAGTAGTTGAACGTGATCATAGGTGAGTTCATTGAGATCTGGTTGTTTTCGATTAACACATAATCCAATCAAATCCTTATTGGTGAGGTTAACCAATAAACTGGTTTCCACTAGAGCATGGGCTAACTGAGGACATTGATCTAATAATTTTTTCATCAAGGTTGGATTTTCTATACTCATGGATTTTGCTTCTCTGATTAACTGGTTTGCAGATTGTTGGTCCATGGTAGACAACGATGCAGAGATTGCTTGCTGGGCGGTTTGGTTGGGGAAGATCTGGGTACCTAACGGTAATGGTGGAAGTTTGGAAGCGTTAGTCATTCCGTATACTCCAGTTATACTTGATTCCGGGAAGGATTGATTATCGTTTGAAAAAGCACATTTCAAAAATCGATTCCCGATATTCGAATTATGTAAGTTTCGTACTGCTGATGCTGCAGTTTCATGATCATTATACCTAACAAAAGCGTATCCTTTAGACTTCCCGGTCGTTGAGTCAAATAACAATTTAAGGTCCAGTACTGGTCCCACGGACTTGGCTATATCCAAGACTTGTTCTTCAGTATAATCAAAAGGGATACTCCCAATATAAACACTTCTACTCTGTGATTCCATCTTGGTAGTATAAAACAAGCACGAAGTATGAAGTATGAAGTATGAAATATGAAAGAAGCAGAGGGCATTTTTCATTGATAAAACTGTAATTTTGTCTTGAAAAACTAAACACCCGTAAACCACAAAGAAAAACAAACAAACCAAAAAAAAAGAGGTCTTTAGAGAAGTATTCCTACTGAAAGCTGAATACCACTGGTCATTAACAATGGATACAAAGGAAATTAAGTCGACGGTGTCTAATTTGGAGAAGTCCAGTGACGACACCACTATTTTAAAGTTGTTGAACATCTTGAACGATGGGGTAAAACCAAGTGAAAAATTATTGAGAGAAACCAAGGTTGGTATGGCAGTTAATAAATTAAGATCAAGTAATAACGGAGAGATTAGCAGTTTAGTTAAGAAGATGATTAAGACATGGAAAGAGGCTGTTCAGCTTGAAAAATCAAGCAAGAAGAAGCCATCACAACCCCAACAATCACCAAAAGGTTCACCAACATCATCGGGTTCTGCCACTCCTTCAAATAAACCAGCAGCACCAGTGGCAGCACCTAAACCTGGTTCTACTAATAGTAAGTTCCACAGTGGACCAAGGAATCCAAAAACTGACGGAATTAATACCGCATTATACGATAATTCGACAAGAAATGCTTCAATCGGTGCATTATATACTGCATTAGCAATTGAAAGAGAAGAAACTGGTGAACATATATTATCAGTTGCTCGTGAAATTGAAAGCGAGGTTTATAAAGCAGAATATGCTAGTGTGAATGATAATTATAGAAATAAATTAAGAACTTTCACTATGAATTTAAGAAATAAGAAAAATCCAGAATTGAGAGCAAGATTATTAACTAATCAAATAACTCCATCTAATTTTATCAAAATGTCTCCGAACGAAATGGCACCCGAGGCTTTAAAGAAGGAAATTGAAAAATTACATAAACAAAATCTTTTTGAAGCTCAAGGTGCAACTGAAAAGAGAGCAGTTACTGATAGATTTACTTGTGGTAAATGTAAACATAAAAAAGTTAGTTATTATCAAATGCAAACTAGATCTGCTGATGAACCTTTAACTACTTTCTGTACTTGTGAAAACTGTGGTAATAGATGGAAATTTTCTTAAGAAAACCAAAAAAAAAAAAAAAAAAAAGCTAAAAAAAAGAGTATGTAAACTACAATTAGAAGTTTTTGTATGTAATATATTATTTATCTATTATATTCGTAATTTACATGATTAATTGAATGAAGCATTCTTGGTAATATAAGAGATTAAATCAACTTTTGTAACAATTTGAACTGGTTTATATTCAGCATCAGTAACAATTGCATTTGAATTGGTTTCGAAAAATTTATTCAATAAAGACAATGGAGTATCCAAAGTAATTGGTTGATATCTTCTTTTAGCAAAACCAGATTGTTTTGAAATATCAAAAGATTTTTCAAAGTCTCCTAATTTTCTGAAATCTAAGAAAATTGATCTTATTGAATTAGTTAATTGAACTTTTTTAGTGCTTAATGATTTTAAAATTTTTGATAATGTTATTAAACCAACTAATTTCCCATTAGAGCTCAACACTGGTAATTGATCAAATCCATTACTTTGTAATAATTCAAAAGTTTTGCCAACAGTATCAGCCAAAGTAACAGTAACAACTGGAGATTTATTTGCAACCAAATCTTTGATTGAATTTTGATTTAAGAAATCATCAGTTTTCTTAGCTGCAGTATTATTTTCTTCAACTTCGAATCCATTGGTTTTCATCCATTCATCATCAGCAAATTTGGTTAAATAAGATCTAATTGAATCAGGGAAAATAACAACAATAGTATCGTCTTCGGTTAAATCTTTACCAATTTGTAAAGCCGCTTGTAAAGCACTACCAGAAGAACCACCAACTAAAATCCCTTCTTCTCTAATAATTCTTCTTGCTAATTTAAAAGATTCTGCATCATCAGTTTTAATCCATTCGTCGACATATTTTCTCTTTAATACTTCTGGAATAAAATCGTAACCAATACCTTCAACGAGATACCCGTCACTGGTATCATTTAATGATTCTGGTTGAGCTAAAATAGAACCTTTTGGATCAGCCCCAATCACTTTAACTTTTTCATTTTGTTCTTTCAAATACTTGGAAGCACCAGTAATAGTACCACCAGTACCTGCACCAGCAACCAAATGAGTAACTGAACCGTTGGTTTGTTCCCAAATTTCATAACCAGTACCAAAATAATGAGCATCAGGATTAGCTTCATTAGAATATTGATCTAAAATAACTGAATTAGGAATCTCTTTTTCTAATTTTCTGGCTACTCCAATATGTGATTCTGGTGCATCCCATGCTGCTTCAGTAGGTGTTCTGATAATTTCAGCCCCTAATGCTTTTAAAACACTAACTTTTTCATTAGACATTTTCTCTGGTAAAGTAATAATGGTTCTGTATCCTTTAACTGCTGCAACCAATGCTAAACCGATACCGGTGTTACCAGAGGTTGGTTCGATCAAAGTGTAACCTGGCTTGATTCTTCCGGTCTTTTCTGCTTGTTCAATCATGTTCTTGGATATTCTATCCTTGATAGAACCACCAGCATTGAATAATTCAACTTTAGCATAAACTTTGGCTTTAATACCATACGATTGCGGGATTCGGTTCAATTTAACCAAAGGGGTGTTCCCAACGAAATCTAACACATCGTCTGCTAATGGTGGAATTGGTGCCATCTTGACTACTACTTATCTAATACAAAGATCAAAGAAAACTCTGGTACTTAGTCTGAAAAACTCGATGGGAAGAGAAGAAGGAGGAAAAAAAGAAAGAAAAAGTGTGGCTGCCTCGATGCGGCACCTGATTTTTTTTTTTTTTTTTTTTTGTTTTGTTTGTTGTTCTGTGATTTGTCCGAGAGAATTTGCTTTATTAGTTGCAAAAAAACAGTATATAGTCTATAAAGTGATGATTTTACATTTGACAACGTCAAGATCTTCGCCAGGAATACCCTTTGTGAAGTCAAACACGGAAAAGATCCCTTTGCGGTCGACGGTGAAAACCTTACCACCATCGCTTGAGAATTTGACTGATGCCGATTCGGTATAGTGCTCAGCATTGGAGACTTCACCCAAAAGAACCACGATCTTCTTACCCTGGGTTCCGGTGGCACTGGTGTTGAGACGGAAGTTTGGGGTGGAGACTAGGTATAACTTACCAGTTTTATCGAGGAATACTATGCCATCACCACGCGGAGACATGGAGAACCCATGAATCATTGAACCGATTTCTGGGAACCTCATGATGATTTCTGCGTCTTTGATGTTGGTGAGTTCGCTATTCTCGGAGTTTTTTTCATTGGCGTGCCTGCTATGGTTGCTGGAATGGAGACTGGCGTCTGTGCCATCGTTGGTGTGTCTAGAATCAATGGAGGGACCATCCAAACGAATAACCACCGAGGGTTTGTTTTTCAATGAGCTAGTAGTTAACACAACTGTATTGGAGAATGAAGAGCCAAATTGTAAGTCGGTGACTCCTTCGTTATCCATCATCAACTCCGTATCGTAATAAACATCATTATCGTTTTCATCCAACCCCAAGTCGGATCTTTTCCTATCATCGATGCCAAAGTCTAGACTATTACCCAAGATATTCGATGGCTGATTTCTTGAGTATTTGGCATCAGCCCAAATCAATCTTGGTCGTCTATAATTGTCAGAATGGGCACTTCTTAATCTGATGATAAGATATCTTGATTCCCATGCGGTACAACATAATAAATGTGTTGACGATGCATTAAAATTGATCAATTTGATGGGATCTCTATATGGAATGGTTATAGTGATTGGTTCCACTGAATCCAAAATTTTTTTCGATGGGATGGTTGTACAAGGAATCAATTTGTTTAAAACTATAAATGGTTGCTCTTTTCCTGAAAGCCTCTCTCTTGCAGTAATACCACATGCAATCAATGATCCATTGGGACTGATTGATATACATCTTATGGGGAAATTGGTTACATAGGTATAAAGTGGTTTACCTAATGGACCTAATCTTTCATTAACATTGAAAACTCTCATAATTCCTTTAGTACCAGCTATTATTAAATAGTTACTTGATATTTTACAATGTAAAAGCTCCCACAGATTTAATTTTTTCTTAATATCATCATTGGTGATATTAGTATTGTTATTAGTGGTATTTGAATCATTATTTGTGCCACTGAATTCATTTTTCAAAATTACTTCTTCATGTTCATTTAATGTAGATGGTATCAAATTATTAAAATTTGATCCATAATCTCCATTCAGTTTACCACAACATAATAAAGTAGGTTTATAACTATCAATATTTCCGTCTCCAACAATGTACTCATACACCTCCCAACGTTTTTCGGCCATTAATACAAACCTGGTGACTTCCCGACCAGACTTATTATCAACATAAGTATGAATATGACTCGAGATAAATTTCGAGTTTTTCTTAATCATCGACGAGCCCAGCTTAAAAGGATTACTAGTAAAGTTGAATTTCATCTGCTGAGTTGGGAAAGTACTCATTTTACGATAAAATGGGAAGCATTTACTAAAGTTATATTCTTTAGTTTCATTCAAATTATCTAAAAGTTTGTCTTGAGTATCATCAAACTCTTCTGCCAAAATCGGGGCTTCGTCAATGGTACTGCCACGAGTAATGACTCCAGTGGATGGTTGAATAGAATCTTCATTGAACGGAACAAATGAGTTAGAAGTATGAATAGATGGATCGGAGGGTAATCTATTTCTTTTCGATAAAGAGGATGTCGAAATGGCATTATTGTGAGGTGAAATCGATCCCGAGTTAGTCCAGGGAGCCGAATTAATTGATTTGGTTCTACTTAATGTCAGGCTTGACTGCCTAATTTCAATTGGTTGAGTACTTGATTTAACCTCTTTAACCTCGGGGTTATTTTCTTCTTTGGCAAATTTATAAAAAAGCCCCAATAAATCAATTGCTTCTCCAGTGGGAGAGCCGCCCCCACCTCCTTTGGTGCTAAAGCTGCTACGACGGGTATTACTATTGGCATCGTAACTACTTCTTTTCAGACTTGATCTTCTTCTTGTGTTTTTAGCAGCTTGTGATTGTAATTGAAGAATGATTTCATATAAATCCCTCAAGGGTTTGATTTCACCCAAGATAATGACCCCTTCTCTATGGCAGTTAGGACACGTTGATGAATTATCAGTCGAATTACTCGTTAAAGTAGAAAGAAAATACGATTCAGAAACAAGACATCCACAGGTTAATACCGAAGCATCCAGAACCATGGTATAATAGCTTGAGCTGAGGACTTGGTCCCCCGGGAACTTTAACAACGATTCCAATTCAGCAAGTCGGTTCTGATCCATTGTCTTAGTACTTCCACACCAAACTAATGAAAGGATCCAAAAGATCAACTAGTTGGGAATGCTTATCTTTGTTAAAAACGTGAAAAAACCTTCCGGAAAAGATACTAATTTGTGTACAGGAAATACTCGATTTTGACATATTTTTAAATATTTCGATATAATAAATTATAACTTGATTAAGCATACAAATTGATTATGAACTTATTACAAACTGATTAAGTTTAAATGGTTGTTATGAACTGATAAGCATATATTGAAAAGAATCTACTCAAACAAAAATAAATAGTGGTATAAATGGTATTACTTATCCTTTTTATCTTCATCAGAATCATTTGTAGTTGATTCGTTGGGTTGATCTTGTTCTTCAGGACGGATGGTTTGAACCCGACTAATGGACGGAAGATTCCCCATTGGCTTAGGAGTAGACAGTCTACTTGTAAGATTTGAAACCGAGCCAGAATCATGAAGGGGTCTCTCTTCGGTGTCGTCATGGTCGTCACCTCCGATAACGTAGTTGGTGGAATGAAAAGACGGTTGGTGGAGAACTGAAATGGGTCTTGTAGTGGCGGTGTTACCAAAATTGATGAGCGAGGCAGAATGGGCACGCGAGGCAAGTTTACGTTCGGGATCAGAGGAGTCCTGTTGTGGTCCAGATGAATGGTTAGATTGAAAATAATCATCCATGCCAGCACCGATGTTAGAATTTTCAAGATTTAAGCGATTATAGCCAGAACTCCTCGAAGAATCATTTAATTCGTCATTGATTTCATTTGGAGATGGTTCATCTTCATTATTATTATGGGTAGGAATGTCGGTTTCATCAACCCCGTAATCGAAAAACAGGTAAAGAGCATTACCAAATTTACGAACAGATTGACCAAACGAACCAAGCATTCCGAAACTTGACCGGTTCCCATCGGGGTATAAACTGGAAAACTTATCATCATAAATGGGTTTCAATATAAGCGCCAGTCTTGGACACAAGTCTAAATCAACAAGTTTTTCAAATTCTTGAGAATCAGTATAAGTAACCCTTGGTATCCCGGGACGATGGAATACGTAGTGAGTAGGTTGCGGATTCAGAGATTTAGCAAATGACGGCATCGAGGAATTAGTATTCTTTATTATAGGAGGATTGGAACTATTATCCAACCAGATTCTTACGTCGTTCAAAGTTTGGCTTGAACTGAACTCATTTTTAACTGAGTCTCCATCGAATAATCGAATCACCAAAGAGCAAACCGCTGACTTGGAAGGCCTGACAACGTCGTTTCTTTTAGGTTGGATGCTCCCATTTCGTTCCCGCTTCATTGATTCTCGTTCTCTCTTGTCCGCTTCCAATAAAGCTTTGATTCTCTGGTGTTCCTGAGCCTGTTCTTTCTTATAGGCAGCCACATCCTGTTGATGTTTGCGCACCGACTCTTGATGGGATGATTGTTTTTCAGTTGCAACATCGGTACCATCGGACATTTCAGTGCTCCTCCGTTCTTGATGATCTGGCGATAATGTAGTTAATCTGGTAATAAAACCTTTCTGGTCTAACTGAGATTCAAGAGTAATAATGTCTAGAAGTTTCCCTTTGCTAATCAAATAAAAACTAGGAAATTCAATGTTTGGGAAAAGTTGTTCAAAAAATGAATAATCAGTGCTTCCCTGTATAAGCCTAAGACAAATAAACCGCTTCTTGAGAAAAGAAATATATTCGTCTTTTATTCTATTATCCTTAACATCAATAAGATACTTTTCAATCAAGGGTGAAACCTCCTCTGTCGCCCTATCTTCTTCCATATATACAAATAGTGGCTTGCTCTCCGATAAACTTGCTTGCACAGCTACTTGAGCCGATTTTCCAAATAGATTACTTAGTAGCGTCATCATCCTATTCAATGCCCAAGAGATTCACAATCCTATCGGATAAGTTGTCTGACTTTTCAAATTCAGGCTTGTATCTTTTCACTTTTTGCCTGACACTACACCAATATATAAAAAATAATAGCAATAACTAAGGTGCACGGGTGCATTGCTCACATGACCTCAAATACCATTTGATAGTTTGACAGCTTCCCTTGATGTTCCCTTGTTCATGGTATGTTTGATGGGCTACATGTCGATGCCGGGGGAACTGGGTCCGTGTCGGGGTGACTGAACCACAACCGTCTACTAGACACCATCTCGTAAACCGTATGCTCTAAAACCTTCGTATTCCCTTGCTGGCTCGGTGGATCTACCTCCGTACCTTTTTTTTTGTTGACATTTTGATCTTTAACCGTTGACTTGATTGTATCATTAGCATTGATAACCATTGACTAACAACTAACCATGTCAAGGCCAGGATCACCTACTAAGATGCGTGGAGGTACCACGTCACCAGCTCAGGGAACCAATATCAAGGTTCTTGTAAGGGTAAGACCGCTTTTAGCTCGAGAAACCAAAGACGATCAAGTCAAGAGCTTGGTCAGCATGCCGGCGGAAGACCCCAAATCAACCATTCTTACTGTCCCAACCAACTCGTTATATCATTCCCAACGAAACAAGGCTATTAGTAGCGCACAGAAAAAGACTTCTGAAGAACAGAAGTACTACTCATTTGATGAATCAGTTTGGTCATTCGATAGTAACCACTCGAATTATACCGATAATAGGAAATTCTATAACAAGACAGGACCCGATATTATAGAGCATTTCTTCCAAGGTTTCAACGTGTGTCTTTTGGCCTACGGACAGACTAGTTCGGGTAAAACGTATACCATGATGGGTGATCGAGAAGAACCGGGGATCATACCTTTGACCATACGAGATATCTTGAACCAAAAGCAAAGGCTTGTTAATGAAAAGATCAATTGCCAATTGAAACTCCTGTATATTGAAATCTACAACGAACAAGTTAAAGATTTACTTACAAATAATCAACAAGATTCGAAAAAATGTCGAGTTAGAGAACATCCAACTTTAGGTCCATACGTTGAAAATGTAACCGAATGTAACATTGATCTGTATGCGGATTTCATAAACTGTTTGAACAAGGGTAATTCAAACCGTGCCACTGCATCTACTTCAATGAATGATAATAGTTCAAGATCTCATGCAATAATAACGGTCAATTTGAAACAAACTAAATTTGTTTCTCAAAATGATAATAATACAATTGGGGAAGCCGAAGAAGAAATGGTGTCAAATATAAAATTGGTCGATTTAGCCGGTTCTGAACGATTATCTAAAACCAAACTCTTTGGCCAACAAGATCGCGTTAAAGAAGGTACTCTTATTAATAAATCATTAACCGTTCTTGGAAGATGCTTCAATCTTTTGGCAGCAAATTCAAGTCCATCCTCTTGTCAAAGCTCTTCGGTGATTCCATATCGTGATTCAACATTAACCTACATTCTAAAAGAAAATTTGGCCGGGAATTCAAAAAGTTTCATGATTTTTTGTATTTCTCCAATTGATTTTGAAGAAACTCATCAAACCTTGAATTATGCCAATCAAGTGAAGAAAATTAAAACTGCCGCTAAAGCAAATAAAACTAAATTGTCCCTGGCCCCCATTGATTGGGAAGAGCTTCGGGCAATGGATCAATCAGCAATCCAATCTTTGAAAGACGAGATCAAAGACCTCACCAATAAATTGAATAATTTCGAATTGAATTCTTCTCCTACTTCGGTTCCTACAGAAGACAATAAATCTTTGAAATTAATCTCTTATCTTGATAATGAAACTTCAAAATTGAAATTCGAAAATACCTTCTTAAAACAAAAACTCCTGGAACGTGATCATCAATTACATGAATTACAAAGCCATGTCGATTATATGGATCAAGAATTATTTGGTTTCATCAAAAGAGCCACTCAAGATAAACTTTCTCTACAAACTGCCTCTCGCTTGGCTGAAATTTCTAATTTCAGCTCCTTATTAGAACAACACCAACGCGACTTAGAACTTCAATTAGAAGATTACGACCCTGCAAAAGCGTTTTAATGAAAGGTTTTTATGATTGTTGCAAAATTTTTGTAGCCCTCGGCGTGTGCGAGACAATTGAAAAGACCGGTACCACCGACGAAAAGAAAAAAAATTAAACTTCAAAACCTTTAGGTGACTTTTCAAAGGTTACATTTCCTTCAGCAAAAAGCATTCCATAAGCACCACTCTTTTTTATTCAATTGAAGATGGAGTTCTTGAATTACAAGGTGGATCTTGTTTTGAAAGAAGGTACCAATATCTCGGGTACGATCACCCATGTGGACAATCAACTGATTAGTCTCAATGATGTGATTCAAAAATCGAATACCAGCTCCCAAAAATTTCCTAGCTTAAATGTTAATAGTGGTTCAATTAGCGATTTGAAAGTAACCCAATTGCCACCGGACTTATTGAAAAATAATAAAAATAAAAAGCATAATGCTGAACAATACGTTAATAAAACAAAAGATGTTTCTCTTTTGGATGATGCCATTGTTTTCGCTAGACCAGTGTCAGATGATGATAATTCTCACCATCGGTCAAATCATTCTAAAGCTAACTCTACTCCAAGAGGGTCTAGTAGAACCAATACTCCAAAATTAGGATCAGCAAAACTTCTGAAAACTTATTCTAATACTGGATCCGTTGAGCCTGATTGGGGGAATGGAAATGATGTAAAAGATATTAAGGAATCTAACGATTTTGATTTTGCTGCTAATTTAGCCATGTTTGATAAAAAGTCAGTCTTCGCTGATTTCCATAAAAATGATAATGTTAGTTTACAAAATAGATTAGTTGGTCATAATAAACTTGATAATATCCAGCAACAAAATCCTAAAAAGAAGGAGAAGAAAGATAAATATGAAAATGACGAAATGGTTTTGGATGTCAATAAAACTGATAATTGGGATCTTATTGGTAACTTGAATAAAAGAATGGGGGTTTCTAATGGTAGTAGTAGAAATAATAGTTCTGCCAATCTTATTAAAGATGCCTCGTTAGGATCTTTAAAGAAAACTTATAAGCTTGTTAACTCTGCAGACCACAAATCTGCTATTCCTTTAGCATCTCCAGTGCAATTAGTTGAAGTTGAAAGATTGGCTCATGACACTTATGGTGTAAATCCTTCGATAACGGCTGAAGTTTGTGCTTCTAATTTATCAGCATTAATTACTCATAATATCTTGGGTGGTTCAACTAGACTAAGTAACAAAAAGAATCATAATCTACCACCTTTAGTTTTAATTCTCATAGGAAGTGGTCGTTGTGGCAGTCGTGCTTTTGCAACCGGTCGTCATTTAACTAATCATGGTATTAGGGTTTTAGCATATGTTATCAATAATGATGATAGCGATAAAGAATTAACAAAACAATGGGACTTATTTGAAAATGTGGGTGGTAAAGTTATTACTTCAGATGTATCCACCTTAATCAACATCTTAACTCACGAATTAGATACCCCAGTTGAATTGATCATCGATGCATTACAAGGTTACGACGACCATTTGGAAGATATTTTTTACCAAGATCAAGACTTACAATCAGTCAAGGACCTTATTGTTTGGTGTAACGAACCAAAACAAAAAAATAAAATCATGTCTCTTGATATCCCATCGGGTATAGACGGTGGGTCAGGTACTGTTCTGGATCAGTGCTTGGTCTTACATTCTCGTTGGATCATTTCTATGGGATTACCTATCATTGGTTTAATTCATGCTTATAAAAATGGCCACTTGGGGGTCGATGAAGAAGAAGTTGATCACTTCTTGGTGGATATTGGTATCCCAAATAAAGTCTACAGTACCAAGGGTAACTTAAGAAAATTCGATAAATTTTGGTTCAGTGCTGAGTTCAGCGTTAAACTAGACATTTTAACAGAATGAATAGCATCTTAACATTCACGTCTTAATGAGCTCTTGTATACTATCTTCGAAATCTAATCGTAATTCCATGGAATTTCTAATCTTGTAGTCGTAAAGCCTAACAGTATATGTGTAAAACCAGTACCGAATTTGAGCGACCGACGCGTAATTTTCAGTATTGATCTTCCAAAAAAAAAACACCCAAAGAAAAAACATCTTAAAAAACAAAAGCAGAGACTGAAAATTAACATTCATTTTAAGTTGGAATTATTCGACCAACAATATCAAATCCAACCAAAATACCTGTTGGGTCTCTGCATCAAGCTCCAAAGAGAATTGTTCAATATTGAAACTCGAAAGACCAAAGAATTTTGGAGACTAATTGAGTAAATCAAGATTGAAAAATAAATCATCGTTCTATCTTGCAGGCCTGACTGATTTACCATGTTTGGTTCTGCGACAAATACTTCCAACAGCTGGGGGAACTCCAATGGATTCGCCAAATCCAACTCTTTTGGAGGCCTGAGTAACAATGCCACTGGTGGTGGTTTGTTTGGCTCAAACAACAACACTAATTCGACTTCGTCGGGCTTATTTGGCAATTCAAATACAAACACATCATTTGGGAATAACAAAAGCCCGGCCGCTTCTGGAGGGTTATTTGGAAATTCAGGACAAGCACCCGCTGCTCCTTCTGGGGCTGGGTTGTTTGGTAACTCCTCTTCAAATACCAATGCTGCCCCTACCGGGGGGTTATTTGGCAATGCTTCCTCCAACACTAATTCTACACCTGCATCTGGGGGGTTGTTTGGAAATACCGGCGGTAACACTGCTAACCCTTCTACTACGGGTGGTGGCTTGATTGGCAACTCGCAAGCACAATCTACGAATCCTAGTGGCGGGCTATTTGGTAATAACAATTCTACATCGAATAGCGCCGGTGGTCTTTTTGGTAATAAGCCTAATACTAGTACTAGTGGTGGTCTTTTTGGTAACTCGAGTACATCTCAAAATAACAACGGTGGATCAGGTTTATTCGGGACTAATACCAATTCCAACGCAAGTGGTGGCTTGTTTGGCTCGTCAAATCATCCAGCGCAAGCAGGGGGTCTTTTCGGTAATTCCAATTCAAACCCTCAATCAACGCTTGGAGCAAGCAACAACTCTTCAACCATTAATAGCATAGGTAGCAATCCTTATAATTACGATACAATTTTTAACAACATACAAAAAGATGTGCAAAATATGCCAAAATCCATTACTGAATCTGTTTTCAACAATAATTCTAAGGAAAATACAAACATCAAAGGATACAACTTAAAACAAATAATAAAACCCCAAGAAAACAAATCGTCATTATTAAGTAAATTGGGTCAGACATTTAAACTCTTCAGAAATAAATACGGCTCAACGAATTCCACTTCTGGTTTAAGTGCCATCAAGGGATTATTTACTCAGCCAAACTATATTGATTCCAAGAATAAACAAAATCTTTTCCCAAAAGCTGGTGTTTTGCATAATAAAAGGTTTAATAAAAAAAGCTATCGATCCTCCGTCCATGATCGAGCTTTCAGTGACATCAAAAGACTTGTGATAAAGTCGAAACCATTGAAATTCCATCTCATCAATGCTGATAAAGTATTCAAAACGAAAAGGAGAAGAATTATTACGGATGATAGGGTTCCTTTGAGAAATTTCTTATCTAATAATGAACAATCTGATGATGATATCAGTGATTCCGAAGAATTGGAGCATAAAGCTCCCGCTAGTTATAAGAAAGAACAGCCTTTCGGTAAAAGTTATACAGATGATTCTGGAGAAAATGATCCAGATAATACTGAGATGAATAATGGGTACTGGTGTAAACCATCTATCAAGGAATTGAACAAGATGTCCATTGAACAATTAAGTAAAGTTGAAGATTTCACCATTGGGAAGCTCGAACATGGTATGATTTCCTATAGATTTCCTGTTGATTTGAGTTCTGTCCTCGCAAGTGCAGAAGAATCTGGCAAATCACTCGGGGAAGAATTGTTTGATAATGTTGTTAAGTTTAGGAAGACTACTGTTCAAGTTTACGGGGGGTTTAAAAGTAAGCCACCACTTGGAAAGGGCATGAACGTTCCGGCTGTTGTGACATTGGTCATGCCTCCAGAATCACGTTCGCTTGATGAACACATCAAAATGTTGAAAAATCTCACTGGTATGGAATATTTATCATATAATCCGTTTAACTGTCATTTTGTATTCAAGGTTAAGCATTTCAGTGTGTGGGGATTAGTTGACAGTAAATCATTCGATGAAGACGAAAGGAGAAGACTCGAGGCTCTTAAAAGGGAGCAGGATCAAAATGAAGCTGATGCTACCATGGAATATTATAGGCTTTATGAAAACGATAAATTCCAACAAGAATTGAAAAGACAGAAACTTAACGCTTATACTGGTCAATTACCAGGTGCCTGGGAAGATATCGCCGATGAGAAAGACAACCCATTAGTGGTCAAATCCAACATGGTTAACGACGAAATCAATAGACAGATACAATTACACAAAAATAGCCAAACTGCGAATATCTTAGCAGATAATGTTAGTGACATAACCATTGACTCTGAAGATGAATTAAGACCGGATTCCCCCGTCGGTGGGCTGTATTCTCAACCAGAAGAACCTGAAGTTGAGGCTAGAAAATATGATTATTTGAAACAACTTGTCTTTTCTTTACCCAAAGGGACCGATATGAACGAATTAGTTGATGAAAAAGTTTTTGAACCTGAAATCACTGATGATTCAATTTTCAATAGAATTCAAATCAGACCCAACTTGGCAGTCTCCGATGATTGGTTAATACAGCTTGAATTTGCCAATGATATGAATTCATCTTTAACTTCATATATCACTTCACAACGAGAATTACGAAATGTCGACATTGAAAAAGTGGATGATCTCTTATTTTCCAGCTTTAATAAGAAATCATCTCAAGAACAAAACACTAAGGATCTCTATTCTAATACCAAGGCTATTGAGCATCTCGACTTTGATGAAAAATACCCACAAAATATTTCCAAAATCATTTATACTTTAGTTCAACGTGCTTCCATCGAAACAAGATTTAATAAATATCCATTAGTCAACGAAGCAACTGATTTGACATTCCGTGATCTTTTGATCAATGACGTTGGCGATGAGGAAGAGCTTTTACTTCTCAAACTTGGATCGGTGCTTTTTGATGAAGTTGAAATATCCAGCATTGAGAAATATAAAGGTGTTGATGTTTCAAATACAAACTTAATTCATTATTTGAAGAAAGGATTTCAAAAAGAGATTTTTGGAGAATGGCTCAAAGAATTCAATAAGAAAAGGATTGATGAATTATTAGAGATCAATAGTGAAGATGTTTTGGAAAGCATATTTTTAAATGTGTGCGCTAATAACTTGAAACAAGCAATTATTCTCGCCATCAATTCTAATAATTCACATTTATCAGCTTTGCTTACCTTATTGGATTCTAATGATAAGGCTGCTCAAGCAATTTCCAAAGCGCAATTGGATCACTGGAATGACACGGCAGCTTTATCTTTAATTCCTCCTCAAATTATAAAAATTTACCAAATATTGGCTGGAGACATCAACGATGTCGTCGAAAACTTACCTTGGAGTGTTGTTCTCGCGTTGAAATTGTTCTATGGAGACCAATCCATTGAATTACACGAACTTATTCAGAATATTTCCTCTTCGTCTGGAAATAATGTTGTAATTGATATTTTGAAGATATACTATGATTGGAAGATTGATAACAAATCTAAAGCGTTATCGGATATCAAGCAATCAAATGCTAATATTAAGGTCAAATGGATATTCCATCAAATATTATCTAGAAGACATGATCATGTTACAGAAAATGAGCTTACTATCGGGTTTGGTCAATTTTTGGAAAAAATTGGATTATGGAAAGAAGCTGTGTTTGTTTACTCGCATCATACCAGTGATGTAGAAACTGAGAAATTGATAAGAAATGTTATCATTTCCAATGTCGATAAATTAAAGGACCATCTGAATGATGAAGAAAGCTACTTGAATGAAACGCTCAAGGTCCCTCATAGTTTAATTTACGAAGCCTTTGCTATAAAACACCACCACGCCGGAGAATACTGGCTTGAAGGGGAAGCATTGGCCACTGCAAAATTGTGGGAAAAAGCCCATGAAAACATTGTCAATGAATTGGGCCCTTCAGCTGTTATCGCAAATAATTCTGATTATAAGAACCATTTATTGAAACTCATTGAACAATTCCCGCGTTCAGGTGGCATCATTCCTAATTGGAAACAAGGTGCTGGGGTCTATTCTGACTTTTTCCAATTAAATGATTGTTTTGATAATGCTAAACCTGTTGATATCAACCAGTTAGACCTATTATTAAGTAACATCTCCCAAATCAGCAATGAGACTCCTTTTAGAGTCAAGGTTGCATTAAGTTTAATCTCCAAACGTATTGGGGATATTGCATTAGCTCACAAGGATGATATCAAAGACGTTAAAAATAAGATATTTGCCCTAAAATTGGGCGAAAACGAACGTGAGTACTTCTCTAACCGTATCTAACCCTCTACTCTACTATGCATTGTATTAGACTCTCTTGTACTATAATGAAAAGTTATTTTTGTAATTATCAATTTTGTAGACTTTGCTATAAGATTTTTGCAGTTTCTTTCAAGTGATCAAAAGAAGTTTCCTGCATGTAAATTATTCGTTTTTCTTTTTCTTTTTATTAATCATCAAATATTGATGGATAAGATATTACTTATTTTTCTTCAGATTATATTATATTAATATTGGTTCTTGTCATAGTGACCTACGGTGTTCTTTCCAGAGATTATTGATTCGCAAGAGACATAACAAGATAAAAAAAGAGCTAGTGGAAAAGTAAGAATTAACGCAAATTCATAATTAAATGGCACCTTCGATAACAAAGACACAACTATCTGCTCCTGAGCCAGAACATTGCCCGGGACCAGAGTCAGAGAACGCTGGGAAGGGAGATGCTTGTCAGGGATGTCCAAATCAAAATGTTTGTGAGTCACAACTACCTCAAGGACCAGATCCAGATATTGCTCTAATTAATAAACGACTTTCTCAAATAGATCATAAATTACTTGTCTTATCGGGTAAAGGAGGTGTTGGGAAGTCTACATTCACTTCTATGTTGTCGTGGGCATTAGCAGCAGATGAAGAACTTGAAGTTGGGGCTATGGATCTTGATATCTGTGGTCCTTCTTTACCACGTATGTTAGGGGCTGAAGGTGAACTGATTCATCAATCAAATTCCGGATGGTCTCCTGTTTATGTCGCTGATAACTTGGGCCTTATGAGTATATCGTTTATGCTTCCTGACCCTGATTCTGCTATTATTTGGAGAGGTGCCAAAAAGAACGGTTTAATCAAGCAGTTCTTAAAGGATGTTAATTGGGGTGATCACTTGGACTACTTGGTGGTTGATACTCCTCCTGGTACCTCTGATGAACACTTATCAGTTACCACATATATGAAGGAAGTTGGTATAGATGGTGCGTTGATTGTCACTACTCCCCAAGAAGTTGCATTGTTAGACGTCAGAAAAGAAATCGATTTCTGTCGTAAAGCCAATATAAGGATTTTGGGTCTTGTTGAAAACATGTCAGGATTTGTTTGCCCAAGTTGTAAAGGTGAATCACAAATTTTCAAACCAACCACTGGTGGTGGTAAACAATTATGTCAAGATTTAAACATTCCTTATTTAGGGGCCGTGCCTTTGGACCCTAGAATTGGTAGAGCTTGTGATAGTGGTGAGTCCTTCTTTGATAGCTATGCCGATTCTCCAGCTGCTACAGCCATCTTAGATGTAGTTGATGGTTTACGGGACCAAGTCGAATTGAGCTTAAACAAATTGAACTTAGATAACTAATTCTATAAATTGCATTTTAATACCTTCTTATAATCTTTACTATTACATTGTAGCCTTAAATACTGTAGTATAGCCCTTCTAAACATTCGAAGAAGTTTTTGTGAACAGATGATGTAAAAAAAAGAAAAATTTGGGAGGAAAAAAAGATCAAAAGATCGATTTTGATATCAAAAGATAAGGATAGGCTTCTCTACTGACATGAGTCATGAAACTATAGAACAGTTCATAAGGTCTGATACCTATTTCACTAAAACACGTATAAGTTCTTTATATTCTGATTTTAACCGGCTTAAAATCTTGAATCCAGACGGGTATGAAGCTAATCTTAATGCTTGGTTACATCTATTTCTTTCTTTACTAGAAAGCAGGTCTTTAATGAAATATGAAGAGTCAGTTCAAACATCCCTTTCAATGCCCACTCGAAATCCAAATTTGGATCAGCTTTTGGCGTTGCCGGTGTTGGGTAAGCCACGTAGTTTGGGACTAGTTCTTAAAGAACTTGTTGAAAGAAAACAGTTGATCCCAGTATCTGAATATAAAGCTTACGATAAATCTTTTGAGCAGTACTTTGGCAGCCAGGGTTCATTGGTCGACTATGTTTCCCCTACTAAATGGTTGAGCTGGGGGTTGATGTCATTGGGACTACTGAACGAATTTACCCCCATGTTGAAAGATGGTACTTTGAAAGCAGACTATTACTTTTCCTGGGAGAAATTTGTTTCGGTTGCTGACGGTTTATTCAAGAAATTGAAGGAACATGTACATGATGGAAGCTATAGCAGTCTAGTATATGATAAATTAGAACTACTAGAAGTTATTCAATCGAATATTGATTCACAAATTACCCCATTTGATTTAGATCTTTTGCTTATATATTACTCTAGAGATAAAAAGCACTTATTAATCCTGAAAGTTGAAGACCGTATTTATATTAAGTTTAATTCTATACAGTTTGGTAATGCAGTTGATATATCAGAGGCCGATATTGGAATATCAAACTTGAAATCAAATATTGCCCAGTTAGAAAAGAGAAATGATCAATTGTCTCGTGAGCTAGATGATAAGATCCCCCAATCCGTTCAATCATTAATTTCCAAACCTGATTCTCTGGAAAGAATCAAGAAAATACTTATTAATAAAAAGACCATATCCAAATCTTTATCCAAATCTCAAGATATTGTAAATCAACTTAATTCAATTTTACTCAAAATTGATGATGCTACTTTAAATTCTCAAATCTTGCAAATTTATAAAACTAGTATAAAAACCTTATCCAGTTTAAATAAAGTCGATCTTGATGAAGTTGAAAATATTAAAAGTGATTTGGATGATGAAATAAGAAATGTTGACGAAGTCTCTAATAGACTTAATGAGGATAATGCTTATGATGACGAAATTGAAGAAGAATACGAAAGACTATATAAAGAGTCCACGGACAAACCTTTAAGAAGTAAAGAAAACAGTTTAGAACTATTAGATAAGTTAGATGACTTATCAATAGATAATACCCGACCAATTGAACAATCGGAAACAAATAAAGAAAAGCTCGAGCCTTTAGCTAATTAAGTGTTCTTATAGATAATATCATTTTAAGGAATTCATTTATTATAAATTTATTTATTAACTTTTTCAATTAGACAAAATTTTACGCCCAGTGATTGTCAAATAAGATATCAAGAAAAGAAAAGAACGAAAATTACAAAAAAAAAAAAAATAGAAAAGAATAAATACATGGAGTAAATAAGAGTAATTAAAAAAGTAATAAACATCAAGAAAAAATTGTAGGGATATAGAATTAAACGGTGAAATGGAGTTGATCAATCAACTAATTTAATTATTATTGAAGTTAACCTAAAATTTGTAAAATTTGTTGAGTTAAATTAAATAATTCATTTTTCGGATCATCAAATTGATCACTTGAGTTAACATCTTTACCATAATTATAATTTGAATGTTGTTGAGATTCACTTAAAGTTTTAATACCGGATAAAATCGATTCATTTTTTTCAATTAATTGTTTAATTTCATCATTTGGACTTTCTAATAATTGTAAAATAGTCCATAATGCAATATGTTCAAAAGTAGCACTTTCACTTTTCAAAAATCTAACCAAAAATCCATAAATACCACTTTCTGGTTGAGACCAATTATTTAAAATATAATCTTTATGATCATTTGAAACTCTCGAACATAAATTAGCTAAAGCAGCAGCAGAATTACCACAAACTTCACCATTTTCACTAAATGTTAGTGGGATTAAAACATCTATTATTTTAGATTCATATAATTTTGGTTTTAAATCATCAGCTAAGGCTAAAATTGCAAAACAAGCAGAAATTTCCAGTTGAACTGATAAAGGAACTCTCAAAACTAAATCTTTACATTTGTCAACTGCACCAGCTGATAAAATGGCTAATCTATTTCTTTCACTTGAAGCAGCCAAATTTCTTAAAGTTGAAACAGCATGACATTGAATTTCTTCCAGATCATTGTAATCGAGTAAATTAACAAGAGGAGATAAGAATCCTGCGTCGATTATAAGGGCTTCATTTTGAGGGTGAATTGAAATATTTCTAATACAAGCAACAGCAGCTAAGACGAGAGGTTGATGATTACAAGTTAATAATTGAACTAAATGAGGTAAACCACCAGCTTTTACGATATCAACTTGATAACCGGAATCAGAAGCCAAATTTCTTAAAGCAAGAGTAGCTTGACATTGAACTCTTGGAGAAGGAGAATCCATTAAATTAACCAATTGACTAACTAATTTGGGTTCAGAAGTAGCCAATTTTTTACGATTTAATTCATCAACGGCAATATTAGATAAAGCAGTAGTACAATAATATTGAACATCAGCATCTTCATTTGATAATAAAGAAACAAGAACTGGGACAGCACCAGCATTAACTAGTTCTTGTCTATTTTCGCCAGAATGAGTCATATTTAATAAAGCACCAGTAGCATTTCTTTGAACTCTTATATCCTTCAGTTTAGCTAATTTGGTTAAAGGAATTAAAGCACCCAGTTTAGCAATTTTAGTTTTATTATCATCTTGAGTAGCCAAATTAGTTATACAACCAACAGCATTACATTGAACTTCTATATTTGTTGACATCATTTGTCTAATTAAAGGCTCTAATCCACCCATTTCAACAATTAAAATTTTATTTTCATTATTTACAGCCAAGTTACCTAAAGCACCACAAGCTGCTCTTTGAACTTCCAGATCAGTTGATTGTAAAAGGATAAGAATTGGTTCTAAAACATCACGATTAACTTCTCTAACATCTTTTTCGGTAATTTCAGCAAACGCTAAAGCAGCACTTCTTTGTAAATCAATATTTTCGGAATAAACTAAAGTACTTAAAGCTTTTAAAGGACCATTACTGAAAAAATCAACATCCGAACGATTTTCCAAGTATTGTAAAAGAGAGCTTATTGCGTCTCGTTCATTTTCTGCCAACAATAATGGTGGATTACCATCATTATTACGTTTCAAACAACTGCAACAAATACCCATATTTTCTATAAACTCACAATTGAATAATGCAAAGATAGACGTGAACTGATAAGGGGGCTAATACAACACGAAAGACAACCAAGCGTTAACAATCTTCAAATACAACAAACAATTCCTGAACCTCACCAAAGACTATCGAAGATCGGTTAATGGATAATGTATTCTGTTTATCACTTAAGAATAAAGTTAATTCCTTTAAAAATTGTGTTTTTTAGTCGCCAGCCCTTTTCTCATTAGACTTTTCCAGCGATTTTTAATAGGCGTTTGTGTAAAGGGTAAAAACAGAAAAATCTCCTGGTGCATGGGTGCATAATGGTGCATGGGTGTTATACGTTGGTCACGTGATATGCTTTCCATTTATTGGTAATGTAACGACCGTGGCTTATACCCACAAAATTAGCCGCCCACCTTTTTATCCATTTATTACTTCTTCTCTTTCAGCTTCTACTAGTCATAATCTTTCGTTATCATCTATATAGTTCAATTGTATTGCTCTTTATTCGTTCAATATACCCATCGGGACTACATTGGCAGGTAAGTTGATTTAGACTCATTTTCTACGCTTACAGTAAAGTTTCTAGGTTCCCGGTTACTTTTCAAAGGTTAGATTGAGTCAGTTAGTTGAATCAACTGCCTTTATCAATTAACTGATCAGCTCCTTGAGTATACTGCTCATATCTACTGTCTGACTCGACTATTTGAACTGATATTGACTGATAAATAGTCATCAATTGAAGGTTTGTCAAGTGTTAGTTTTGAATTACCGCCCTGAAAGTGATCTATCATTTTTCGCATCAAAAAATTAAGTTCCTCACATAAAAAAAAAATCTCTATAAAAAAAACAAAATCCTCAAAAAAGTTTTTTGCAACAATAAAAAAATCACCAATTTAAATTTCTAATTATCATGTCGTTCACGAGTTATACCGCAATTGACAGTAAATATCCATAATAAATCACCAATACAATCGGGGAAATATCCCTCATGGATGAAAGAGTTACTCTTTTTAATGAAAACGAAATTCCATCTGGTTATACTAAAGTAATCCCTGAGCATGTGTTACCACCACAAAATGAAAACAAGCTGCTTTCAAGGTACCCTAACGAAGCTAGGGGCAACATTTTGAAAGTACAGCAGTATCTTCATTCAAATTTTGTTCGCACAAGGTGTTGGTCAACTGTTTTAGCAATCTCGATTGATGATTCTATTATCAGTGATATTCCACGCGATTTCCGTCATGATTATAAATACATTATAGCATTCCTCCTTCGGCGATTTAATTATGATTTGGCAATGAAAATGGAAGAAAACAAAATACTTTTATTCAAAATCCTTCCCGATGAGAACCTCATTGCATTTGCTATCAGATGTGCTGATGTTGTTGATTAATTACAATTCTTCTCGGCTTCTACTGCGCGTGAATTACTTCAACCAGCTTTGGATAAGGTCTTTTATGTTTCAGGTATGGCTGGTGTAGCTAATCAAATCATTTCTACTCAAATCCTAGGCGCTCAAACAGATCATAAACTGGATGCAAATGCTTGTTTTTTGAGTGCTTTGCATGCTATGTATGCACAAGATTCCGAAAGTGTGCCTACTCACAATGCATCTAGTAATGCAAATGAGCCTATAAACCTCGCTAAGCCAACATCAAATAATAACAATCCAGAATTACCAAAGAAAAATGAAAGCAAACATAGCAAACTGAGTTACTTGTGTCGTAAATGTAATTGTCCAAGTTGCAAACACTCGAAAAATCTATATCATGATTGTAAACATGAACATCATGTTAATTGGAAGAAATATAAGAAATTTTTAAATGTTTTATTAAGTCATTGTGAAGAATCCAAGTTAGACCATCACATTGTGGATCTCGATGAAAATCCGAATATAGATGAAAATGAATTAGCTTTTAAACTTGATCAGCTCTGTTTATCATTGGAATCGGAATCAGAATCAGAATCAGAATTAGAACGTAAAATCAAAGATGAAATTACATCGAATATTGATAGCGATTCAGTTTCTATTCCACATATGAAACCAAAAAAGAGTGGCCCAAATGGGCCCAGTAAAGATGATATCTTATTTGGTTCAGCAGCCTCAGATAATTTTATTTACCGGGGTACTTTGAAGAATTTAGATGGTAACTTAAAATTGTTATATTTTTCCACTTGCGAAGGATATGAAATTTCTGTTGCTTCAGGTAAACCCATAGTGGCTAATAAAGTAGCTCACTTCGAACTTAGGTTAGTGCCACAAGCAGATCCTATTAATATTGCTTGTATAATTCTACCCAATATTAAACATAGAGTTATTATCGGAAGACCACAACTTGGAGAATTTGATTATCAAATGAGTAATAAAAATGGAGACTCTATCTGTTTGAATGGTAAAAGATACTTTGCTGTTCAAATCCCAGCTCTCTATAATCCAAATATTACCCATGCCATTCAAATAGGAACATTCAGTTGATCAATGCAAATTCACCAATTGAATGGTCTTATGAATACACAAGATATGGAGAGAATAAAAAAAAAAAAAAAAATAGTCAATTGTTTCTAAAACTGATCCAAGTTTAGTATGATATCTACCCAGTAAAAGTACGTGATAAGTTATGCTGTAAAACCTTGTAAGACCCAAAATTACAATAAGGCTGCAGAAAATCAAAACTACTACAATATAATGCAATTCCTTATATCTTACAAACAAATATTCATTGCTGCCGTTCAAGTTCTTATTCGTTGATATCCCAGAGTAGTTACCAGGCTAATCTTCAGTTATGCCAGTTCAAAATGCGTGTTTCATAAAACCCAAACATTTCATTTCTACGCGTACTTACCGATAATGTTTGTTGTGGTGTTTACCCCTACACCAGATTAGATTCAATTGCAACTCAAAACCTGTTCTGTTCGGTATTCCTCTCAATTGCACCACTTGCCTTCAAGTTATTGTTCTTCCGTATGCTCTCGTATTGGATACGTGTGTCTCTTATTCTTTCCCGTATTGCTACTTGTTATTAGTACCTTGTTCATCTATATATAACCTCGTTCATACTTGACTGTAATCAACCGATAAGACTGAAACTAGACGGTTCCACATCACAAAAATGAAAAAATACGTCAAAGATGCGTTTGACAGGAGTATTGCAAACTTTCAGTGCCAGTTGGTTGTTTAAAGCGGTTGCAACCGGCTGATAGGATGTTTGTATGCTTAATAGTGTGGGTTCATGTGTAAATGGAGGGCAACGCCCTGCTTCAACGTTGATGATTTCACGTTGATCAACGTGAATGTTGATCAACTCTCACGTTAAAGTGCAGGCAGCAAAAGCTTCTCGAATCAATTATGAACCTTTTGACCCGAAAACTAACCAAAGAGCTGACCCAGTGTTCTATTCTATTGTTGAGATTTCATTGTTAATTTCACCTTCTTTCTGATTATTTAGTTTATTTCAAGGCCCTTTTCAGCAAACCATATAATTGAATGGCTTTTGGTTACTCCACATAACCTTTTACCCAAAACAACAATAGCCCAGACTTATTGGCTTAGTTCAATCCTCTATTGAGTAAGCAAAATTGATTAGCTGTAAAACAGATACCTTTATTTAGTTATGTTTTTCAGTTTCAGAACCGATATTCAAGCTTTACAAGCTACTGTTTGTATATATTCTTGTAAATATCCTTCTCTTTCCATACTTTTTTTGTAATTGATAATATTCAAATAATGAATTTTTCAACTATTCTTAAATTGGCTTACGTATTGGTTTTTGCTTCGGCTTTGCATCTTCCAAACATTGATAAAAGGTCAAACTCAACAACTAGTCCTTTTAGTGTTGGATTTTCTTTGAAAAGAGGGTCCAATCATCAACTGATTAGTACTGAGACTGGTGCTAAGGCTAAATTGGTTTTCAATCATGGTGTAACTAAAAAGGATGGAACTGCTTCAGTTACTATTGAAAACGAAAAAACTTTTTATTTGGTAGATGTTGAAGTTGGTTCGAATAAAGATAAAAATCAAGTTCTCATTGATACTGGTTCCTCTGATTTATGGGTGGTTGCTTCTGACGCTAATTGTCAAGGTGTTGACTGTAAAAATTATGGTACTTTTGATGAATCTTCTTCTTCTTCTTATAAAGATTTGAATGAAAATTTCAAAATTTCTTATGGTGATGGTAGTGGTGCTAGTGGTAATTGGGCTACTGATGATGTTACCGTTGGTGATGTTGAAGTTAGTGCTTTGCAATTTGCTGTTGCTACTCAATCAAGTTCTGATATTGGTGTTTTAGGTATTGCTACTAAAAATGTAGAATCTTCTGATTCTTCTTATAATAATCTTCCTTATGCTTTACAAAAGCAAGGTAAAATTGATAAAGTTGCTTATTCTTTATACTTAAATTCCAAATCTGCTGCTTCTGGTACTTTATTATTTGGTGGTATTGATCATGCTAAATACTCTGGTTCTTTAGTCAAATTCCCTTATTCTGGTTATGGTTTCAACATTCAATTAAATTCAATTGACTATAATGGTGATTCAAACTCTTTCAATGATAAAGTTTTATTAGATTCTGGTACTACTTTGACCTATTTACCTCAAGATATCGTTGATTCCATTGGTAAAGCTTTAAATGGTTCTTGGGATAGTTCTGCCGGTATCTATACCATTGACTGTGATCAACCAGATGATAAATACATCGAATATAAATTCAATGGATTAACAATTAAAGTTCCTTTAAGTGATTTGGTCTTCGACTTTGATTCTTCCTCCTCTTGTGCTTTGGGTTATATCGCCACAAGTAACACCTACATCTTGGGGGATAACTTTTTGAGAAATGCTTATGTTTACTACGATCTCGATGATACCTCCATTTCTTTGGCCCAAGTTGTCTTCACCGATAGTACCGATATCGAAACCGTTTAATTTCCTTTCTTCTATTCCTTTACGTAGATCCCTTTTCCATTTTTCTAACTTACCGTTTCAGCTTAGATTCCCTATTTCATACCCTTAGCTGGTCTTATTCACATTTCAAAAGTTTAGTCAAATCTGTAAGCCGTAGTGAGAGAATTTAGCTATACGTTTTGTGCTGGTGATATTTTAGATAAAATTCTCAGTGAAAAAAAAAAAAATTATTTAAATAATTGAAATCCACAATTTTTTTCGATTACTAACTTCAAGTTTATTAACAAAATGTCCCATCAATACCACTTTAACGTTCAAATGTCCTGTTCTGGATGCTCAGGTGCTGTCAACAGAGTCTTGACTAAGTTAGATGGAGTTTCAGACATCAAGATCTCTTTGGAAGACCAAACTGTTGACGTTACCACTAGCGATTCTCTTGATTATGATACTGTTTATAATACCATTTCTAAAACTGGTAAGAAGGTAATTGATGGTAAGGTTGTTCAATAGACTCTTAAAACTACATATATTGCCAAAAATGATTCATCTATTCATCTATACTACGGATTTCCACTATTTCTCTTATATAATTATCTCTTAAATCACTTTTAATGAATACACTTTCAATGACTTTAATTAATTCATCAGTTTTGTAATCAAATAATTCACCTTGGTAGAAAAACTCCATGATGTCTTTCAAATGGTTGTTAATCAAAATGTAAGTTTGCTGTAATTTATTTGAAGATTTAATAGACGTCAAAGGTTCGTTAACCAAAGATAAATTATCTAAGGTTATTTTTTGAATGTAAATTATGAATTTGGATATCTTATCGGATTGAGACTCCGTTATCTCATTAAGGTTGATGATTGCGTTGATCAACCAATTGTTAATTACTTCAATGAATTGTATGATTGAATTTTTGAACTTATCAAAGTTAGTAAACGATAATTGTGATTTTTGCAATGTTTCAAACCAATTTTTCAAATCAATTGGCTCTTTGAATTCGTCATCGTTATCTTCAGTGATATGTTGCGAAAGTAAGATTTTAAATAATTCATTTGAATAAACTATAGTTTGTTGTGACCAGTTTGATTCGGCACTTATACTTAATCGATTTTTTTGTAATATTTGACCTAAATGGTTCAAATCATTATACAAGAGGAATGATTCACCCATAGACGGATATCCTAGTAAACTGAAGGATATAATACAGGATATTAATAACTCGTCATCGGTATTTGGTCCGGTCTCTTGGTGGAATTTCCCAATAATTTCACCAACTTTTTCCGGTACTCGGGATATCTTCAACTGGTTATCATTCTTTGGTGTCTTTGATTTGGCCTTGGGCTCCTCTCCCCAATCTTCATCCCATTCATTATCCCATGCATCTTCTTCTTCTTCTTCCTCTTCTTCACTGCCCCAAGAGTTATTCCAATTATCGTCATCATTCTTTGCAACACTGAGTGATTGTAAGAGCTTATCAAACTCATTGCTGCTAAATAGTTTTCGCAATTCGTTTATATACTTATCGACGACCCAATCTAAATATAGATAATTCAATTGTTCGTTGATTTTTTCCGAAGAACTAAAGGATTTTGTAAATGATAATGACCAATTGGTTCGATTGCTCAATTCAACAATATTTTTCAATTCTTCAATATTCTCTTTTGAATTATTTTCATGTAGTTTGGTTATATTTTCTGAAATTGTATTACTCAAATTGTTAGATATTTCATTGGCAAAATAATTTTTAAAATTTTGATTACCAAAAGCATTAATGAAAGTTATGAAATTTTTAATTGAACGGAAATAGTATTCATTGAAAAATTGGTCACCTGGGAATGCGTCGGTTATAGATAACTCAAATACTGACTCTTTTATATCGATATTTATATACTTTTTCTTTGTAATTAATTGGCTTAATATTTTTTTATCCCAACTAAATTTCAATCCATTTAAAACTTGCTTTAGTTCAGGTTTATTTGAATATTCAGTGAACTCTTCGGCTATTCTCTCGAATTCAATAAAACTTATGTACTCTTCTCTTACTTTTAATTCCTGGTTGAATGTTATTGATTCGATATCTTCTATTATGAATTTTGAAACCAACTTCAATAACTCATCATTCAATCTTTGATTGAATGACACAAGCTGTTCGTTCAATTGTTCTCGAATCAACCAATGGTCATCAATTTGTTGTAGTTTAGTCGACAAGCTCTTTAAATTCGTTGATATCCCTTCTAAATCGTCCTTATCGTATTGACCTTCATTGATTGAGTTATCTAGAGATATTTCAATTTCTTGAATCAACCCCTTAATAATCCATAACCTGTTCAATTCACCCAAGTTCAATGTGATTTCATTTGTCTTCTCATTCAATTGAGATATAGTAAGCCTTGATAAATCATCCTTTTCCTCCTCTTCAGTTGGTCTTGATTTCGATTTGGCCGCGTTGGGACTTTGAAAATTAGAATCCTTAATTATATCTATGGAACTCACCAAGGAGCCAAACTCCAATACTCTTTCATCAGTGGCTTCAAGCCTGGTCTGGGACTGGGTCAACAAAGCCGAGATAGACATATCCCTACTGTTACTCTTGAAGTAGGTGCTAGTTAGTTGTCTTTTCTCATTGGATTTTCCAATACATAAAAAAAAAAGTTGGTAGTGTCTACGCTAATATCATAAGTGTATATATATTATATTATATTAAATCTTCAGAGATATCATCATCAACGTATTCGTCATCTTTATTCATTCTGTAAATGGTCATTGCCATACTGGCCATGTTCAACGTATTCATGAACCAGCTTGGTAAGGCCCACTCGTAGAGTTCAATCAAATTAAATGATATATCCAAAAAGTTACCAATTAATTCAATTATTAACATCACTTTATCAAACTTTAAATCTTTCAAGATTTTCTCGTATTTTCTGAGAATTCCGCTTCTCCCAACACCAGTGTTGGTGGGTTCCTCTTCCAATAATTTAGAGTTCTTATTTGATTTCAATATGTTTAACTCAACCTTGATCTTGTTTTCTTTCCTTATCACATTGAGTAATTGTGAAATGGTCTTTCTAATCAAGAATACAAGTATAACAACCCATAATTTGTTGGTTTGCTTCAACAAGCTGATTAATTTTTGTGGGAACATGGGCAATTTCGAAAATAAATGTAGATTATCAAGGATATTAGCTAAGCTCTCGAGTAAGGATATGACTATATGTTCAATTTTTTTAAAAGACAACGGCTTGGGGCTTGGTTTTTTATTCTGCAGCTGCTGGTGAGACTGGTTTGGACTGTGCTTGGAACTACTGCTTGCCTTCTGGTTGGCCAAGTTCTTAATATCAAGCTTATTGAAAATTGGAGGGTAAAGTGGTGCCGGTAACGCTGGCTTGGGTTTTTCCTGGCGGGGTGTTTGTTTCTGTTCTTCTTCTTTCTTCTGTTGTTTCTTGTATTCCAATAAAAACTCTATTTTGTCTTTACTAACACTCTGATTTCCCTTCTGATACTCTTTCTCGATAATCTTTATAAGGTTATTGATAACAAGTTGTTTATCCTTGTGGGAGGCGTACGTGGGGTTGTGGTTCGCAAACGGCGTCTTGGGTGGCAACTCAGGAAAACTAGAAAAGGCACCAGCACTTGGATTAACCATAATTGTAAAGAAGAGACCGTCAATAAATCAAAAAGATGTTGTTCATCTTAGAAACAACTCCATTTTCATGGGTTTTTTTTTTTTTTTTTTTTTGGTTCTTTAACGGTTGGGGTCGTGTCTCGGTATCATACCCTTATCAATTTACCGAGGAATCTCCAACTCTAAGTAGATATAGCCATAACTATAGCTATGTTATAGTATTCAGTGGCTACTAACTGGTGGCTGTTAAGATTGGGTATCATGAGCATCTCGTTGGCTACTCTTAATCATGGTGTATGGTATTTTTTGTGCTTTTTTCTATAATTTTGCAACTGTTTCTAAGCATATTGCAAAAAAACAACTTTCTTTATATGCCAACTTAAGGATTAGCAGTATAAATCATGACACCAAGCTTGTATTTTACTAGTTCGCAGACTTTATGTAATAACCACAATGGAATCCTGTCAGCTTTTGGACTCAAAAGTTGCAGTTGGCTTCAATTGCTCAGAATCAACTTTAGGCTCAGAAGGATATGCTTCTCCCAATTCTACATTTTCTTGTTTGACTTCAAAGCTCGCCAGATTCGGTAGTTTCAACCTGGAACTAGAGTCTTTGGCCGACTTACAACTTGATGGAGACTTGAGTACTACGTTTTCCAATTTTTGGGGAGTTATTCCCAATTTGAAGACCCCTCAAGAGATCCTTGACGAGTTGTGTCGCGGGTTCTTCGATACTCTTGACGGCTGCAAAATCTTCGGTGAACATTCTTCAAACGACAGCTCCAAAGGGGTTTTTATTGGGAAAGAAGAAAAGGCCAAGACAGTGCTGAAAGAGGCCACTAATGTCGTGAAAGAGTACAATTCAATTGAAGACAGTGATCTGTTGGTGAATATTTGTCTAAACTTAAACACCAGCCAATTACACAAATTGCAAAATTTATCCCAAGGATTTAATGAAACACAAAGACTCTGTAATATAAGAAGACCCCGTTATATCAGAAATAGTTTAAACCATTTGATTACCAAGTTGCAACTCTATGAAAAAAATCCCAAATTTTCAATTGAAAATCCGTTTCAATATGAATTCACCCGAGTAGAACGTTCCAAAAAAACTTTATGTCCAATAAATTCTTCCAGAGAAGGATTATGTCCCTATTGTCCGGGGTTATGCTTTTTCAAACTTCGAGATCACCTCAATCATAATCATTACTCAGAACATCTCGCTAATGTACACGGAGTTTTCGCTGACAACTACTTGACTCCAAACCCCTATGGCCACGGTAAGTATAGGCAGTTCTTGAAACAGTCCAAGTATGATAGCATCGAAACAGACCCATACGTTGCGGTTTCATGTCCAGTTTGTTGCCAGTTGATTGAGATTACCGATGACAGCCTAGATCCTTATATGATGCATTTTAGAATAAAACATCGGGTATCTAAATTGAAAAATTTGGATTCGATTAGATTTTACAAAGGCATGCTTAAGCTTGATGAAGCTTCCGAAGAGGATCGAAAGTTATTTCATTTTGATTAAATTATATATATATATATACATTAAAATTTCTATAAAACTTGAATAAATAATGCTGCTAATTCTAATATAAGAATTTATCAGTCCTGTGAATAGACCCATTCGTTTTTAAAGTGTCCAAGTATTCTTTCCAAGTTGGATCGCCTCTTCTTAAACATTCAACATCACCAACAAGAATTAAACCATATTTGGCTCTTGTTAATGCAACGTTCAATCTTCTTTTATCACTTAAGAAACCAATCTTGTTTTGAGAGTTTGATCTTACACATGACATGATAAGGAAATTCTTTTCACGACCTTGGAATGCATCGATTGAAGCAATCATGATACCGGAAACCGAGTTAATTTTAGCTGGTTTACTCTCGGATTCCATATCGTCTCTATCAACTTGTGAAATGATTTCTTCTTTATAGGGATTGACTAATGGATTATCAACTAAAACATCAGAAATTAAATCTCTTTGCCCACTATATGGACTAATAACACCAATATCTTCGCGAGGAATTCTTTTTTCATAAACTAAAGTAATAATTACTTCGGCAATAAAATCAATTTCTCCTCGGTTAACATATGTATATCCTCTATCTTCTCTGTAACTAGCTCTAAAAGTACTTTCTTTATTCTTACCACAAGTATCCCAGAAGAATACCGGATTTTCAGGAATACCTTCCATTTGACGGTCTTCTGCTGAGATACCATCTTTCAATTTATCATCATAGAATTTCAGTTTAGGGAATGAACTAATGGCAGGATGCATACGATATTGAGTATCAAGCATATGTTGGTTACGATAAGTCCCATTCAAAAGTACTCTTTCAAATAACGATAATGATAAATTAGGAACTTGACTAAAACTACTCAATTGTTTTTGATCACCAACGAAAACAAATTTATCAACACCAGGCATTGATAATGGAATTAACGTGGTGGGTTCTGATGATTGAGTAGCTTCATCCATAATAACAACCGGTAATTTCTTCACTGAATTTAACTTGTTACCACCTGCAACAACAGTGGTGGTGAAAATTACTTTTGCTTGAGCGATAAGAGTATCTGAGATTTCAATTTGTTTAGCAAGTAGTTTTTTATATTGATTTTGACTTGCTGGTGGAGAAAATGGTCTTTTCATATCATTAACTAATTCTTTCATATGTAAAGGTAATGAGTCATAAACCTTATGATGTAAACAAATCCCGCCAAGTGGATGCTCTCTATTATATTCATCTTCCTTTTCATTTGCAACAATTCTTAAAATTTCTCTAGAATGGTTACCCAATAATTTTTCTGCAATATTATCAATAGCAATATTAGATGCTGCAACAACCAATATGGGATAAGTGTTTAAATTTTCAAGTAATTGTAAAATAATTTCATAAATGGTTGAAGTTTTACCAGTACCTGGAGGACCTTGTAATACAGTGATTGAATTATTTAAAACTGATTGGATTGCCACTTTTTGGGATTCGTTTAATGATTCTCTCGAATATTTAATGAAATTTTTGAAAAGAATTTGTTTAATCGGTTCTTTACCTAATAACATACTAATAAACTTTGGATTTTCAATTCTTGACATTGCCATAAAGATTCTGCTCACTGGAACAGAAGCAGGTAATAATCTTAGGAATCTTACATTCATGGATAATGGTAATGGTTGGTCATTCCATTTATATAATTCCACAACCAATTCCATATTTTGGGTACCACCACCACGGCCACGACCAACTTTTTTAACATCTTGAGTCATAATTTGACCATACCAGACAACGTCTTCGTTAGCAATGAGAAATATTGATTGTTTCACATTAAATGGAACTCTATTCATTTGTTGCATTTTCTTTGATAAATAACGATTGAGAAATTGTTCTGTTAAAGCAATTGTGACTTTATATTGGCGATGTTTCTTATCCAAATCTGCATACCATTCTAAAGCCATTTCGTCAGCGGTGATGATTGGTGATTTATAACCAGTTGCATTTATTTTTTCTTCCAAAAAGATATTGTAAGACATTTCTCTGAAATAAGAATCGAGGTTGTCGTAGCTTAGTTTAGGAGTTGGTGAAGGGACATATTTTTTGATCGTTGGGGGCAATTGAAGATCATCTAGATAAGAAGCTTTTTGAGTAGCGGGCGGTGGACTTTGGGAAGGCGTTGGAGCTGGTGTTTGTCTAGGTGTATGTCTAGGCGTTTGTTTTGGAGTTTGTTTTGGAGTTTGTTTTGGAGTTTGTTTTGGAGTTTGTTTTGGAGTTTGTTTTGAAGATTCCTTTGGAGCTTGTTTTGAAGATTCCTTTGGAGCTTGTTTTGAAGCTTGTTTTGGAGCTTGTTTTGGAGCTTGTTTTGGAGTTTCCTTTGGAGTTTCCTTTGGAGTTTTTGGTGTAGGTTTAGGTGTTTGTTTGGCGTGTTTAGGCTTACTTGAAGCCGTGGATGACTTTGGAGCATCTGATTTGTTATTTGATCTATCTTTATGAGTAGGCTTCTTGTCTTTAGGGCCCAGATTCATTGAGCTTTTATTTGATCTGTCTTGACGAGCTCTATCTTGAACTGGTTTATTATCTTGCACCGGATTTATGGGTTTGTTATTATGGAAACCATTGATTGGGCCAGAAGGAAACCCGTTCCCATTCACTTTAGGATTACGAGGTGGAGCTTTATCCAATCTAGCATTATCGGGTTTACGCAGAGGTTTATTAGATTTACCAGGTACAATACCTCTATTAATTTTAGAATTTGGATTATTTCTATTAGCATTTGAATTTGGATCACCTTTTAAATTTGGTTTTGGATTTGGATTACTATTTACTGACCCCACTGCCATAACAGTTTTACCTTGTTTGATTGCTTTTGAATTTGCCTTTGTTGTTTTATAATGAGCTCTTCTCTCTTCTAAAGCAGGATCAACTGGTTTAGAAGGACCCTTTTTCTTACCCTTTGCCTGACGGCCACCTTTTCTACCAACTTTCCTCTTACGTCTATTCAAGCTTGCTTTCGAGGGTATAAATTCTTTAATACCTAATAATTCATTTAAGAACAAATCATCATTTTCATTAGTGAATTTAACTCCTTTGTAAGCATCATTCGAAGCTAAACAGTTATTACATACTATAACTTGTTTATTTTTAACTTTACCCACGTTCAAATTATCATCTTTATGACAAAATTGGCACTCAATATCTCTGAATTGATAATATTGAGGTAATTTTTTGAATAATGAGCCGTTTGATAAGGAATATTGGGTGGATGGTTTTTCTTCCTTGGCAAGACATTGTTGACAAAGTAAAGACATATCTGAAAGACCAAAACGTAATAGAGCTAATTGATGAATATTTGAATCTTGACATTCTTCACATTCGATTGTTTCTTCGAGTTTATCGTAATTAACCACCTTATGTCTCAGGAGCGACAAATGCTTCCCCATTTCGTTTTCATCATGAGTAACACCACATGTTTGACAAGTGAAATCGACCATAGTTAGGTTAGTTGAGTATACGGTACAAGTAAAAGCATCGCTTTAATTAAAATTTTTGCTCATTTTTTTCAGTACCCTTTACCTACAAGAACTTCCTCAAACGCCAACTTAGCCATTTTTAATTACTTCGCTACTTACTCTTTGGCTATTAACATCATTTGTTACTAAATGCTGGGAATAGTTTTTCCAAACTGATTTTGGAGAAAAATTCTGGGTAACTGTAGGGTAACGGTAAGTATGTTACGGCTTGGGTAGATAGAGAGGAAAGTAACAGAGTCTTATCAGTGAGATCCCCGAATACAACGAAGCGGGTGGAATTGATAAGATAATATTTGAACCCGTGATTGATAGCTAATAGCGGTATATAACTGCAAGATATTCACTTTATTTTTTATTCCCCGACATCATTTACACGTGCCTGAAAAATAGATCTATATATATATATATCAAAACAATTGGACGTTGAAAACATTGTAGTGAAATTTTGGAAATATTTCAGTAGAAGATGTATGAAAAGGATCCTGCTACCGTCCAGGCTACTGAAGAAGGCTCGACCATCAGTGTATCTAGAACCAGTGATTTAAAAGAGTTAGAAGGAAATGATGAAGTTCTTGCTGCTAAAATGAGATTAATCAATAATGCTATTGATGAAATTGGGTTTACGCCTTATCATTTAAAATTATTTTTTTTAAATGGTATGGGATATGCTACTGATTCACAAATCACTACTATTGAAAACAGTGTACGTACTTATATAAACTATCAGTTTGGGTATAAGTTTGCTGTTAGTAATGAAGTGAGTTATGGGGGGTTATTTGTTGGATGTATTTTTTGGGGTTTTAGTGCTGATTTAATTGGAAGAAAGTTGGCTTTTAACTTATCGCTTATATTGCTGGCTATTTTTTGTATTTTAACCGGGGCGATGAATAGTATGGCTACGTTTTGTATTTTCATTGGGTTATTAGGTTTTGCTGCCGGTGGTAACTTGGTTTTGGATACTTGTGTTTTTTTAGAATGGTTACCCCATAAGAATCAGTGGTTATTAACTTTTTTTGCATTTTTTTGGTCGATTGGCCAAACGGTGGCCGTATTACTTGCCTGGGCGTTTTTACCTAACAATTCTTGTGATTCGGAATCTTATTGTCCTTCTCATATAAACAAGGGTTGGAGATATACTTATTATGTGAATGGGGCCATTGTTTTAGTTATGGCTATTCTTCGGATTACAGTTATTAGATTAAAGGAAACCCCCAAATTTTTAGTATCTAATAATCGGGATTTAGAAGCAGTTGAAGTATTACAATGGGTTGCAAATAAGTATAATCGGAAATGTTCATTAACCGTTGAACAATTAACTGAATGTGGAGAAATTGAAATTAATGATGATGTAAGAAAGCATGTCTCGTTATCAGGAATACAAAAAATTGTGAAAGAGCATTTGAAATTGTTATTTGCAAATAGGAAAAGTAGTAGATCAATCATACTACTTTTTCTGAGTTGGTTTTTATTGGGGATAGTTTATCCATTATATTCATCCTTTTTACCAGTTTATTTAGCTACTCGAGGAGCTAATATTAGTGCGTCGACTACTTACGGAGTTTATCGAGATAATGTTATTAGTAACGTTGTTTCAGCAGGAGGTCCATGTATTGCAGGGTTACTTTTATACGGGTTTCCTCGTTTAGGTCGTAGGGGAGTATTGGCCATTGGGGGATTATCTACCATGGCCTTTTTATTAGGTTATACTGCAATCACCAATCGAGAATCAAATATTGCCCTATCTTCACTTTCATTTGCCGCTTTATATATTTATTATGGATGTTTATATGCTTATTCTCCAGAAGTGCTTCCTTCGGCAGCTAGAGGTACTGGTAATGCTCTTTGTTTCGCTTTCACTAGATTTGCTGGAATGATTACTCCAATCATTTCCTGGTTTGCTAATCCAGATACCGCCGTTCCCATTTACATTTGTGCAGTTGCCGTGGGTCTTATTGGTTTAATGGCTCTATTATTTCCTTTTGAACCAAGTAAACATAGAGTAGTATGAGTTTACTGAAAGTATCGTATAAACTAGACGTTTTGAATCATCAATTGACCCTTGTCAATTATAATGATAACTACCTTATCAACGAGTATTTTTTTTGGTACGCTCATTTCCAGAGTATCCTACTGGACAACTAGACAACTAGACACTAAAGACACTAATCAACTAGACACTAAACAACTAGACACTAAACAACTAGACACTAAACAACTAGACACTAAACAACTAGACACTAAACCATAACTAAATAACTAAATACATAAATCTATATAAATCTATATAAATCTGAATAACTACATAAATCTAGATAAATCTGAATAACTAAATAAATAAATCTAGATAAATCTGAATAACTAAATACATAAATCTAGATAAATCTGAATAACTAAATAAATAAATCTAGATATATCTGAATAACTCAAGATAACACATAAATCTGAATACTCAAGGTAACAAATCTAAACATCTAAATAACTCAAGATAACAATTCTAAACATCTAAATAACTCAAGATAACAATTCTAAACATCTAAATAACTCAATATAACAATTCTAAACATCTAATCAGTTTGGCAGTTTGACTGTTTAGATGAGGAATGTTTGATACCAGATATTAAACATCAACTGCCAATCATCCTGAGCCATTCAATTACACTTCCGCATTCATCTAGATCCAACTACGCATCTAATTAAGCTCCTCGTAAATGCTCAGCTCATAAACTCATCAACTCCCCATCAACCCGCTCTTCTGCTCAGCTAGTGTTTTGAACGAATATGTGAAACTCATTAGTGAGCTGTGTGTGGTGCACGGGCCTGCACTGGTTGGTCGCGTTGTCGAACGCGTTAAACAAGTTTTTTCTTTTTTTTTTTTTTCGCATTTTCAAATTTTTTATTAAAACCACAAATAGAAAAACAGCGGGCGTCTAATAATTGATTAAAACAAGGAATTGATCTCCTACTTCTCTACTTATACCATCTTGTATCTATATCTTGATTACTCGTACGCTTTACCACTTGTGCAATTACACTCACTCATACACTGATACACTGATACACTGATACACTCATCTGATACACTCATCTGATACACTCATCTGATACACTCATATACTGATACACTCACTACACTTATAAGATACTCACACTCGTTATAGCCGCTCACAATGTATCAAGTGCCCACTGCTCCCTTTGGTGATAAGGCAGGCACCCATTACAGCACCTCGTCCAGCGTCTACTCGCCGGTGGAATCAGAGTATGCGTTCAATAATCGCTCGAACCATCAAATCGTGGAAGAAGAAGAAGAATTGGATGGAAATGACCTAGCCCATTCTGACAGCTTCGAAACAAGCCAATCTATTCACCCTGATCTATCAAATCAAACGTTCCAGTCGTACATGACTGCCAACGGCAGCACTCCCAGCTTCTCGTCGATTCATAATTCCCTTTTGAAAAATGACAGTCATGATGATTTATCCATGAAGAAACGTAATTCAATTACTTATATCAATCCCAGTAGATCAAACAATCGAAATTCTTATGTGGTTAATCTCGATGACGATGACGCCACTCCTAAATTACCCACGTCCTCCACCTATCCTCATATCGATCGCATTGACGATTTCACTCCGGTTATTGATCAAAATAATCCAGGCGCCTTTTTAAATGATTCCTCAAATCATTTACCAAATTCAGACTTCTTAACCCCAAATGGTAGCAACGATAATATCTCTTCTTCTTCTTCATTCAATCGTTTAAGTTCCAATTTGAAAAATAAATCTCCCCAATTACCTCATCAAAGATTAAGTAATAAATTTCAACGATTATCAATTACTTTACAAAATAAAAATAAATCAGGAGATTCTTATAATTTCATGAATTCTTTCCAACAAAATGTTGATAAAGTTAATGGCTCAAATCATAACTCTTCTTTATCAATTGCTGGTAGAACTTCAAATTATTATAATAAAATTGAAGAATCTCAACTGTCCACTAAGGATGTCGATGAAATTAATGATGATGAAAATAAATCACTTTCAAGTACTATAAGTAGTAGATCAAGTGATATTGAAAATGATACTACTATCGAAATTAGTAAACCTTATAATAAAATTACTCCTCTAAAAGTTATTAAAAAATCAAGCATTTCCAATTTAAACTCATCAGATATACCAATCAGAAAAGATTTAGTTAATAAATTTAATAACTTATCAATGTCAGAACAAGAAAAAAATGATTTATTCATTGAAAATTCAAAAAATCCTTTATCTTCAAAATATCCAAATGGCTTAAACATAAATTTCACCGATTCAAAACTTGATCCTAAAAATGAAAATGATTTACAAAATGAATCTAATAATACATTCAATGACTCAAACACTTATCGTCAATCCATTGCAAGTGAAGCCGATAGTCTCGATGAAGAAGATTTATCTTCTCTTTTCATTCGTGCTTTACATCCTTTTGATTCAAGTACTTTACAATCAGAATCTGATGCTAGTATTTGTTTATCTTTTGATAAAGATGATTTAGCTTTTGTTCATACCATTGATGAATCTGGTTGGGGTGAAGTCACGTTAGTTGAATCTTTACAACGAGGTTGGATTCCAATGAATTATTTTAGTATTGCAGTATCTAATATCGATGATGAAGATGAAGAAGAAGATGATGATGAAGATGAAAGTAAAATTCCAAATTCAGTTTATTTAAAACCGCTTCTTCATTCCTGTGGGAAATATTTAATAAATCCTTTATCTCGTCAAACTCCTCGTGGTAAATATACTTTTTCAATTAAAGTTATTAATTCTATTAGAGATGGGGTTAGATTATTATTACAAGAAACTGATTGTATTTCAAGAAATACTGAAATTGTTACTAAAAAAAATATTGTTCGTAAATCAAGAAAATCTTTATTACAAGATTGGTTTAAATTAACTCAAAATGCCATGGAATATAAAGGTACTTCAAATTTTAATAAAATTGAAATTTTAACTTTAATGGTTTATAGAGTTATTAGAAAAGCAATTTCTTTTTTACAAATATGGTCAATTGAAAGTAAAGAAATTATTAAACGTGAAAATGAAAAAAAATTCCAAAATGATATGACTTATCCAATATTATCATCACCACCTTTAGCAAAACAAAGAGTTACCGAAATTAATTCAATTCTTTATTCTTATTTAGGTATGATTATTGGTCGTCTTGATTTAATTGAACATAATACAAAAGGTTGTGAAATTTTAGAAACTTTAGCATCTCATATTCTTTCCTCTTTAAGAGAATTATTATTTATTTCAAGAACCGGGTCAGATTTTTCTCTGGAAAAAATTAATTCTTTAGATGATTCCTTAGATGTATTATTTTCATTATCAAATGATTTGGTTTATGGAGTTAAATGTTTAAAAATTAAAACTGATAATGAGACTGATGACGATAAAAAGCATCTGTTTAATATTAACGGTGGTCAACAAAGTTCTCCTTCAAAAGACTATTATTATACTCAGGAAGGGGGTGATTTAATTCAAGTTTCATCTAAAATGATTAAAGCAATTAGTGGTACTATTGGTTCAATTAGAAAATTATTAGAACTTACTGGTGATTTTAAATTAAGTGCAGCAAGAAGTTACATTGATTATTCTAAAATTAAAATTGAACCAGATGATTTAATTAAACAATGTTCTCTTGCAATTACTAAAAATGAATTTGTTAAAAATCGTGATTTAAAAGCTTTAAAACCAAAAGTCCCTAATCAAATTAATCGTTATTCTGCAGTTATTTCTGGTCAAACTGGTAAACTTTGTTTAACTCCAAGTGGTGCTAATTTATTACATGATGCTATTATTGGTGATGTTGATGGTTCTTCTCCAATGAATATATCAAATCCTGAATTTGAACCATATGTTAATAATAATACTTCCCAAAGTAAATACAATACTAATGATGAATTAATTATTGATGCAAATGGTAACTTATTAGGGGCTTCTTTTAAAGGTTTAGTCTTTACCTTAACTGATGAAGATTCACCACCAGAATACTTTTTCGTTTCAACATTTTTCATTTGTTTCAGGAGTTTTGCTAGTGGTATTGATTTAATTGAAGAATTGATTTCAAGATTTGATATTAAATATACCAATCAAAATAATGAAGATTTAACTTTTGAAATTAAATTGAAAAATAGAAGAAGATTAGTAATTAAAATGTTCCAATTATGGATGGAATCTTACTGGAATCATGAATTAGATTATTCTTTATTAACTACCTTAATGAATTTTTTCAATGAAGGTGTGGCAGTTCATTTACCATTAGACGCAATTAGATTAATTGATATTGCAGCAAAATTATCGAGTAAACCATTAATTGAAAGTCGTTCAGGATTTCTTAATAGACCAGTTAAAACAACTCAACAATTGAAAAATCGAAATATTACCATGACCAAAATTACCAGAAAAAATTCAGTTGGTAGTTTCAATGGTTCAATATCTGAATACTCATTAAATTCTCGTAATTCAATTATAAATGGATTAGAATTACTGAGGTTTGATACTAATAAATCAACGGTTAATTCACTAAAATCAATGGGATTACCAATGATTGGTAATCAAAATAATAATCCATTAAATGAAACATCAATTAATAAAAGTCAATTATATAAAATTGAAAGATCAGTACTTCTATTTAGATCAATTTTAGGAGAACTTTGGTGTGATGCAAAATATGCTCAAAAAAATTTTATTAATTTTAATTTAGAAACAATGTTAATGAAATGGTATAATATTTGTGATCAAAGTATAGAAATGCCAAATAATCGTCCTTACTTATTTGATTATGCACCTTTAGAAATTGCAAGACAATTAACTATCATTGAATCGCATATTTTCTGTTCAATAAAACATGATGAGTTATTAAATGAAAATTTTACTGCCAAAAGAGCTCATTTAAAATTAGCTCCTCATATTAGACAATCATTATTATTTACTAATTGTTTGTCATCATATGTTTTAGAATCAATTTTACAACCAGATATTAATATGAAAACAAGAATTAATGCAATTAGAACTTGGTTAAAAGTTGCATATTCATGTTTAAAATTAAGAAATTTTAATTCATTAGCAGCAATTATAACATCTTTACAATCACATTTAATTACAAGATTAACTAAAGTCTGGCAAGGATTACCTGATAAATATCAAGAACTCAATGAATATCTAAAAGGCATCATTCATCCAGAAAAAAATTACAGCGTTTATCGTGCTGAATTAAAAATATATTTGGTTTCAAATGAATGTAATGTTCCAGTGGTTCCTTATTTTTCATTATTTTTACAAGATTTAACTTTTGTCACTGATGGTAATCCAAATTATAGAAAAGCAAATACTTTCTTAAATCAAAAATTAATCAATATTGATAAATACTTAAAAATTACTAGAATTATTGCTGACATTGAATCATTGCAAATTCCTTATACCAGCTCTTCCATTGATAATAGTAAAGATCAAAAAAGAAGTAGTATTTTCTTTGGAATGAGTGGTGGTCCAGCTGCTGCTAAACATGGTGGTCTTGATGATTGGCAAATCACTTCTTTCCCAGCATTACAAGAATTAATCCTATTGGATTTATGGAAAGTCTGTCAATTGAATCGTCAAGAAGATGATCGTGCTTGGAAACTCAGTTGTCTGGTTCAACCAAGAGAAGCTTATCATTAATACTGTACCATAGAGAGGTGTTCCCTCTTCCTGCTTTCCTTTCTTTTCTTCCTGTTTCCTTTTACTCTTTTGTTCTTCCTTCTGTTCTTATTCTTCCCCATTGCTTTTGTTTCCCTTTGATTTCCCTGGACTCTTTATATAGACGTGTTGTACTTCCCCAATGTATTATTAATTAAAGTAATTTTTTTGCAACTAGTACACGGCCCGTACACCACCCACGGCAAATTTGCAACTCTGACTCATTTTTCGATAATGCGCAGGGTAAAAAGATTAACTAATTTAAGGCAGTAATCAGAACTTGATGATTAACTATTGGAGCGTTGAAAAATTTCAGAGATTTGCACACTACAATAGTGATTTTTCAGTTGGTGTTTTCTATTTTTTTTTTTTTTTTATGAATTAGTTTACTCTTCTTCTTTTTGTATTGAAGATCCAGTGGAAAGAGAAGTTAATCATGTTGAGTGCCAGACAGTCTATCAGGTCAAATCGTGCTGCAATAACGTTACGTTTACAAGGAGCTAGCAGATCATTGGCTACTCAAGCAGCAGATTTATCAAGTGCCTTTAACGTTCCACCCGAATATGTTCGTAGAACTCCACCGTATGCTAAGTTGATTGGTAATTTACAAACTGTTAATCAAATCACTAATAATACTCCATTGACATTGGCTGAAAAAATCTTATACTCCCATTTATGTAATCCAGAAGAAAGTTTAGCTAAATTTAATGGTAGTTTATCTAATATCAGAGGACAAGAGTATTTGAAGTTGAATCCAGATAGAGTAGCTATGCAAGATGCATCTGCACAAACAGCTTTATTACAATTTATGACTTGTGGTATGGCTAGTACTGCCGTACCAGGATCGATTCATTGTGATCATTTAATTGTTGGTAAAGAAGGTGCCGACTCTGATTTAACTAGTTCGATTGCAACTAATAAAGAAGTTTTTGATTTTTTACAGAGTTGTGGTGAAAAATATGGTATTCAATTTTGGGGGCCAGGTTCTGGTATTATTCATCAAATTGTTTTGGAAAACTTTTCGGTTCCTGGATTAATGATGTTGGGTACTGATTCCCATACTCCTAACGCCGGTGGATTGGGTGCTATCGCAATTGGTGTTGGTGGTGCTGACGCCGTTGATGGTTTAACTGGTACTCCTTGGGAATTAAAAGCTCCTAAAATTTTGGGGGTTAAATTATCTGGTAAATTATCTGGCTGGTCTTCTCCAAAAGATGTTATTACTTATTTGGCTGGTATCTTAACCGTTCGTGGTGGTACTGGTTATATTGTCGAATATTTTGGTGAAGGGGTCTCTTCTTTATCATGTACTGGTATGGCTACCATTTGTAATATGGGTGCTGAAATCGGTGCTACGACTTCAACTTTCCCTTATCAAGATGCTCATCGTCGTTACTTGATTCAAACTAATAGAGCTCCAATTGCTGAAGCTGCCACTATCGCAAATGATCAATTTGATTTCTTAAAAGCTGATAAAGGTGCAGAATATGATAAAGTCATTGAAATTAATTTAAATGATTTAGAACCTCATGTAAATGGTCCTTTCACTCCCGATTTATCAACTCCAATTTCTAAATTTGGTGAAACTGCTAAAAATGAAGGTTGGCCTGAAAATGTTAGTGCTGGTTTAATTGGTTCTTGTACTAACTCTTCTTATCAAGATATGTCTCGTGCAGTTTCAATCATTAGACAAGCTGAAAAAGCTGGTTTAAAACCAAAAATTCCATTTTATGTCACTCCTGGTTCTGAACAAATTAGAGCTACTATTGAAAGAGATGGTTTAATTAAAACTTTTGAAAACAACGGTGCTATTGTTTTAGCTAATGCTTGTGGTCCTTGTATTGGTCAATGGGATAGATCTGATGTTCCAAAAACTTCAACTGATTTTAATGCAATTTTCACCTCTTTTAATAGAAATTTTAGAGCTAGAAATGATGGTAATAGAAATACTATGAATTTCTTAACTTCTCCTGATATGGTTACTGCAATGATTTATTCCGGTGATATGAATTATAATCCAATTACTGATTCAATTAAATTACCAAATGGTGAATCTTTCAAATTTGAACCTCCTCAAGGTGAAGAATTACCAGATGATGGGTTTATTCAAGGTCGTGCTGAGTTTTATCCAGAAGCTGATCCAAAACCAAAACCTGATGTTAAAATTAATGTTTCTCCAGATTCTGATAGATTACAAATTTTAGAACCTTTTGCTCCTTGGTCTGGTGAAGAATTATCTACTAATATCTTACTTAAAGTTGAAGGTAAATGTACTACTGATCATATTTCTGCTGCTGGTGCTTGGTTAAAATATAAAGGTCATTTAGAAAATATTTCTTATAATACTTTAATCGGTGCTGTCAATAAAGAAACTGGTGAAGTTAATACTGCTTATGATTTTGATGGTAAATCTTATGGTATTCCAGAATTAATGACTAAATGGAAAACTGAAGGTCGCCCTTGGAATGTTGTTGCTGAACATAATTATGGTGAAGGTTCTGCTAGAGAACATGCAGCCTTATCTCCAAGATTTTTGGGTGGTTCTATCATTTTAGTTAAATCTTTTGCTAGAATTCATGAAACTAATTTGAAAAAACAAGGTATGTTACCTTTAACTTTTGCCAACGAAGAAGATTACGATAAACTTTCTTCTGGTGATTTATTGACTACTGTTGATTTAAGAGATATGGTTGCAAAAGATGGTAATAATGGCGGTACTTTAAGAATGAAAGTTACTCCTAAAGACGGTTCTGCAGAATTCGAAATCTTATGTAAACATACCATGTCTAAAGATCAAATTGACTTCTTTAAAGCTGGTTCTGCAATTAATTATATTGGTAATGTTAAAAGAGAACAAGATGCAGCTGCTGGTTCTGCTTAATCTACCAATATTGATCGAATCTCCCATATTGTAACTTTAGCATTGCGTCTGTTGATCTTTCAGACTTTTATTTAATTACTTTCGTCATGAGACTCTAATTTACTTCTTAGGATTGCGTCTTTCTTATTTATTGCACTCATTGTTCATATTTTTATCAGTTTGATTTAGTTTCTTTCCGTTCTATTCTATGTTAATATAGATTATTTATTTATAAATTGAAATACATGTAATATTAATAACTAATAAATGTATATTTTTTATGAGGAGGGAGATCTGAAAAGAACTAGAGGCAAAAAAATGGGTGCCTAAATAAGAATAAGAAAGTAAAATGAAAACTTATACAATTGTCTAAACAATCAATAGCAAGAAATAAAAAGTTGTTTGAGTCGTATTAATGGTCGATGGAGGGGGGTTTTATAAAAAGAAAAAAACAAGCAAATTTGTAAATGGACTGTTCAAAGTAATGCTTTTTATCGGAAGAACTAGAATGAGAAATATTTGTAAGAAATTGAATGTTTTAAGCATCAATTAAGTTATCATGAGATTTATCAGCATCTTCTTCCTCTTCATCATCATCTTCTTGTTCTCTTGATCTTTCATAAAATTCGTTAATGATTTTAGGACTAATTCTATTTAATAATTCTTTTGGATAAATTCTTAATAAAGACCAGGCTTGATCTAAAGATTCGAAAATACTTCTATTTTCATATGCACCTTGGGAAATGAAATTCTTTTCGAATTTTTCTAAGAATTCTAAAGATAATTTATCTTCAGTTGACAAAGCTTCTTCACCAACAACAGCCTTCATAGCAGCAGCATCTCTACCAATGGCATATTTAGCATATAATTGATTAGAAACATCACCATGATCTTTTCTAGTCATACCTTCACCAATAGCCGATTTCATTAAACGGGATAATGAAGGTAAGACATTGATTGGTGGATAAATACCTCTGTTATATAATTGACGATCAACTGAAATTTGACCTTCAGTAATATAACCAGTTAAATCAGGAATTGGATGGGTAATATCATCATTAGGCATAGTCAAGATAGGAATTTGAGTAATGGAACCATTTCTACCTTCAACTCTACCGGCTCTTTCATAAATGGTAGACAAATCGGTATACATATAACCAGGATAACCTCTTCTACCTGGGACTTCTTCTCTAGCGGCAGAAACTTCTCTTAAAGCATCAGCATAAGAAGACATATCAGTTAAAATGGTTAAAACGTGTCTTTCGGTTTGATAAGCTAAATATTCAGCAGTAGTTAAAGCTAAACGAGGGGTAATAATTCTTTCAATTGTAGGATCATTAGCCAAATTTAAGAATAAAGAGGTTCTTTCTAAAGAACCATTTTCTTCGAAATCTTGTTTGAAAAATCTTGAAGTTTCTAAATTAACCCCCATAGCAGCGAAGACAATGGAGAAATTTTCTTCGTGACCATCATGAACATCTTTAGTTGGTCTAACTAAACCAGCTTGTCTACAAATTTGAGCAGCAATTTCATTGTGAGGTAAACCAGAGGCAGAGAAAATAGGGATTTTTTGACCTCTAGCAATAGAGTTCATAGTATCAATAGCAGAAATACCAGTAGAAATCATTTCTTCAGGATAAATACGAGCATACGGATTAATTGGAGAACCATTGATATCCAAATAATCTTCAGCAAAAATTTTTGGACCTTTATCAATTGGTCTACCGGAACCATCAAAAATACGACCCAACATATCTTCAGAAACTGGGATTTTCAAGTTTTGACCAGTGAATTCAACTCTAGTCTTTTTAACATCAATACCCGAAGTACCTTCAAAAACTTGAACAATAGCTTTGGATCCTCTAACTTCTAAAACTTGACCTGCTCTAACAGTACCATCTGGTAAAGTTAAGTTAACAATTTCATTATAACGAGGGAACTTAACATTATCCAAAATAACTAATGGTCCATTGACACCACCAACGGTATTATAATTGATTCTTGGTTTAATTTTAAACCCTTCGGTAACCGCCTTTTTATTTAATTCAAACAATTCTTTATCAGATAATGACATGATGTGACTTGTGTTTTTTCTCAATATATCTTCAATTGGCTGTCCTATTGAAGTGTACGATTGATTGATCTGCTTAATGTTCTATTAAACTAGTTGATTAAATGTAATTCAAGATGGAATTTCTGATAAGATTCCTTGGGGGTGTTGAAAAAATGAGAGAAAATTGGTTTCTGAGCGAGAATTAAAATTAGGGACACGATTTACACGTGCAGAGGTCTCAAATTTACACAGAGTTGGATAGGATTCTTTAGATTAACGGACTATTTACAGGCTTAATACATTTTGCTTATGACGTCCCAGTCGTCCAATTGGACCTTGGATTGGGCCATCATCTTCAAAGTATCAATTCCAATGTTGTTACCGGGGGTCTGTTGATTTTTGGTGCTATTTTGTGCTGAGGTTGTACGAGGACTAATGGCTGCGGATTTGGTTTTTGCAATCTGATTTGGGGTTCGGCCAGTGCCGTTGGCCATTAATTGGTAGACTTTTTGCATTATGACCTTCAAGTCTGGGTTGCGGTCCCACTCGGGCGATTCTGGAATGTTGATGTTGGAAAATGGATCGAGATTGGCACTGCTGGATCGGGCATTTCCATGGGTCTCACTGATGTTGCCGTATACGTCAGTTGAAAGACCATCGGGCTCGTCGTGCTGTGGGTCCCGGTAGTCTTGCAGGTGAGCCTTTGATTTCTGGAATATATTTGTATATAAGGACTTAAGGGGTGATTGTCTCGAGTGGTTTTGTCTGTCTCGGTCGAGTTTTTCGATATCTGATTTGATAATCGAGTTCATGGCCGAAGAAGAGCTGGATGTAGGAGTTGATATTAGCGATCCGTTTACAGAGACATTACTGGCCTCCTTGGGACTCTCGTTAAGACTGCTGGATGTAGTACTGTTGGTATTATAGTGACTGGGTAATGATGAGTATGATCCAGGATAAGTTTTCTTTAATTCGTTTGCTCTATTCTTTTTTTGTTCCAATATTCCCAACTTGATATTGAAGAAAGATTCCATATTTGCAATTTTTTCAAGAATATGTTCGAAATCGTACATGCTATTGTCGTTGAGTGGATTCCCATCTTCACTGGGTTTCTCGTTGGTATTATGGTGGTTAAGGTTGAAACGAAATTGATTAATGGTACTGGAAAGAGTAGACGAAGAGGTTTTCTTTCTAATGCCATGTTCTTGTGCCTGATGTTGTTGTTGTTGGAATTGTTGTGAATGGCTTGTTGGTAATGAGTCTATTGTTAACGCAAAAAACGTTTTGAAATTGACAATTATCTTAACAATCACCAGAAGAAACTTCAAGTATTCCTTGGTGGTCAACTTGGTGAAAGGTTTGGTCAAAATTTTGTGGGGGATAATCACCATTCGCTTACCCTTAAGGTAATTTTTATCTTTGTTCTTCTTTTCTTGGTCGCCTAGTTTATCTTCACTATTGTTGATATTTCTCTCTGGTTCAGGGGCCGATGGCAGGGGCGATTTAGCCTTTGTATCATTCTTATTACTCCCATTAACTGATGCTCTTCTGAGTTGATAGTTGATTGTTTTGGAAGATAATGGGAGTTTAATCTCATCGCCCAATTTTATGATTCTTTCGTTATCCACGTTGATTTCTTTTATTTCTGTAGCTGATACCGGTGATTTTTCCTCATTGCTTGAGTCATCTGGAGATATATTTCCCCCACTAGTCATGAAGTTTTCTTTTTCCTGAACCAAATCATGGAAAGAGCTATCTGGGAGATAATTCTTCAACTCCACGAGGTATGGAAGATGCATGAAGTCATTACCTATTTTAAATATATCAAGTAATTGAATTTGAAGACGGATCAAGTTCTCAAAGAATTCATTTATGCTGATCACCTTATTATTATACTTCAATAAGTCTTGAATTGAAAGTATTGGCTGATCAAAAAATAAAAGCCTTGAAGTCTTGAAAGGCTGTTTATATATCTTGGTTGTTATTATACTTGTATATTTATTAGAGGATAGTTTATGGGAAAACACAATATCTTTCAAGACTTTAAAATGACTTGCTTGTAATTGACATGCCTGTTTTTCAATTTGATAAGTTTTTTCATGTTTATACTCCGATATTTGGGATGTTATTTTATAGTTAGTTTTGTTAAAATTATCGATTATTTGGTGTTCTTTCTCATTTATTTTAGTACGTTCAGAATCTATAGTATTTGCTTGTTTCTCTATATCGGTCCTTAAATGACTTATTTTCGAGCTGGTAGCCTGTTTACTCCGTTCAATATTCTTCAATTTCAATTTTTCATTTATAATCTCCAATTTTAGTAGTTGTAAAGATAAAAATTTAATCGACTTAACCGATGCATAAGGAATATTTGAATTCTCGTCGCTATTCTTGGATCTCGTTAACTGACGATCTAAATTACTCATTTCTACCACCTCTTTCAAGTTCCCTTGTTTAATTTGAAAGTATATTCTAAAAATATCATCAATTTCCGATCTTGATAGTTCGTTTAATCGATCATTTTCAATCACTGAGTTACGAATGATTTCTAGACTTTCGTGGTTACACGGTCCACAAAGTAGGTTATGGGAATTGATTCCCTGTAATCTGTAACAAAACGGACATTGAACTGGTTTCTTGTATCTGCTTTTATCTTCTGTTTCGAGCTGTCCGTTTATCAGCTCAGAGGGTTCAGGGATGTCTTCCTTGACAGTTCGTGGACGAGAATGAGCTTGATCTTCTTGATAATCGGAATCTGTAACTAAAGACATATTTCCCAATGCAATAAGACCACGCCAAGTTCTCGATCTTCTAATAAAATGTTACTTGTAGGTCAATTGGACTGGCTTGGAGGTGCTTTGATCCTTTTTTGTCCTTTGATAAGATCTGCTTATTATCAATACATTTAGACCCGTGCACCACAGGATTACAGCTTATTAGTTTATCTAATTATATATGTATATATATTTACAACTATAAATACAATTAAGTCTTCTTCTTCTTCTTGAACTGGGCCTGGAGTTTCTTGCGCTCCAAGATTTCTCGAATAATCAAAGCAAGGGATTCGTCGATGTTTTCATCGGTAACATCGATAGCTATAAACCCACATTTCCAAAATTTACTTAGTTTAATACCATCATTTATCAACTTAGGAGAAGCTAGTTTATTATTTTTATGAGTGCAGATGACCCAAATAGGAGGAGGACAGCTTGGGTCTGCTGGGTCCATTGAATTATCGAGTAATTTCAATTTAGTCAGATCAGCTTTCATTTCATTTTTTGAAGTTTCAATCAAGTTATTTTCACGCCACAAATTCTTCAAAGCAGATTTGAAAGAGAAAACGTCGCTTTCTTTGCCTTCTTCCCATCTTGTTTTGTAAGTGTAGTATTCTTTCCAGGCTTCACTAAGGGCGATTTTCATGATGGAGAGAAGATTGAAGGTAGTATCGCCGGCAGTATTTGTAATGGTTAAAGTTTTGTTTGAGCCATCTAGGGATTGGTAGGAAGTGGTTGAAGTGACCGGCTGGAGATCCCCGTCGTCGTCATTCAAAGAAGATTCTGGAGTCATATCGTAGTTTTTACCGGTAGATTCTAATACTTCATTATAGGAAGGAGGATTGTAGGAAGGAACTGCACTATATACAAAGAAATACCCATCGACTGAGCCATTCAATTCACTGGCACCACTAGCAACCAACAACGGATTAGTACTGACTGGTCTTCTTGGTTCATTAGCCAAATTTTTCAAAATTTCTCGATCGAGTTTGATGTACAAAGAAGCTTCAAGAAAAGGCACCACTTGGTCAGGGTTAAATGCAGCGGTATCGATGAGCTCAACAAGGATTGGGGTGATTTGGGGTGGGATGTACGCATGGGCATCTAATTCATTCTTATGGTTATAACTTGTATAAAACTGGTTGGTGGAAGTGATGATTTTATTCTCGTGGTTGGAGATTATCGTTGACGGACGGTTTTGATTTGTAATTGAAGAATTGTTTGAAGGAGCAAGTTTGGAATACGCTTGGTATATTACCGGACTGAGCACCAAGTGGTTGTTCTGTCCGATTAACTGTAATGTGCTGGACATATCAAACTCATCCAATATACATCTTGATAAAATTGAAACTGGAGAAAACGTAAATAGAATCGGTTGGGTTTGGTGTGTTGGATAATAAGTATCCCGGAAACTTCCTAGACTTAGTTTCGAGATGATCGATGTTTTACCTGATCTAGGTCCACCTAGGAGGGCTATTCTTATAGGACTATTATCATTAGTTGGATTTTCTAGGTTAATTGATTGTTGTTGCAGAGATGATTTTTTAAGAAGAGACGCCATTAGACGAGATGAATGCTGGTACTAATTGCCACGATACATGCAGACGTGATTGGAGAGAAAGAGGCACAGTCAACCGACTTGAAGCTTAAGATGGGTAAGAAGCGAAGATATAGGTATTGAAGGATATGAGATGGATTCACGGGCTATTTTTTCACGTTTTCAGTGGTGCACTACAAATCTCCTATACTATTCTTTTACTTTATACTTGTTCTTATACAATACTTTTATATAGATGATTTTGTTAGGCATCGGCAGTGGCGACACCTAGTTCAGAGTCACCCTGGCCGTAATACAAAAACCATTTACCCTTGAATTGAACGAGGCCTTCGGTGAAGACAACTTTATTGACCTGGCCCTCGATTTCGTTTTTGGAATCAGGAACCATGAACGGCGTTTCCTGTCTGGCAATAGGGCCTTTGGATAAGTCGTTATAGTCAATTAACATTTGGGAAAGAGAGTAAGTATCCTTTGGGTAGTCACCACCGCCGCAAGTGGAAGAATTATAGAATAAAACCCAATAGTTTTTATTGGGGTCACCGGTGTCTAATTTAATTGGGGCCGGGCCCGGTTCAATCAAACGGTCTTGCCAGTTGAACTTACCAGTGGTGAAAAGATTAGAATGATAGTCATGGGAGGGCAAAGTCCAATGAACCAAATCTTTCAGTTCAGCAAGATGGAAAGCACAGTCCCCCCAAATCATGTAATACTTATTCAGTTTAGGTTGGGCTTCATTGAATATAGCCCCCGACTTCAGCCAAGCATGTCTAATGATTTGTTCTCCGTTGGAAAGAACCGCAATGTCGTACCAATTATCGTTTTTAATGATTGGGGGTTGTTTAACCCAATCAAATAGATTTTCAGAAGTAGCAACACATAATCTGGCAGTAGAACCATCGTAAGCAGTGTAAGTCAAGATGAATTTCTTCAGTTTTGGATCTCTGACAATCCTAGGGTCTTCAATTCCTCCCTTCAATTCGTAAGACTCACTGGCACTAACAATTGGTTTATCGTACCGAGTGAAATGGTATCCGTCATCACTCCATGCAAGCCCGACGCTCGACACCTTGGCCTCGTTCTGCGCCCTATACAAAAGATAGATTCTATCATCCACCACAATGGCACTGGCATTGTATAAATATGCCGATTCCCATTCGTTTTTGGGATTGGGCTTCAAAATAGGATTCTTTTCGTACCGGGTGAACTTGGGTCCGATTGGAAAGTGTTTTGGCGCCTTGTAGCTTGAATTATCAATCGAATTGACACTGACAGTAGGAAGCATCATCTTAATAAAGAACAACTGGTTAAAAAAATAATCAATTCATCCACCGAAAGGTTTTTATATCGAAAAATCCGGGGTAAAAACCATTCCTTGCGAAGATTTCAGCGCCCTTTTTATACCCACAACTACATAAACTTTAGGCTCGTGGAGATCACCCAGTCTCTGGTGCTCTCCCATTGTCGTTGCCGGTCTTCAATGGTAGTGGACCCCTGCTGCTCTGCTGGGGTCCTACCTGGTTGTAAGGGTCGAGTTGAGCTCATGGGCCCGAAATAATGGCGGATTTTGGGGGGGGTTCGGGTCGTGTGTGGCGGGCCAAAATTGCTAGGCCAATTTTTTGAGTCCGTTTGTTTTCAAATGAAAAGAATTGTTTTAAAGGAAAAGGCAGTGATTAGTGAAGTGTGTTCTTTAATCAATTGTTTGGGGAGAGTAGTTCATTCCAACGGTGCAAGTATTTTTAGTTTGCAAAGAGCTAGTCGAAAGGCGCAGGAGAAACTGTTATTTCGTACTAAACTGATCGAATACCAAGTCATAAATAGAAGAATTCAGGTTTCCAATACGACAAAGCCTTTCTGTAATCTTCCGATTCCATCCAGCCCACCAGTTCGTCATTGCACCCGGCGTACCCTGATTTCCCTTACCTTGTTCACTGTTCTCTGTTCAGTGTTATCTGTTCTCTGTTCACTGTTCACTGTTCATTTTGTTCACTGTTCACTTTGTTCATTTTGTTCACTTTGTTTATCGTCTACTGATCCACCGCCTGTTCCCTTAATTTTAACTGCTTAACAACTATCGCACTACTCTAAGCAGCGTTTTTTCGAGATCTATTGAAAAAATTGATAAGCTATATATACAAGATACTGATAGCTTTTTTTGTTATTTTGTTGTTTTGTTATTTTGTTATTTTGTTATTTTTTGACTTGCTTTTTTCGTTATTTCATCATGGGACAGTTGTTATCACATCCAATAGAAGATAAAACCCTTGATTACAAGGCTTTCCAATCGCTTGCCTACTGTGTGGGGTCCATGCAAGGGTATCGAATGACCATGGAAGACGCTCACAATGTTAAAATTAATGAAGACGAATCTTTAGCAGTGTTTGGTGTTTTCGATGGCCATGGGGGCAAAGCATGTGCGGACTATATTAGTGATGTCTTACCTTCAAAGATCTTTAAGAATTTAAACTCTTATTTGAAGAAATCCCATTATAATAACACAAGTGCTTTAAATAAAGATTATGTTAATCAAGTTTCAAATGGAATTTCGGATTTGTCTACTTATATGAAAATCATTAAAGATTCTTTCTTTGAAGTCGATCATGATTTACCGGTACAAAATAGTTTAAATTGTGGTTCTACCGCCATTATAACCACCATTGTTGCTAATAAATATATCATTGTGGCTAATACTGGAGACTCCCGCTCAATAATGTCTTTAAACGGTGGTGCTGCTAAAACATTGAGTTTCGACCATAAACCTTCGACCATGAGTGAACGAGTAAGAATCGAAAATAGTGGGGGTTACGTGGTTAGTGGCCGAGTTAATGAAATCTTAGCGCTTTCAAGAGCTTTTGGTGATTTCAAATTTAAATTCCCCTTTATCGAATTATCTAATTCAATCAATAATTCAAATAACAAATACCTCGAAGCAAATAAAAAATATTTCAAAGATGATTTGGTTCATTTACCCCCAGAACTATTTCAAGTTTCAGTGGAACCAGATTTATTGGTTTATGATTTATCCTATCTAAAACAACCAGAATTCATTGTTTTGGCCTGTGATGGTATTTGGGATTGCTACACAAATAATCAATTGATTTCGCTTATAAGAAAGAAAATCTCCGAAGATTGGAAATTAAACCATATTACGGAATTCATCTTAAATGACTGTATTGGTATGGCTTCAAGCATAACCGGAATCGGGTTTGATAATATGACTTTAATCATCGTAGCAATTCACACCAACGGTAATATCGATGAATGGTATCAAATAATTAAAAATCGGGTGAAAAATGAAGAAAAATTAAACTTAAATAATGAAATTTCAACTACTAATGATAATCGAATTTAATTCAATTCATTATTCTGCATTTTTTTTTTTAAACAAGTACTTTTTATGATTGTCATGTGTTCTGGTTCTTAACATCCTTCCCAATGTATTACATTCTATCTACATCTTATTTTAAATACACTAAGAAGTTGTCTTTATTCTTCCTTTATGTTTTATAAAAATTTATTAACGTGATTTCCAAGTCTAATTCTTAATTCTTTCTCTTATTTATTGTCTTCACAGATTATTCATTATATCTCCTCTACGTTATTGATACTAATTTCTTTCAATATCATTCAATATAACGTCGTTTACTGCTTTTCATCTGTAATCTATTGATCCAATCAATGTTCCCCAATAAAAAATTGACATCCGTACCGCAGAGAATCACAAAAGATGAAAAATCAGCCCAAAACATCAACTGATTTTAACCTTTTGTTGATTTACAACGCTACTATCTATTTTTTTTATTATCTTACTCCACAACAAAGTTTTTAAGATTGCCCCAGTAGATTGGGTTCCCTTCACTACACTACATTCTTGCATTTCCTAACTACAACTTCGGTCCCTTGCGTTGGAACTCTGGCAATTACTGTTCATCAACTATTCTTTTGCATAATCGTTTGCTAATATATAAACGATTGACGCCAAAAGTCCCGGTTACGTTTGTTTTTGTTTTCAGAAAGAAAATAATCTGAAAGCTTTGGCTTTTACCTGATTCTCGTAGCAGGAGAGTGACATTGGCTCATTAAACGTGTATTTTTTTTAAGTTATCTTATCATTCATTGATTCCTTGGTCGTTGAATGATTGGTTTTGGGTGGTCTTTGCTATAACTGACTTGGTTGGTTCTTGTTTCCTGTTTGTCTTTTGTCTTTTACCTTTTGCCTTTTGCTTTTCGCTTTTTGTCTTTCATTTCTTTTCTGTCTTACGATTTGCTTTTACTTTTTTCAATTTTTTTTTTTTTTAGTTCATCGGTTCCCTTTCATTTGTCATTCTTTTAAGCGTTATCCAAAAAATAGTCATATTTTAAGCAATGTCGTATGTTGATGTTGATTTCTATGAAGATCCAATACTTAAACTTGCTAAAGATCCTAATCTAAACAAGGAAAAAGAAAAAACTTCAAAAATTATTCATATCATACATAATTTTCCTCTTACTGAAAGAAAAGTTTCAAAGCTATGTCTGTTGTCTCTAACCCTACTTCAAAGTTTAGAGAAAATCGAACTTAATTTAAAGAATTGGGCTTTTTTATCCCTTGATATTAATTCTACTGATCATTTCAATAATGCTAATCCTAATGAAATCAAAAGTTTTAATACTAATGTCAGTCATAAAGTTCTTGGTGATTGTAAAGAATTGAATAAAAAATTAAATAAAATCTCTTTTGATATAGATTATGTCACCAAATCCCTGAAAACTTTAACTCCAATGGAATATATTAGTGACAGTGGAACATTGTTAACTTCTCTCACTTTAAGAAATATCAAATTAAAAGATGAACTTAGTGATAAAATAACAGTTGCTTATCTGAAAGCAAAATTAATTACTATAGGTACTGATTTAGAACAAATGTTAGAAGAAGATGGTATTACAAGTTCAAATAATGATAATACTGGATCTACGGTTATAACTTATAAACAATTCGTTGTTAGCTTATTAAAGCAATTAAACAATGCTATTGATTCTGAAGATGCAGCTGGTAAATATGAATGTTTGGCGGTTATAAGTGATATGGAACAAATGTTTGAAGTTTTCAAACTAGAAAGAATTCAACGTCAAGCCGTTATCTATAGCGATCATAGTGGTGGATTTGATTCAGAATTAGATACCGATTACGAATACGCTGATGATGATTTTGTTAATATCGATGATACTCATTTAAAACCTTCCAAGCATTCTTCTCGTGAATTCCATCATTCTCATAATAGACGTCATCATCATGGACACCAGCCTCATAGTGCAAATACTAGTGCAAATGCTACTCCTAGATTACGTGCACCTCATCCTTTGAAAAATGAAGCAATCTCGGATGATGAAGTACATGGTGATTTTGATGATTATGAATCCGATTATGGCTCAGCTTCAATGTATTCCTCCATGTCAGTATATAACCCACCTATGGTTCGTTCAATTACAAGATCTCAACAACTTCAACCTCCTCATTCTGGCTCTCCAAATCAAGGTGACTCCCCAAGTTCTCAAATATCTCCAAGTATTATGAAATCTCCTAGGCATAGAAGAGATTCAATGTCTTCTTTATCCACTACAAACATTCTTCAAAAATCTACTATTTCCGAAGAATTACCATATTTGATGACTGCATTCGATCTGGCTAGAAATTTTGAAGAAGATGTTCATCATTATAAAGAAGAAGACGATCGAGAAAATTTTAATTCAAAATCATCTAAAAATAAGAACCCTCCTAAAAATCCTCCTCCACCTCCAAATACATCAACCACAACACCCAATGCACCAAAGAAAAATATAGGTCCTAAATTCCATTATCCTGAATCATCAATTTATTCTGAAAGTAACATTATTCAACCATTACCATCTGCATCATCATATCTTTATTCTAATAACTCATTACTTTCTAAATTAGGTATCAGAGCACAAATCATAAATACTGAACTTCCGAAAGAACTAAGTAATAACACCTCCTCAAATATTAAAAATGGACCAATTCCTGATAGAAGAAGCACTGTTATGGGTTCAATTGGACCTACAGCAGCTAAAAAATTCATTACTTCTTATGACAATGACGATGATAACAAAAATATAAATAAAGAAGATAAAGAAAATAGAAGGATTATAACACCATTAACAAGAGCTAATTTAGAAAGCCATACTATTTCAGGTTTGGCTGCTGAAGATAATTTTTCTGACGATTACGTTGAATAATAACTATGCATTATTACAAAATTTAACTTATAATATATTCAAAGTATTCACTTCGCATATTAATAAAAAAAACTTGACGACTATTCAATTTTATAAATTTACATAATTTCAAATATTTCATCTTTTGTTTGATTTCAACTGCTGTATCGCATCGTTATATAAAGAGCGTAAAATTTGTAAGAAATAAGTAGACGTATAAACTTATAAGAAGAAGTGAACGGAGAAAAGAGTTATAGAGTTTATGATTTATCAGCATTACACTTGAAGAGTTCTTTAACGAAGCTTTCACCCCAATAACCAGAAGTATATTTTGAGATGTAGTCAAACATTTTTTGGAAATTGAGTTTTTTCTTTTCCGACGGTAAAGTCAAACTTTCTTTTATAGCATCACTTAATTCTTCAATATTCCAAGGATTTACAATGATAGCACCATTTAATGATTGGGCGGCCCCCGCAAACTCTGAAAGAATAAGAGAACCATTTTTTTCTTCTTGACAAGCGATATATTCGTAACTAACCAAGTTCATACCATCACGAGTAGAACTAACAAGACAAACATCTGAGATATGATATAAACTAATAAGTTCATCAAAAGGAATTGATTTATGCATAAAATGGATTGGAACAAATTCAACAGTACCAAATTTACCATTGATTCTACCAACCAATTCATTTACAGTAGCTCGTAAACTTTGATATTCTTCAACGTCACCACGAGAAGGAACCGCAACTTGAACCAAAACAACTTTACCTATCCATTCAGGGTTTTCAGTTAAGAAAACTTCAAAAGCATGAAGTTTCTGAGGAACCCCTTTAATGTAATCTAATCTATCAACACCAACGATGATTTTAGTATCTTGAAATTTATTTTTCAATTGATTAATTCGTTCAACAACAGAATCTTTAGTAACACCTTCAGTGAATTTATCAACGTCGATACCAATGGGGAAAGCACCGATACTAATTGATCTACCTTCAAATTCAATACCATTTGGTAAAGTTTTAACTTTAGGAACAATATGAGAAACTGAACTTAAGAAATGTCTTGCATAATCATAAGTATGGAAACCAATTAAGTCACAACTTAAAACCCCGGTCAATATTTCTTGTCTGACTGGTAAAATTCTATAAATTTCTGAAGAAGGGAAAGGAGTATGGAGGAAAAATCCAATTCTTACATTTTTTTTGGAATTTCCTAATTCTTGTCTTAACATTTGAGGAAGCAACATTAAATGATAATCATGAACCCAAACTAAGTCATTATCATCAACTTGAGAAGCAATTTTACTTGCAAATTGACGATTTGCTTCAATATAAGCTGCCCAGGCATTTTCATCAAAATTCATTTCACCAGGATGATAATGAAATAACGGCCATAAAATACTATTTGAAAACCCATTATAATGAAGATCTGCAATCATATCACTTAAAAAAATCGCAGTACATTTGAATTTATCCATTAAATCTTTATTAACTCGTGCTTGTTCATCAATCGGCAATTCAAGTCCTGGCCATCCTAACCATTGAAATTCAGTCGACTTCTTCAATCCTTGTAATGCAGTCACCAATCCTCCAGAGGACATACTATAATCGTACAGACCATCTGGAGATCTCTTAATAGTAACCGGTAAACGATTTGAAACAACCAAGACTTTCCCTTTATTTTCAGATGCCATTATATAACTCTTTCAATCAAAATTTTTCAATAGCAATCAGTTAATGTCTCTAATTGCAATTATAAATATGCTGTAACTTCTCAAAATTAATTTTTTCCAAGTTCCAAAATTTTCAATCGACCCGTCTATATTTATACTCTAATAATAGTAAATTCTACAATTCGATATTAAATCATTAATTGGTGGTTTGATTTTCCAGCTTTTTCTGTCACTTTGCTCTCACGGGTTTTTCGATCGCTTTCTTTTGGGCGCAAGTTCCGTGGCAGCGCCAAATTCATAAAACAATGTCCGTGGCCCTTGCACAAGACTGCCTATTTAGGAAGTCTATAAAACTATAATGGTCATAATCGACACTTACTTCCGCATAAGGAAGTCAACAAACGTATAAAGGCCAAAATGTATGTAGACTTCCTGATTGGGAAGTCTATGTTTTTTTCCGATATTCGCACTACCCGTGATTTTTGAATCATTAAAAAAAACAACTATCAAAAACTACTTCAACTCAACTTGACTTCATCTTCAATTGAACCATTGCAACCCGTTCATCGATCAGAGATGTACTCGCCATACGGCAACATTGCGCAGAACTTGCAGCACCCACAACCACAACACGCCAGCTCGTTTCTGAGCCAATCCCAGTACGGGAACAGTGTGCCTCAGCCAGTGCCGGGCCAACAGCAGCAGCAATACTTCCCTCAAGTCGATGGACAAGGGTTTGTACCGGGAGCACAGGGAGTGCCGGCGCAGGGAGCACAGGGAGCAGCACCAGGACAGGCTGGTGGGGCCCCGTACAGTGCATTTCTAAACGACCCGGCCACGTCGATGGCGGCACAATTTGCCAAAAGTAGTTTTGGTAGTTCGAATCAGTATATTCAACAGAATTTTGGATCTTTTATACCGGGGACTCTGGACTTGAATTATTATTTCAAAGTCAGCAACTCTTATGTTATGAAGAAGATTGGTTTGATTCTCTTCCCTTATAGAAATAAAAACTGGAGTCGTTTGACTGCTTCTGATCCTGCAATTAGTCTGGGTTCTACTGGGATTGCTTCCCCAGTTGGCGTGGCCACTCCTGGTAACATTTCTTTTGCTCCTCCTGCTTACGATGTCAATGCTCCTGACTTATATATTCCTTTGATGGCTTTTATTACTTACATCTTATTATGGTCATTATTCCAAGGTATCAATGGGGAATTCCATCCCCAATTATTTGGTTATTTGGCTTCTCAAACTTTGGCTTGTTCAGTCCTTGACATCTTCATCTTCAAAATCGGTCTCTATTTATTGAACTGTTCCACCCAAAGCTCAATGTGGGATTTGATCGCTTTCAGTGGTTACAAATATGTCTCCATCATTGTTCTCTTATGTTGGAAACACTTGATTGGTGGTGGCTGGTTTATTTATTACGCCGTGGTTCTCACGGTCACTGCAAACTTATCTTTATTCCTTATGAGATCCTTGAAGTTTCTTGTTTTACCAAGCTCCGATTCCGTTACTAGTACTGCTAGTAATTCCATTTCTTCAAGACAACGTAAATTGAGAATTCAATTCTTATTCATCTACGCCGTTGTCGTTCAATTCTTCATCATTCTCTTCATGAGTAGATAACCTTTGTACTATAGATTCAACTAATAACTTTATCTAACCTATAAACATTGTAGATTAACTAGTAAAGTCGCTTATGGTTCGTCTGAATGTTAAAAAAACAAAAAAAAAAAAAAAAAACGCGTCGTTTTCACGCGTTTGAGAATTTTTTTGGTGACTTTTGTCTTAGTTGAAGATGATCTAAAGACTTATCTTCCTACTTCCTTTTATTGCTTGACTATCTTACTTTCCCATATTGGTTGTTACTTATAACTTTTAATTTTGATAAAAAAAAAAGAGCTTGTTGTTTTCATTTCGTTTTAATTTATTTTTGTTTAATACCGTTGCATTCATTTCTATTCATTAATCTATTTATTCCTAGCATTCCATAAATAACATCCCCCAGCATCTATCATAATGTCTTCTAAACCACAATTCAAGGGCTCGACGTCTGCCCGTTTTGTGAAAAACGGTGGTGGTGCTAATAACTATAGTAAAAAGAACTCCAATACCATACGATCTGAATTTAAAGGAGATCGTAATGAAAGTATCGACCCTTCAAAACTTAATCCAATGTTGAATGACTCCATCCAAAAGAAAGAACTAGTTACTAGAATCGATCAACTTGACTCGGTGATGGGGTTTGATCGTGTTGAAAATGGTGAATTGGATGGCTTAAAACCTAGAAAAGGTTGGTTAATTAATATGCATTCTACTACCATACCAACTGATGATTATCTTGCAGGTTACTCAGGAGTCGATTATTACTTTCTTGATGAAGAAGGTGGCTCTTTCAAGGCTACCATCAAATTTGACCCGTATTTTTATCTCGCTGTAATTCCTGGCCACGAAGCTGAAGTGGAAGAAATGTTGAAAAAATTCTTAGAACCTTGTCATTTAAAGAATATTGCAAGACTCGATAAAGAAGATTTGGCCTTACCTAACCATTTGGTAGGTTTAAAGAAAACTCTAATTAAGTTATCTTTCCATAATGTTTCCGACTTATTAAGTTCCAGAAGATTACTAACGCCGATAATCAAAGATAATCAAATGAATCGTGAATCAAGAGATGTCTTTCAAGTAATGAATAACTTCAATAATCAAAATTCAGAATCTTCTAACGCTGATCCAACTACTTTCATTGATGATATAAGAGAATATGATGTTCCTTATCATGCAAGAGTTTCCATCGATATGAATATCAGAGTTGGTAAATGGTATGATGTCTACGTCAAGCATGGTGATGTATCTTTGGTTGAAGATAAAGAAAAGATTGCCTTTGCTGATCCGGTAGTTTTGGCTTTTGATATTGAAACTACTAAAGCTCCTTTGAAATTCCCTGATGCTAAAATCGATCAAATTATGATGATTTCTTATATGATTGATGGTGAAGGTTATCTTATAACAAATCGTGAAATCATTTCGGAAGATATAGACGATTTTGAATATACTCCAAAACCTGAATATCCTGGTTTATTCACGATCTTTAATGAACCTGACGAAAAACATGTTTTATTAAGGTTTTTTGAACATATAAGAGACGTTAGGCCAACCGTTATTGCAACCTTTAATGGTGATTTTTTCGATTGGCCCTTTGTCGAAAACAGAACAAATTTTCATGATTTAGATATGTTCGATGAAATTGGTTTTGCTAAAGATAACGAGGGTGAATATAAATCAAAGTATTGTGTTCATATGGATTGTTTTAGGTGGGTTAAAAGAGATTCTTATCTTCCTCAAGGTTCTCAAGGTTTAAAAGCTGTTACTACCGCCAAGTTAGGTTATAACCCAACTGAACTTGATCCAGAATTAATGACCCCTTACGCTTATGAAAAACCTCAATTACTTTCCGAATATTCGGTTTCCGATGCCGTTGCAACCTATTATTTATACTATAAATATGTTCATCCATTCATTTTCTCCTTATGTACTATTCTTCCCTTAAATCCTGATGAAGTTTTACGTAAAGGTACTGGTACTTTATGTGAAATGTTGTTAATGGTCCAAGCTTATGAAAATAATATTATTTTACCAAATAAGTATACGGATCCAATAGAAAGATTCTATGACGGTCATTTATTAGAATCAGAAACATATGTTGGTGGTCACGTCGAATCTTTAGAAGCTGGTGTTTTTAGAAGCGATATACCCAATAAATTTAAAATAGATCCAACAGCTATCGATGAACTTTTGAATGATTTGAAGTCTGCTATTAAGTTTTGTGTGGAAGTTGAAAATGGCAAGAAGCTAGAAGACGTTGAAAATTTTGATGAAGTTTATAATCAGATCAAAAGTGAATTGATTGAGTTAAGAGATAATCCTGTTAGAAATGAAACTCCTTTAATTTACCATGTTGATGTCGCTTCAATGTATCCAAATATTATGACTTCTAACAGATTGCAACCCGATTCGATTAAATCAGAAGAAGATTGTGCAGCCTGTGATTTTAATAGACCTGGAAAAAATTGTGACAGAAGATTACCATGGGCTTGGAGAGGAGAATACTATCCTGCTGAAATGAATGAATATGGTATGATCAAACGTACTTTGCAAAATGAAAGTTTTCCTGGTGTAAAACCTTGGTTACCACAAAGATCTTTTGATGAACTCCCTTATGCCGAACAAGCACTGCTCATCAAAAAAAGACTTAGTGATTACTCTAGAAAAGTGTATCATAGAATAAAACAATCAAAGATTGTAACAAGAGAAGCAATTGTTTGTCAAAGAGAAAACCCCTTCTATGTTAACACTGTCAGAAACTTTAGAGATCGTCGTTATGAATTCAAAACGTTAGCCAAAGTGTGGAAAGGAAAGACTTCAAAAATCGCCTCTTCTGACCAAATTGCCAAAGATGAAGCTAAGAAAATGGTTGTCTTATATGATTCACTTCAGTTGGCTCACAAGGTTATTTTGAACTCTTTCTATGGTTATGTAATGAGAAAGGGTTCCCGTTGGTATTCAATGGAAATGGCTGGAATCACTTGTCTCACGGGGGCAACAATCATTCAAATGGCCAGATCATTAGTGGAAAGACTAGGAAGACCTTTAGAATTAGATACTGATGGTATTTGGTGTATCTTACCAAAATCCTTTCCTGAAAATTTCAATTTAAAATGCAAAGATGGTAAAAAAATATTTGTTGAATATCCTTGTTCTATGTTGAATTATATTGTTCATGAAAAGTTTACCAATCATCAGTATCAAGACTTGGTTGATAGTGAAAGCTTGAAGTATAAAACAAGATCCGAAAATTCCATTCTTTTCGAAGTTGATGGCCCTTATAAAGCAATGATCTTACCTACATCCAAAGAAGAAGGGAAAGGTTTGAAAAAGAGATATGCTGTTTTTAATGACGATGGTTCTTTGGCTGAATTAAAAGGGTTTGAATTAAAAAGAAGGGGTGAGTTGCAGTTGATTAAAAATTTTCAATCGGATATTTTTAAGCTATTCTTGGACGGTGATTCTTTAGAGGGGTGTTATCAAGCTGTTGCCAGTGTAGCAAACAACTGGTTAGACGTCTTAGATACCAAAGGTGGTATGTTAGAAGACGAAGATTTAATTGAACTTATTTGTGAAAATAGAAGTATGTCTAAAGCCTTAGTCGAATATGAAGGGCAAAAGTCAACTTCGATTACAACTGCCAAAAGACTAGGTGAGTTCTTAGGTGAAGAGATGGTCAAGGATGCCGGTTTGGCTTGTAAGTATATTATTAGCTCCAAGCCCATTGGAAGTCCTGTTACTGAAAGAGCTATTCCTGTGTCCATTTTTTCCTCGGAGAAGAAAGAATTCTTTTTGAAAAAATGGTTAAAGGACCCTTCTTTATCTGACTTCGATCCTAGATCTGTTATTGACTGGGACTATTACTATGAGCGTTTGGCTTCTGTCGTCCAAAAAATTATTACTATACCCGCTGCTTTGCAAGATGTTAAAAATCCTGTCCCTAGAGTGCCTCACCCTGACTGGTTGCAAAAAAGAATCAAAATCAAGGATGACACCAAACAACAATCTTCAATTTCTAAATTCTTTGGCAAGTCCACCAAGTCTGAGGCATTGCAAAATCAAGTCAAACACATCCAAGATATCGAAGACTTTGGGGAACTCGATTCTGGAATTTCCAAAACCAAAGTTGGTAAGGTCACGTCTAAAAAGAGACGTAATGGTAAAATCAATAATGCTTCTGATACAGAAGAAGAAGAAAGAAACAATGCTGTCTTAAATGGACCTTGTCCACTGATGACAGAAGACTATGTCGGTTATCTACAATATCAAAAAGCCAAATGGAAGGTTCAAGCAAAAAATAGAGAAAGAAGAAGAAAACTTTTTGGGAATAACACTGAATCGTCACATAGATCATCCGTCGGTGGCTTGTTCCGCAAGCAGGCTGAAAGTGTTGCCGGAAGCGATTGGGAAATTTTGGAGTACAAGCCAGACCCTACAACTCCTGGTGATGTTAAAGTCTACATTCTGTCGGGTAATAAAGTTCATTCCTTCATTTTTCATATACCAAAGCAAATTTATGCTACATTTAAAACTGACATTTCCCAAAGAAAATATATTCAAAATTGTGAAATTGAAAAATCTAATGCTATCTTGCCTAATGGGCATGACGGTTCACATCTATATAAGTTTGTTATGCCGGAACCGGTTTATAATGAGCAAATCAGTAAAATCGATAGTATATTGCAAGATTCGAAAATATTAGGACTTTATGAGAGCAATATAAACTCGGTTGATAGAGCAATCATCAACTTGGGTAATACAGTCAAGTTTGATGATACCAAAGTTGGTGCTTTAGGTAAAGGTTTGAAGAATGGTTTTAACATGAAAGATTTATCAAAAATTGAAAAGGATTCATATTTGAAAAGATTTAATATGGATATTGTTTACTTACTTCACATTGTCACAAACAGTTATGAATTCTTTACCGTTTTCAAAACATGGGATAACTCTGCAAATATGTTTGTTTTGAAACCTTCATCAAATGCTCAGGAGTTACCTACGAATATTCATAAGATTTACCAAGAAGTTTACGAAAATAAGAAGGATAAACTTGGTAAACTTTACAACATCATTGATTACCCAAGCGAAATGAGCTTTGATACCAACTACTACAACAGCAGAAGCTCTTTGTATAAAAAGCTTAATACTTTTGTCTCAAAGATTCATGAAAGCAGAAGTAATAAAGCCCTTTTCACGATTCAATCACCATATGTCTCTAAGGTCCTCGTGCATCTTCCTGCCATCTCTAACTTTCCAACAATCCGGATGAACGTTACTGAGCTTTCATTACCTGCTATTGGATGGCAATCATTAATTACAAAAAGGGTTATCAATCACTTCTTTGTTTTGGCTTCTTGGATCAAAAATTTGATTTCACTTTCCAACTATGGTAAAATCCCACTATGCAATCTTCAAACTGAAAATATGGGATATTTGATTGATATAGAATATGCAAGAAGATTGAGTTACAATAATATTGTTTTATGGTGGTCCTCTAATCCATTACCTGATCATGGTGGTTTCGAGGCTGATAAAACTCAAGATTTAGAAAGCTTCGACTTCCCGACAATCAATAGCCCCGAAATCTACGAAACTGCTTGTTTAGAAGTGGAAATTGGTACTCTCACCATTAATACTATTTTGACCAGTTCTCTTATTAATGAAGCAGAAGGTGCAGATTTAGCAGAAGATAGCATGGTGTTTGATCAAAATAATGGTGCCTCAACTATGGCAGAAGATTCATTTTCGACACCGTCCTTGAGTATATTAAGATCTATGGTTAAAGATTGGTGGGATGATGCAATGAAAAACAATATTAATGCTGATTCTATGATGAATCATTTGGTATCGTGGGTTCAACGGAAAGACTCGTTTTTATATGATAATGCTTTACATTATCATGTTCATAATTTAACATCAAAAGCTTTGTTACAATTGATAGGTGAATTTAGAAGAATGAATGCGCAAGTAGTTTTTGCTAATAGAAACAGAATAATACTTCAAACCACACGAGTATCAGTTGAAAATTCATATGCTTATGGTCAATACATTGTTAAGGCTGCCAGATCAAAACCACTATTTAACTTCTTAGATCTTAGAATCGTTAAATATTGGGATATTTTGATTTGGATGGATGAGTATAACTTTGGTGGAAGATGTTGTACTGAAATCACTAATGATGAGACTCAAAATTTGGTCCCTGTCAATAATTGGCATATCAAGAAGTTTTTGCCATTAATATTTCAAAATGAATTCGAAGATTGGTTGGTTATATTCTTAGATTCATTAGCTAAATACAAAAATGAAACACTACTAGGAAATACTCAATCAGGTACTCCCAGAGTGACTCAAATTAACCATATCTTAAAGGGTCAGAAGAAAATAGATTCTGCTGAAGTTGAGGATGAAGATATTAACAATGGTGTCATGGAATTGTTTAGAAAGCCTTTACAGAAGAGAATCCAAAGACTTCATCGCCAACAAAATGAATCCATTATCAATCCTGATTTAAAAATTGAATACGAATTCCCAAAACTCACTGGATCATTCTTGAAGATGAGAAATCCAATTTTGGAACTAGTCAAATTCCTTTGTTCGGTTTTCAGTTTATCCAAAAAACGCTCTATAGAAGTTAGTTTGTTAAGAAAAGAATTGCTAGCAAGTTTGGACGTTAGAGAGTTTAGTCGTGAAGCTACTTTCCATAATCCTAGTACCTCCTTGAAAATCCCTCATATAATATGTGACTACTGCAACTATATTAGAGACGTGGACTTTTGCAGAGATGAGGAAAGAGATATATTTACATGTACCAATTGTTCAAAGGAATACAATAAGATAACTATTGAGGAGGAGCTTATAAGCTTGTTTAACAAGATGATGGTTCAATTCTTTACCCAAGATCTCAAATGTGTTAAGTGCCAAGTTGTCAAGGTAGACAGTATGAGTGAACATTGCAAGTGCTCTGGTGATTGGGCAGAAACCATTAAGCATGAAGAGGTCGAAGACAAGATGAAAGTCTTTGCAAATGTTTCTCATTATTATGGATTGAAATTACTTGAAGGGTTGTTAGACGAATACCAATAGACTCAAGTTGCATTCTTAATTATATTCCCTTTATCATCTGTATATATATACTTAATAACTTACATATACTTAATAATTTACATATACTTAATAACTTACATATACTTAATAACTTATTATATTAAGTTCTTTTTAAATATTGCAAAATTTATTAGTAAAAATTTGGTGCACGGGTGTGTATTACGCGTATGAAGCTATTGGAGCATCGATGGTTATTCAATCATTACCAAGTCTTCTTCTGTTTCTTTAAAGTTTTATGATCACGCAATGGAACAGGGAAGATTGGGTCTCGGAGAATTGAAGAATCGGGTGAAGGCTCGAGATGTTGAATTAGATCTTTTGAATTCTTTCATTACCAAGGATCCAGCGTCTCTGATTCCCTCTTTGGTGGTGAGTGGTTATAAGGCAGTTGGTAAAACATACACCATTCAGAGCTATTTAGAGGCCATGGGGATCAACAATACCATTGTCAGGTGTGATGAATGTATCACTCAAAAGCTTTTACTTCAAAGATGCCTTAAAAAAATCAAGAAAGATAGTGGAGTTGACTTGACCAAGTACCAACAACAATTCAATTATAAGGGTCAAGAGGTATCAAATATTGATTTGTTATGTGAAAACTTTGCAAGTTTCGTTGTGGCGTTGGAGCAATTCGTTGAGGAGTCAAACTATAAGGAGAATCATGTTTTGGTGTTGGATAGATTTGACCAATGCATCGACTCCACTAGTAATCTATTTCCTGCTTTTCTTCGGCTACATGAATATTCCAAGATTAATAACATTAGTATTGTATTCATAGTGTCACACGACGATCCAAAAGAAGTGGTGACGTTTTCTATACCCCATATTTTCTTCGATGCATATTCAGAAGAACAGGTTGTTGAAATATTACAATCGAATCAGTTTTGCTTTTTTGGAGATGAAAGGTTCGACGACAAAGTCGAACATGATTTTTGGATAAAATACACCAAGCTTATTGTTGATATCTTTTTCTCTTATACCGGTTCCGACATGAACTTTTTGATTGATATATGTGATAAGCTTTGGAACAGTTTTATAAATCCAGTAATACTGGGTAAGTATAAACCGAATGAGTTCATAAAAATATACCAAGAGGACAAAGGTTTGTTCGACAACGATAATATAATTAACAACTCTTCCATTCAAGAATTCTCATCAGCAAAAGAGGAGGAAGAAAATAATTCTATCATTGTTAAAGATTTACCTTATCATTCCAAGTTTATTCTCATCGCTTCTTACTTGGCTTCTTTTGTTGAGCCAAAGAATGATCTACATTTCTTCTCCAAAATGAATTCATTGAAAGTGAAGACTCGTAAGAATAGCAAAAAAAATTTGTTATCCAAAAGTGATATTGATAATAGATTACTTTCACCTAATTATTTCGATTTAGAGAGATTGAGAGCTATTCTATCCGTCATATACAGAAATGAAGCGGATCCTTTGAGTAGGTCAAACCTGAACTTTTATCACTTATACCAAGATTTGTCTGAAAGAGAGCAGGCTAGAAAAGATCATGAATTCTCTACTTTCAGTTTGAATACGACTATTGACTTGAACAGTCAAATTGCTACATTGGCTTCCCTTGGGCTTATCACTCGAACTTACGCACTTGATATCTTGAGTTCCAAAATTAGATGGAAATGTAATATAAGTTGGTCTACAGTAGAGGCAATCTCCAAAGATATTAACTTTCCCTTGCTGAATTATCTTGCAGAATAAGCGTCTTCAAAAACAAGTATAGATATGTATACTAGTGTATTATAATACAGATTATAGAAATAAATAGAAGCATGGAAAACCATAGAAAGATATAATATTCCTTTATTCAAATTGTAACGTTTTAATCTTTTTAAATTCTTCTTCTCCAATCTTTCGGGCTATAACACTGTCATCAAAATAAGTGTCAACCCAATAGTTCATTTCGTAGCTCGAAAACACACCATGGATCTCTTCTTCATCAGCCCACTTGTATTCCCAAACCTTATCGTTATAGTAAGAGTCATCTTTAGCAGAAGGCTCTTCTTTGTCGCTTTCATCACTCATTTTTCTTTTTAATCCTCTAGTCTGTTGCTGGTAATCTATTCCGCTTTCAGATTTGTATTGACGCATGAGTTCCTCTCTGGTGAGATCATAGGCATTAGTTAAGCCCTTCTCATTGATCAAGGAATCACAGTATCCAGTAATCTCAAAGACTGATTTCCCTATGTCTTCATTAATATTGCTTTTGTTTTTTCTCTGGCTTTTTCGTATGGATTGAAACCTAGATAATGCTTCGAGGGGATTTTCGGCTGGCTCTAAAAGACTTATCAACTTGAACAAGATGTCTTCTATGGAGGAAAACTCAAGAGCCTTCAACTTTTCTTTTTCCTTTTCCTCCCTCTTTTCTTGAGCTTTTTTGGCTTTTAAAATATCTGCGTTATTGGATTCATCTATCCAATGGTCCTGATTGTCATTTTCACTGTCAGATGAGTCATTTCTTATATAGTTTCCTTCTTCATCGAACTTACCGTCCTTTTCTTCTTGCTCAAGGTCAAAAGACTCAATCTTAAGGCCGATTTTTGTTTTATCTAGCTTTTGTGAACGGCCCTCATCGAAATCTTCAACATTATTGAAGTACTTATGCAGCGCTTCTGTTTGACTTTCTTCAATGTCATTATAAGAGATATGGCGGTCTTCACCATTGAAGGTATCTTCCTCGAAATAGTTGGTGCTGGAGCTCTTGGTCTCATTAGCTTCGTTTGTTTCTCCATCTTGTTTATTTGTCTCAGGAGCATCATCGTCACTGAACATATCACTATCACTGTCTTCTGATTCTTTTGTATTGGAGCGTGCGTTGGTTCCCTCAATGGCATCCTTTTCATTATTCGCTCCGCCATTCTGATCCTCCGTGGGGACTTGGGGTCCCTTTTCATCAGTGGGTTCTTCATAATCTTCAATTGAGGAGTCGGAGTCATAGTTTGACTTCGATATATGTGAGTTCCGTTGTTTTCTCGATGCCCTTTGGGGTATATCTTCTATTATGTCGTATTCATCATCCGAATTGGACATCTTAATGGCTAATGACCATGTTCTGGAGGAGTAAAATCACTTTGAATTGAGTCTGATATTCGTTTAGATTTTGCGAATTTTGAAAAAGTTTTTAGGAAAAATTGAAAAAAATCAAACTATATACTCGATGGACTTTATCGAACTAATGAGTGATATAAAACGAAGGAAGATGGAAGATATAGACTTGACGGATATAGACATTGAAACAGATGAGGTCCTAAATTTAGAGGAAGTCTATTATCAAGAGGGCTTTCAAGAAGGTCAAGAACGTGGGGCTAAACAACAGCTCATGGAAGGTAAAGAGTTTGGATACCAAACCGGTTTTCAAAGATTTTTGATCATAGGTTACATAACTGGCCTTCTAGAAGATTGGAGAACTAATATAGAGAAATACGGAGGACTGGGAAACAAATCTTTTGAGAATCATTTGTCACAATTAGAAGATTTGATGAAGCAAATCCAGCTAACAAATGGAGATGAAGAGGTTGCAACATTTGAAAAAGTTATTGGAAAAGCTCGAAATAAATTAAGATTGTTAGCTACTTTAACAAAGGAAAACTGGAAGATTAGTCAGGTTGATTCTCTTGTGAAGGAGATTGGAGGTCAGTTACAAGTTAGTGAAAATGTTGATGATTTATGGTAAGTATATTTTTGAATCTAGTACTGCTAGCTGGAGTCTATATATCTAAAAACAAAAATCAAAGTCAAGTGGTTTTGCTCTACTATCCAATTTATAATTAAGAATACCGCCCAATGGACAATCATTTATACCAACAATTAAATTTTCACCATGACCAGAGTCAGATGGGACAAAGTTTAGCCCAATACACTTACCTATAAATTCAACTGATTGTACTCTCAGTTTCAACTTCGGTGTATCAGTTTTGATAAGATCATCGACTTGCAAAATTCCAATATGATCTAAACTTTCTGCCCAACATATAAATTCACCGGTATGGCTGAATTTAGTATTTCTTACCGGGCCTCCAGCATTGTTTAGAGTATTTGATACAGAAGAACCAAGTGTTCCGTTCCAAGAATATAGACTAGACTCACAGAAACGTTTATCCCATAGTCTTACACAGCCATCCTGATTTCCTGTTAATAATAAATTATCATTTCCTCTCGACCAATCACAACTAAAACCAAAATCTTTATGCCCTCTGAATTCATCAACATTTTTCGAAGATTTATTTCCTAATTTTTCACGAGTGTCCATGATAAAAGAGTTTATATTATCTCCAGTTACGAATATTTCATTTTTGTTATTAGGGTTCAATGCAACACAATTTACAGCGAAAGGTAACATTGTAGAATCAGTAGAAAATTTTTCAAGATCAACTAATCTCAAGTATTGATCATTTGAAGAGATTATCAACTGTTCGTTATCATTGATCACAATATGATTTGTTATTCCATCAGCATTATTGGTCAAACAAAACTCTCCTATAAATTTAGAATCATTAGGATCACTTATATCCTGTAGTAAATAACCCCCTTCAAAAGTTCCACTCGCTAGTAAAGACTCGGAACATGTCATTGTAGAAATTCTACTATTGGAATTTCGTAGTAAGTTTCTGGAATCAATAAGACAATCTAACTTCATTGAAGGATGAGTAATACATTGCTCATCTTGCATTAGTCTATTAATCTTGAAAAAGTTATGATACGAATCTTGGGAATCCATTTCACTATAATCAACAGTCTGGAGATTATGATCATGCAAATAACTCAGAGGATAAAATATCCCATTTGATAAATTGGGTCCACAGCAAATCAAATTTCTTAGTTGGAAGTGGGTAATGTGAATTTTCAATTTACTGAAAAATCTATAAAATTGAAAGAAATCTGTTTTATACTGGAAGCTTTTTATATTAACATTCTATAGTTAATGAATTATTGTTAGTAAATCAAACTTTGCCTAAAATAAAGAAAATAAACATACTTTAAATGCTTCTTCTCGAGATCCGGGCACATTATGGAACCACTTTTTATTTCCAACTCGAGCTCTTTCTCTTGAAAACTTGTCCCGAAGGTACAGTGGCCATTTGATCCCTTGGACGTCAAGTCCCCGGGCATTGGTAAAGGAGAAAGGTAATGAGCGTTCTCTTTTCTTCAAGGACTCTAAGATGCTTAGAATATCAGACTTTGACAAGTTGGACTCTTCGTCATATAGTAAGTCATACAAGAACCTAAGGGACTCTGACTGGTTTAATTCATACTCGTGGCTAGGTGCAGATGCTTCTGAAAGTGATGTTTCACCATCATGAACAGATGGTTGATTGAGTTCACTAGACGTTAAGTCATCAATATTGTTAGTGAGCACGTCCAGACGTGAAAGAGCACCCGTATCCAACGTGCTTGTGGAAAATACCAGACCTTCCTGGCTTACTTGAACCTCCATCCTATAATTCACCAGCTGTCTGACAAGTAGTTATAAAGCCTAACTTCAGATTTATTGATAATGAAAAAAGAATGCATTTTATCACCCAAAAATATGGACCCGTACATTTTTTTGTTATTGAAAAAAATTTAGCAGACACTGTTTTAGGTACTATTAATGGCTTATTTGGCACCAGATTGCTGTTTTCTGGTGGCTTGATGTGGTGCCATTATGAGGTCGGAAGCCTAGTATTTATTTAAACTATTGCCGGCGTATCCTGAATTGAGATGCTATGTTGAAGTTGAGAAATCGACTGTTGTAAGAAGCATTTTTGTTGAAGGGATAAATTAAGTCATTGGGTAGAGAACAAAATCCCGATAAGTATTTTGATGATATATGCTTTAAAAAGATAGTGACTTTCGCTAATGGATCTCAACCGGGCCTTTCATCTCAGTCACTTCAGAACTGATTTGGCTTTTGTTATAATGAAAATATTCATCGTACCATTCTACTTCCTGGAAGAAAAAGCTGCATATGAATGAGCTTATTAGTCGTCGCCATTCACTAATTATTTTTGGCTGTCATGTCACAGCTTTTAATGGCGACAGGTGACTCAACCTGCTTCACTCAATAAAATACCTATGTTGCTATTATCTTTATAGCTACAAAACCTGTTATTCGAGCACAAGCACAAGTTCACAGCTGCCGAATACATTTGATATAACTATTTGGCATTGAAATTTAACTTAACGCTATTTTTCATTCTTCGTAAGGTTGCAATTCAAATTTGCCGCAAAAAAAAAATTATTAAAAAAGTACTCTCGAATTGTTGCGAAAACATTTTCTGAAGTAACTATGGTATTTAATCTATATAGAACCGAAAGTTACTATGTTGAATGTTATGTTTTGCAGGGAGCAATACGAAAGCTGTTTTAGTGAAACTTTGTTGAGATGTATTTAGTCTAATGTTCAAGATTATGAGTTTTTCCTAATTAATGATGATTTTTTGATAAAAATTGAATTAATCCATACAACATTAATTCTCAGTACATGAAAATCGACAATGATTTCAAGTTTCAATGACTATACGCTTCATTACCACTTTTTAGATGCTTTGGGGAAGTAGGGAGTGTTGGTACTACCAAACGATAAAGCAATAGATATTTATCAAATTGCATGTTTAGCTGGCGTAAGTGTTTTACAGAGATTGTTCAAACCGAAAGACCTCTCTTTGACCAAAGATCTATAATTTATCCATTGAAGGAGTCACTGAAAGCCCCCACAGCCAAAAGAAAGGGAATTTTGGCGCAGCAATAACTATCTATTTTTACATGCGTAACTATCGGGTTATGTGGGAAGATCATACCTCTATCGACCACATATATCTATGCTATACATATAGACATATGTTCCAGTACGGACGACCATAACACACGCAATAAGATATTAGCTAGATACATACTAATAACTGATTATGGCGTGGATTAATTTATTATATAGATTAATCTTTTTGCTGTTATTCAAAGGGAGGAAATAACTTATTACGAATAATACTAATATAACAAAAGCCAAATGTTAAGTTTATATAAAATCTATATTACCGAATGAAAAACTCTTCATGGGAATCGCCCATACTTCTATCCGTAAACCAATGGGAACAGTCACGGAGGTTCACGCTCCACGAAGAGACATAAAAAGAATCCGTTAACATGGAATTACTTACTTATTTAAATGTGCATGTCTTATAATATCAGTCCCGATGTCGTTTCACAAAGGATGCTATAACATCTCTCTGATAAACTTCGGCTTGATGATGTATGGGATCGGTTCTGACATGAATCAGGCACGCACATCATGGTCTGACAGAAAATGATTGCAAAATCATTTATTTGTCTGCGAAGCTCATCACACAAAAAAAAATCAACATCATCATGATCTTTAAAACATAAAAAACTATTGCAAAAAAAGAAGAGTCTACAGCACGATGGTTTCCATTATGGTCTCCCACTAACGTACTCAGCATCGCTCTCAGCAGCTTAATAATTATTGATCGGACGGGTAATCATGCTTTATGCTGGATATGGCCGTAGACGTCGATTTTTTTCTTTCAATAACTAAACTATTCCAATCAAAATTTAGAACGATTTTTAAAACAGCTTACAAAGCCCTTCAAAAAAAAAAAAACCCTTCGAAATACAATCAAACAGGGGTTTTCTCGACGATTTTATTAGTTTTTCCATACCGAGGTGTGTATTAGTTTATAATTATTAAATATATATGTAAGAGCGAAAAAAAAAGGAACGCTGTGTATATGGATAGCTCCTCTCTCATCAACTAAGGAACAGAATCATTCATTTATCTCTGTTCCTACTTTTCTTGATGAATCGCGAAACTGAGATACCCTGGTATCAACAAACATTTCATTGTCAACTAACTAAAGTGCCTCCATTCTACAGAAGAGAGTGCAGTAGCCATCTTCCAGAATATAACACATGAATGAATATAATCAACTACTTCAGCAAATTCGCGAAGAATGAAAACTCTCAAACTAAGGTAAGTGCTGTAAAAATTAAGTCTTAGATGAGTTCGCGTAGACTGATAAAAATATAAAGCGTCTCATGATAATTTACCGGATTCTAGAAATATCCCATTGATGATACTCATAGAACCAAACTTTTGGTTCAATTTCTTTCCATATAAATATCTACAAAGCATATAATATCCTCTTAACAAATACTAAACAAACGATTTGGCTTTTCATTAAAAATTCATCAATCTCGGCGAACTGAAAAAATCTGCTTAGATTTCATACTACAAAGTATTACTGACACATTCTCGAATGTTTCTCTAAAATAATTATTGGATGATTTACACATACGAGTTTTTTCATCCTTCTCCTATACGACTTTCTTTATAGTCCCGATAAGTAATCGTAAAACAAAACAAGATCATTATTGTGAATAAAGAGAAATTCAACACAATACTCGATAGACAATACTCGATAGATATTATTATTTAATAAAATCATCCTTTGATTGAGACTTTGAAAAAAAGCCAGCTTTTCGTTAGAGATGTAAACATCCCATTATACAATTTTCTGCTAAAGACTTGCTATGTAGAATCTTAAAAAACGAAAAGTGTATAGTAGAATTGAGGAAAATGGACTCATGAGTCAAATAGAATAACCGAAGAATTTTTTGAACCTACAAATTTCATAGCTGCTGGAATGTGATATACTAGCCAAGAGTGCAAAAAAGAGACCCAGGAATAAAGAATTCTTATATTTATCAAAGTTCAGTGTCTGTCGCTTGCTGTCGTGGGAACTCCATGACAAACAAGAATTTTCAGGCATGAAAACTTTCTTATTTCAAAGTCAAAAAAAAAAAAATTGATCCATCCGCTTGATTATATCTAACAAAACCTTTGGACAAGTGGAATGCAAATGATTCCGAATGGATGCATCGAGGCCCAAGTGGCTTTGGAACAAGACCCTATATTTTCCTTGTAGTTAAACTTCAGCCTTCTTTTCGCTTTAGTAAACACCTGCTACCTCATGATTCTCAAATCGTTCGAGAGAACATTTTCATCTAGATGGCACTACAATTGAGCCATTCGTAACTTCTGTATGTTAAACCAATAAGGCCAGTAAAGTCCATGATAATTCAAAAAACAGATTATTAAACTGTATGGACACTTGCAGTATACAAATAACGCTGATTCCTTTTTTCTCATTTGCCCAAGGAAAAGCCTTTTGAAAAAGAACATCACCTAATCAAGCCCCGAATATTCTCATCCAATCTTCGAACTATTTAACTTGGGTGTGCAATCCAAATCCTATGAAGGTATTCAATGCGTCCCAATGGTAACGTTCAACACCCCGTGAAGCCTTTTGCCGCAACTTGTATTAGCCTGCTCTCAGCGGGGTTTTTCTACCACGTTTGAACTGATTATAACTGCTGAAACGAAGTCGCTCGATTGATAATTTTGCTTAAAATGGCAAATCGACATTGAACCCTCTTCCTTCTGCAGCAATAAAGCTAAGGAAGTCAGTCTAAGTCAATCACGTAGACCTCCTATTATTTTCGTTCTTTCATTTGATGTTAAGCGTAAGCTTCAAAAGCTAGGCAAGTCCACGTAAGTAAATTGGTAAATTGGCATAGTCATTTGAATGCTACATTCGTTCCCTCCTACATTTTATTCTGTAAAACTGAATGTACTCTCATGGCTCTAAGACAAAAGGTTACTACATGCTTTACTCAGCTTTACGGTTAACCTGAGGTATATGAAACCACCAATTTAATCTTCTTGAGATAGTAGTTTTGATTCACCTAGCCTTAGCTCGTTCGATAGCCTCTGTAACTTTGATTAGTTTACTACCAAAACAAAACCGTTAATATGAACCATCAGCTTCTGCTCGATGAAAAGAATTGTTCATTACTTACATAAGAAGATGTCTCCCAAAGTAAGAAAATACATTTGAAAAAGTTAAAGGTTCAAGTAGGTTGGTAGATCTAATGAACTTTTCTTTTGTTTTCTGAATTTACTTTAAGTTTTGACCCATAAGGACGAAGTAGTTGAACATGAATACATTTCGGTTGAAACAAGAATTTCAACTTATGGTTTTTCATCCTTCATTAAGTTCCTGAAAATGACAATACCCTCTGGCGAGATTCTTAGAACTTGCTATCTATGACTTAAAATTGATGGTTTGCCGTAAGAATGATTAGCTCAATTGTTTTCAAGCGCCTGGTTATCGGCCGCAAAGGAATGAATCCTCTCATATCTCTCCGCCTATGGCTTCAAACCAATTGATCTCTGACACTCACTGTTCAACTTCTTCGATGACTGGGTTTTCTTTCCCCTTCATAAATGCATCGGTAGCATAATACTGAATATATATAAATTGAATTATGCTCAGTTCCGCCGAATTCTCTTGTTCGCAATCAGATTAACTTCAAAGAATAATCTCATTTTCGCTGTACATGTTTGTTCAATTGTAGCTCGTAATCGATTTTGTATAGAATCAAAGCATGCCTTTTGAAATGACCTTTTGTTGAGTCGTATATTTGTAGGTGAGAAATGTTTCAGAATCGAGGAAGAAAAAGTCCCTGCTTGATGATTATCTTTTGAGCGGTTCGAATGTCAGTAGTCTTCAATAGTTTTGAAATTCATCGTATGGTGTTAATTGAGTATTTGTTTAAGTTCGTCTTATCATCCACGCCTCTGATGTCTTACATATGATGTTTTCTTTAACTTGCACTAGGTTACGCTCAAAAAAATATCAAGATTTGATCTCGGTAATAATACTTTACTCAAGTTGGAAGCTTGTTGTCCAAAACTTAATAACTATTTCAGTTTTATAACAAAACTTCAAGATTGATATAGGCATTTCCGCTAGATCATTCATATTTTGTTGAATGTTACCTATCTTCAAGTCAAAAATACCAACCTAGTTGTTTGAGCATTTTTAGTACTAATGATCCTACAAAGTCCTTGTTTCAATAGACTTTGCTATCCCAATATTGTTGTTAATAGTTTTAATTCTTTTGATACAGACATGACTGAAGTAGTCAAAATTGCGAAAGTAACACCAGTAGTTTTTCCGCCATACTCTACAAATAAAGTTATAATACAACCGTCTGATGATAATTTGGTTGTTATTCTAAATGAACAAATCAAAATACAGAAATGCAAACAGAACATGGATTCATCTCAAGCCACTCGAACTAGTAAAACACATAAGCAAGACACCAGATCAAAGAACGTTAAAGATACAAAAAAAAAAAAAACAGACTGGATTTAAAATAAGAAAGAAGCAAATTGATTGATCTGGATACAAATTAATATTTATGGTAATGGTTTTAATGTAAGAGAAGGAATTAATACCGCAAGAACTGTTGAATCCACTGCGACCACTGCTTTTAACACCATGAGGTTTTATAAGCTTCAACATTCTTCTCGTTTCAAAGATGCTGATTATAATGATTCTTTGACTTCTAAAAGAACTAGATCAGCTACAAATAATAAATTTAAACAATCGAACAATACATGTAAAAAACTACTTAATATAGCTCCTGCTCCAAGTAAGAAACCGAATGCCAAAACCAAATCAACGTCAAGAAAAGTTTCCGATTCGGATGGCTCTCCTTGAAATAAGCGATTTAAAACTTTAAAATCTCCAATTGATTAAAAGAGCTGTTTATATGGACACACCTGAAACCATTCTTTTAGCAAGAGATGCCATGCAAACTTTTGAAGAATAAATAATAGAAACTTTTAAACCATAGAACCTTAACCATATTCTTCACCATTAGCTCTTTCTATTAATTTATTTTCATCTTTAAATTTATGAAGACTCAATACTGGTCCCAGTAACGAGAGACATTTAGGGTAATATCTGCTAAAATGGTCCTTTGTTTGGTTTAGACAACATCAGGGACTGCTTGTTGGCCCCAAAGAATAGAGTCGAAATACAAGCATTTTTAGGAAATGTGTAAGATTTTGTATTACAAAGTACAATATAGCGAATCTCTGAAGAATGAATAAAAAGTTGACAAAAAACTAAAAGAATTGAAGAATGGTTGCAAATTCATCAATTGGACAAGAATACAGTCGATCCAAATTTTTTTAAAACAGGTTAACTACTGCAGAAACATAATACTGCCTTAAAAATTGACAAACATTACTGCCTTGAAATTGACAAAACATTAAATTTTCAACAAAGTGCTTTGTAATCAATAAATCCCCATGACATGGAGAAGATAGTCCAAAAACTTATTAGTCACATCGATACTTACAGAAGTATGAGTTAAATTGAGCAACCTAACTTAACCATTCAAAAAATTGATTGTGAATAACTGGTTGAATATTTTGGAGTTTTGGATAGGCAGGTCCTCCTTCTTTATCTAAGACACATTGTACCTCAACACCATATAAGCCATAAGTTAAAATGTAGAAATAATAGAGGGATTCAAGGTTGTTCAATCACCTTCCTTTAACCTTTTTTTGAATTTGCTGCAAATTAAGCAAGAATTACTCAAAAATGTTAAAAACACCCATCTTGCATAGTCTAACCTCTACAAAACCTTCAATGTCTTCTTCGCACAGCTATATAGAAACTATAAGCCCATATTCCAATTGCATGGCTCAACTCCCAGGTACTTGCAAGTTAAAATTGACTTCGTTGCAAAAAAGGCCTTCATTGCAAAAAACTATATATAAAAATCGTGCACAACCCAAATATCTCCGAAAGAGACAAAAGAAAAGATTGTTATAAAAACCCTAGCAAGCACCAGCAAAGACCAGAGCATAAAGTGAGCCATATTTAGATAATGAACTCTTATTACACCAAGAGCATAACCAATTTGGCAAGAAGAGGTGGTGCTTCAGCTTTGAAGGGTTGCAAGAAAGAATTGCGTCCCCAATTCAGAGAATACGGGACCAGATCAGACTTAGATTCTCCCTTTGATCATTTACCTAAGCGTAATAAGTCCTGGTTCAATTGGAAAGTCTCTTCAGTTTTTTTAGCCTTTGGTGCTTTTATGGCATACAATGAAACGCTTTTTGATTATTATGAAAAATTCACTGATTCCGGAATTCTGGATGAGTTATTGCCAGTGAAATTGGAATATGAAATGAAAAATTTACCTATATATCAAAAGTTGGCATTTTCGAAAAGTGGAGATAAATGGGTTAAACTAAATTCATGGGAAAATCTTGACAGAAACGTTTTAGATAGCACGAACGAAGCTCTTAAAACCAAGACCCAAGAAGAATATAAAGCACCTTCATTACATACTCATACTTTGGCCAAACCCGGGGGGATCTTGGTAAAGCCAGCTATTTTCCATAACATAGAAACCGATGAAGGGGTCTCCATAATCCACGTTGGCCATAGATTATGTGGTTATCCATTCATTGTTCATGGGGGGATCATTGCCACAATTTTGAATGAAACTTTTAAAAGAAATGCTTCTTTGTCGAGCAAAATGAGTTCCAACTTAAAAGATGATTACAAAGTTGAAAACCTCACAATCTCCTATAAATTCCCTTCTTTCGCTAATCAGTTTTTAATTGTGAAGACTAGAAGAAAAGAAGGTGCTAACGATGATGATAAATTCATCACTTTGGAAAGTGTAGTTGAATCGCAAAAGGGTCAAGTCCTTGTTAAAAGTGAAGCTTTACTTCATGATACCGGAAGAGCTACCAAAAGGGCTAAGAAATCCAGTTGGTTACCATTTTGATCTCCGGAATTTTATAAAAAATTGGAAAAATAGTAAGCTTTGCTCAACAAACGTTATATAAATAATGTAGAGATGAATATAATGATCTGTTATTACCGATTCCCCGTTAAACGTAGCCGATTAGAGTGGTGTAGCTCCTGGAAGCAAATGGAAATCAAGTCTAGTCTGCAAAACGGGACCAATTACTCAGTTTGTGTAGAAAAAAAAAGTCTATGGAAAATTTGAAAAATGACATCAATTTTTTTTTTTTTTTCAGATTTTTCACTTTCCTTTGGAAAATCATTTTACACCCTTCAAACATATCATTAGAAATGACATCCGGAGACGAGACCAAGGATTTGGATCAAAAGTTTGAAGTGATCAGTATAAACGACTCTAATGAAGAAGATAACTCTCAGGAACCAGTTGTTCCTCATGAAAGACAAATTGTGGACGATGTTATAGCGATTTGGAAAACTGATCCTGAAACCGAAGAATTGAGTGCTGGTAAGCTTCACGGGATTGTTAAAAAAAGACATCCTAACTGGTCTGTATCAGAAAAACGGGTTAAGACCTTATTAAAGAAGTTTGGTTTGTTGAATACCGACCAACAAATTACTTATGCTAATGATATTACATCAGAAGAGACACCAGATATTGACTTGCCAGCAAATCTCAGAATCATCATGTCAGCTAAAAGAGGAAAAGGGTTATACGCTAAGAAGCCTATAAAAAAGGGAGAGCTTTTATGGGAAGAGCCTCAATTATTCTTTGTGCCGCCATTAGAGAATGCAGAGTTGATCAAACTGGGGAAAGCATGTTCTTACTGTGGTAAGCTTTTGGCACAATCAAACAAAGTTGCAGGAGCTTCAGTCTTGAGAGGATTGGATTGTAACGTTTGTCCTGAAATTTGGTGTTCACAAAAATGTAAAAAAATTGATAATCAATTACATGGTTTACTTAAACATAACGTCTACAATCCCCATGCTAGTAGAAAAAATAAAGCAATAAACTCTGAAGCGTATTTGGATTTACAGAATTATTGCATCAAGGAGCAATGGAATGCTTTATTTGCCTTAGCTATTATTTATGCTAACATAGTTACTGATAAAACTGGGGTCAAAGGAAAACAATTTAGAGCCATGGCTAGAGTTTCCCAAGCAGTTAGATATAAGGCCTTGAACTCTTCTGCTGGTGCTTTTGATAGTCTTCAAGGTGGGGCTTTATTTGTTCAAGAACAACAAGAGTCTTTATGGCAAGAAGGTTATAAAAAATTTCTTGCAGTTTTCCCACAAGCTTATGAAGAAGGTAAAATTACTTATGATGAATTTTTACATTTAATGGGTACTTACAATATCAATAACTTAGATTATTCTATTTACTTGATCCAATCTCATTTGAATCATAACTGTTCTCCTAACACTAGTGTCGAAACTTCAACCATTTCTAGAGCTGACACCTTGGCTGTATATGCTGCTAGAGACATAAGAGCAGGTGAAGAGTTGACCACTACTTACGTAAACCCTGCCCATACTGTTCAACAAAGACAAAGAGAATTAAGGGTTAATTGGGGTTTCGTTTGTGGATGCCAAAAATGTAAAGATGATAAGAAAGATCAAAATAAAAGAAAATCAAGCTCTGCAAGTAACAAAGATAAGAATGACATCAGAAAGATGTTGGCAGAAACTAAGGACTCTCTTGACGGTGACTCGATCGAACTTGATGTTCCTGAAGAACATCATGGTGAAAGACGTAAATCTGTTCGTTTCGATGAAAAAGTTCAAGTCAGTACTTCAAATTAATTATTTTCAAATCGCTTATGACCTTCACGAGTAATATCAATGACTCTACGCTTATATCGACCAAGACGCAACGATCCCCATCATTTGAAATAGAATATAGTTTTTTTGTAAATATATAAAGAATTGAAATTTGATTTGTAGCGAAATCTGAAAAATTGAAAGAAAAATTACGAGCAAAAAAAAAGAAGCACTACTTACTGGGAGCTTATTCCTTCAGAATATGTCTAAAACAAGTCCAATTAAAGATGCTAAAAGGCAATTGAGAGTGCTAGTAAAGAAGAAGCTCTCTTTTCTAAGCAATGAGATCATTGAAGCACAATCCAGGAATGTAACGAACACCGTCTTGAGACTTCCTCAAATTAGCAACGCCAAAAAGATTGCCCTTTATATGAATATGCCCAATCTGGAGATACAAACATTGAAACTAATAGAAGAGTGCTTTAAACAGGGTAAGCAAGTCTACCTTCCAAAGTGTAATGTTGCTCCTCTTGAAGGACGGAAAAAGAATTACTTGTCAATGCTAAGAATGCAGACTTTTGAAGACGTGCTTCAGTTGCAGCCACAAGGGAAATATCAACTATTAGAGCCACTAGAAGGGGAAGATGTTATGGAGACTGGAGGTCTTGATTTGATAATTATTCCAGGAGTCGCTTTCACTAGAGCTAAGAAGAGATTAGGACATGGTGCTGGTTTCTACGATGAATTTTTGAATGTTTATTACAAAAAACATGGAATAAAACCTCACCTATTGGGCGTAGGCTTACACGAACAGTTGGTTGATGATATTCCCAAAGAAGATCATGATTGGGATTTGAATTCGTTAGTTATAGAAGGACATGCCCCCTTTTAGCAACGCTATGTAAATAAATATAACAATCTTATAAATAAATAAGTTAATAAATAGTCGCCTACCCTGTAATGCACTGATACTGAGAGATTCTAGATTCAAGTAGAGCCTAATTATTTAGTCCTTTGATAAAACACCAACAAGACAATTTTCTAGCATTCGGTCTGCGTTCACCCAACTATGATACTTATTGAATAAAGCAGTTCCATCCCTGCCGGCACACTTCATTATTTCTCCAACACCCCCTGGATGGAAGTCCACATAAGGTGTTATGTTGAATACTTTTCCGTTGATGCTTGTCCAACAATCTTCTTTGGTTTTATGTGACTTTAATTCCTCTTTACTTATCCTTATATAATGAGGAGGAGGAGTTTGAGGTGGAACACCTCTCATGACATGCTTGGGTGTGTTTCTATTCAATGCTGCCCAGTCTAAAGGTGAATGTCCAGGTTTTAGGGCAACCTTCTGTCTAGGCTGTCTCTGAGGGACTGCCAATCCACCTCCCAAGCTAGGTGCCGCTCGCTGAGCTGAGTTGGGTGCCGGAAACAAACTATTGGATCCTCCTTTTGGATCTAGTCCTCGAGGATTGGTTGTCATATTGTTAAAAATGGAAAACCGAAGAGTTCATGAACATATGTCTTTTTAAAAGACTGTTTTTTTTTTTTTTTTTTTTTTGTTTGGTTTGTTGCGACTAGCTTAAGAGTTTACAGACTACAATATCATTGAATATATACATAAAATACCATTTTATTTCATAATGTATGTGCTGTATCTATAATTTGGCATAAGTCGAGTGGAAATGTAGGTATTTGGTGAAGGAAAATATGTGTTTTTTTAATTTTCTCTTACTTGTTTTCTATCAACTCTTTCATAATATAACATATATACGCTTTCAGTTTCACACAAGACAGAAGCACGAGATACTTCGGTTATATGAGAATCACTTATTCTCCAGTAGGGACATTTGATTAAACTTTGAATTTTTTTCATTTTAATCTTGTTTTTTGAATTATTTGACTGTTCAAATCTTTGCGAAGCCTTTTTCTGAGCTTCTTCATCAATCTTCATTTGACTGAATGAGTTTTCAAGATTGTTATTTGAAAAATAACCCCCTTCAGGATCATCAACCAATAATTCTGCTGGAGTAGTCAAGCCAGAATGAATGATTTCTTGTATATTAGCATGTTCTGGATCAGCTTGAACAACAGACGGACGACGGCCCATCATGTTTGTAAATTTACGACGGAAATTACCATGACCCGGGAATTCTTCAGTTTGAGGAAGGAGAGAAGGAGCTGAGCCATTAGTATTTGAATTGTTTACGCTGGTCAGACTATTACTGGTATCGGGATTATTTTGAGTGGTATCAACAGAATTATTGGAAGAGCCTGTTAAGGACAAGGTTAATTTTCTTCTTCTGCTAGGTGCACGTTGAGGGACATTAGCGGGTTTTTCATCTTGCTTAGATTCAGTTTTATTTGAATCAACTGTATCATTAGAATCTCTTTTACCTTCATTAGTTGAGTCAGAATTTATTTCTAATGGTTTTTCATCTTGAGGAACATTGGATTCATGAACTTGAGAAACAGCAAATGTAACATCATGTAGACTTTCTTCCGAAATTTCTGGAGATAATTTGAAAATAGTACCATCTTTATCTTTTACGTATAAAGGTTTACGTCTATAACATTCATAGTGGCCTTGAGTATGAGAACCTTGATGTATGATAACTGCTTTTAGTCTATACTTGTAAATGTCATTTTCATTGAACTTAAAGTTTTTAAAATGGCGTTTCAAATGAACAGTTTGATCTTCTGTGATTGGGGCATTATTTAAAGTTTCTGGAGCTTTGAGGGTGGTTGAATTTGAAGATAATTCGGATAAATTTTTGGAATTGTTGTGAGACGATTTTGTTGTGTTTGGCTGATTAGTGCTATCGTTCAAAGTTCCGACAGTATTTACAGAAGGCTGTACTGACTCCTTTGATGTTAAGGAAGCATCATCGTCATCATCCTCGTCGTCGTCATCGTCATCCACATCATCAGTACTAGTACCTTCAGTAGTATTATCATCGGTAGGATCATCATCATCATCATCATCATCGTCATCATCATCGTCTTCATCTTCATTGCCCTTTTCATCGAAATCTTCTCTTTGAATACTTTCATCCTCCATATCATTTTCGTCATTGGTCAAGATGTTTGAATGGATATTATGTTCACTCAAGTCATCATCTTGAGTGGCGGCAGCTTGGAATTGTTTTAATTCATCATGGAATTCTTTACCAATGGATAAAGTTAAATGATCTTTAAAAGAAACACGACAAGAGTTTCTGGTGATATCAATACCGTTAAAGCTTGATCTTGAGAGGTGTAAACCGAAAACCTTTGGAGGTTTTAAAACTTGAGTTTTCCTGAAAACTGTTGACGTGATACTCGACATATCCAAACCCTTTTTATTATAAGATTTGATATAATCTTCTAAAGAAGAATCCAAATCTTCATTAATGCATAATTTATCATCATTATTATAATCGATTAATTGGTTGATGATTTTCAATTGCTCTTGATCATCATCGTAATTCAATTTCAAGTTTGATTCGTGGATTACAATACTATTAATACGACATTTCATACATTGATAACCTTCGATTGACTCCGACTCATTATCATTGATAATAGTTTCCAAATCGGTTGATAGTTTTTCCGGAGCATGTAAAGTCATCATTAAGAAAGGAGAAAAATTTGGTTTTGAAACATGGGAGCATTTAAGACATTTCATTTGGGATAAGAGTAATCCACTGAACGGGAACTCTGGAATGTCGATCAAATCTAATTGATGAATTTGATTTGGTGAAGGGTTTTGGAATACTCTTAATTTCTTAAAAATCTTATTGGCATTGATATTTTCATTTTCTAAAGTTTCATTGATCAATTGAGTCAATTCTTGGGCATCATGTTGGGATTTTGAAATCTTAGCATTAAAAATTTTTTCCAAAGAATGTAAAAAAGTCCATACTGAAATAGTTCTCGAAGTCATTTGGGTATCCTGGAGTTTCTTCACAATATTAGCGAGAGCAACATGAAGCGGGATATCAAATTTATAATCAATCTTATTACTTTTGAATTTTGAATTAGCAATATTATGAATTCCTTTAGTTGATGCAGTCACTTCTTCAAGATTAATCTCATTCTGTTGGATGTATTTAACCAATTCATGAAAGGATCCAATAAATTTATTCAAATAATCGGTTAACCCCGGTAATGCTGAGTATGCTTGTATTGATGAGTTAGCAAAACAGTCATTTCTCATATTAATAAGCCCAGTAGTATGTTTATCTGGTCTTCTGGAAAACATTTTATCCTGGTTTGACGATGCTAGAAACGGAATAGAAGGTGCCAATATATAATAAGCAATCGATAACGTTAAACTGATCGATAAAATCAATTTGTGCTTTTCTGATCTTGGTAATGAAGTTATTCTATTCCAGAGTGCTCGAAATACTGAAATTTCAATCCTAGATTCGGCTCTACTACCAGCAAATCCACTCGACAAGTCTTGATTAAGTATTAACAGTCGTAGTTGTTGCACTAAGGACATGTAAAAAAAAGACTAGTCAACCTAATCCTCCAAATCGACTCTGTTTCCCGAGATAATCAAGAAAGAAAAAGAAAAGACTAGCCTTAAATCGCTCAACGAAGGCTTTCTATGCAGAAAACAGCCAAAAAGGAGTAACAATCGGAACTTTCGTTTGGCCCGAAAATTTATTTTTGGCTCCGGGGAAATCCCGCGCTCCTGGTGCACGGGCGTGATATCTTCAAATGGTCTTGGTAGCTTATATTGCAGGTCACTGCCCGATTGGGAAGTCGAGCCAGTCACGTGAGATTAAGGGTGCTGATTACCTAATCACTCACTCAGCACCAAACTACACCGGTTTCATTTAATTATATCAATTTGAAGAGATACCATGAATTGGAACGGCACCAAAGTGTTATTAGAGGCTGTTTGCAATACTGGTATCACCGAACTAGGGGAAGAGACCGCGGATCATTTTGATAGGTTGTTGCTACTGAAGGAAACAAAGTGTTTGCGTTGTTTGATTGGTATACGGCGGTTAATTAAAGATGAAGTTTTCCCATTCTTTACAATTTAATGCTGTACCTGAATGGTCTTCTAAATATATTGCATATACCACTTTAAAGAAGCTTATTTACTCTTTGCAAAGAGATTCTTTGAAGAAGAAATCGTTTGATTTGGAAGAAGAATCCCAGTTGATATCCAATGAGATAACTGGTGCTAATGAAACGGATTCTTCAAGTGTATTTTTGGCTGCGTTAGATGCCGAGTTGGCTAAGATAGACGATTTCTATAGAATCCAAGAAGATTTGTGTTTTAAAAAAGTCGATGAATTAATTCTTGATATTGAAAATTTCGAAAGTGATTTGCACAGCAATGGTTCTATTTCAAGTCGCAGAAATTCTTCTCTTAACCAATTTTCATTAGGCCAAAATGGTAATCGAAGTAGAACTAATTCAAATCCTTCTGTTGACCAATTCCATACTACCACCGATCCCGATACTGAATTCACTCAGGATGACGATGAAGATGATGAAGATGATAATAGTGCTAGAAATTATAATGGTCCAGACCATAGACGTAATAATCAAAGAGATGGTATGGGTGGCTCAACAACTTTAGATCAAAGCAAATCCCTTGATGATTATTTGAAATCCCCTAAAACTCCTGCTATTTGGAGTAGTATCAATAATTCAAATTTTGATGCGTTACCTCCTCAATTAGTTATACTTTCCGAAACTAGAGTCATTTTAAGAAAAAGAGTCATTGCTCTTTTCACTACCTTATCAGAATTGAAATCTTATATTGAATTAAACCAAACCGGGTTTAAAAAAGCTTTGAAAAAATTCGATAAATCTTTAAACACTTCTTTGAAAGACCAATACTTGACTAATTTACCTCTCAAGTCTTATGTCTTCAAACAAACTACTGTTGAAAAAGTTAGTGATCATATTGAATCCTTGGTTAAATTATATGCTTTGATTTGTAATCATGGTGCTGATTTAGAAACTGCAAGACAAGAATTATCAATCCATTTAAGAGAACATGTTGTTTGGGAAAGAAATACCGTTTGGAGAGATATGATTGGCTTGGAACGTAAAACTTATGCTGCAAATCAAAGATTGAAATCAAACAATAATAATATCAATGAAAAACTGGGTAAAAATGGATCTCCTCTCACTTTCAACATGTCCTGGAAAAATCCTACTTTTTTAAAATTATTTTCAATCATTGCAATAACTTTAATTTTATTGAATTTTTCTCCCTTCAAAGATGAACAGCAGAAAAATTGCTTTGCCCTTTTAATTTGTGCATCTCTTTTATGGGCTACAGAGACTATTCCTCTTTTCGTCACTTCTCTTTTAATTCCGCTTTTAATTGTTATCTTGGATGTTTTGAAAAATCAAGATGGTTCAGTAATGAGTACCGTTGATTCATCTAAGTTCATTTTAGGATCAATGTGGAATTCAGTCATTTTATTATTATTAGGTGGTTTTACATTGGCGGCTTCTTTATCGAAATATCATATCGCTAAATTAATTTCTACTTGGATTCTTTCTAAAGCTGGTACCAATCCTTCAGTAGTCTTATTAACAATTATGGGGGTAGCATTATTTGCTTCGATGTGGGTATCAAATGTCGCTGCTCCAGTTTTATGTTTTTCAATCATTCAACCTTTATTAAGAACTTTACCAAAAGGTTCTCAATTTACCAATGCTTTAATTTTAGGTATTGCTTTAGCTTCTAATATCGGTGGTATGGCTTCTCCAATTGCTTCACCTCAAAATATGATTGCCATTGGATCTATGGAACCTCAACCATCTTGGGGTCAATGGTTTGTTATTGCCATCCCTGTATGTGTTTTATCACTTTTATTTATTTGGGCATTTCTATTACTTACTTTTAAATGTAACTCTAAAAACACTCAATTAGTTGCCATCAGAACCATCGATGATAAATTCACTGGTGTTCAATGGTATATTATTGCTGTTTCTATTGGAACAATTTTCTTGTGGTGTATTGCATCTAAATTAGAAGGAATTTTTGGTGAAATGGGTATTATTGCTCTTATTCCAATTATCTTATTTTTCGGTCCTGGTTTACTTACCACTGAAGATTTTAATAATTATCCTTGGAATATTGTTGTTTTAGCAATGGGTGGTACTGCTTTAGGTAAAGCGGTTGCATCATCTGGTTTATTGGCCACCATTGCCGTTAGTATTCAAAGAGAAGTTGAAGGATTTTCCTTATTTGCAGTTACTTTAACTTTTGGATTATTAATTTTAACCATGGCTACTTTTGTTAGTCATACAGTAGCTGCTTTAATTATAATACCATTAGTCTCTGAAATTGGTAATGCAATGCCAGACCCTCACCCAAGATTGCTTATTATGGCTAGTGCATTATTATGTTCAGCAGCCATGGGTTTACCAACATCAGGTTTCCCTAATGTTACTGCCATTTGTATGACTGATGAATTTGGTAAGCCTTATTTGACAGTCGGTACGTTCATTACTAGAGGTGTTCCAAGTTCAATAATTGCATACATTATAATTGTCACAATTGGATTTGGAACCATGAAGCTTATTAACTTTTAAATTTTAATGTATATCAATTTTTATAGTAACAGTCTATCAAACGATGTCAAAGATCAATCCTTTCAGTCAAGAACAAACTTATCAATACGCTACAAATGTAAGATTTATGTAAGGAAACATTTATTGATCACTATTTAATCATTTATTCGTATAACGTTAAGCTCTCGTAAGACATTAGCAGTTTTTTTTTTTTTTTATTTATTATTTTGTAAGATATAGAAGAATCTAATCTAACATAAGAAAAGACTCAGGAGGGTCTATTAAAACAAGGATTTGAAGAGGGTATTAATACCTTGAGTTTAAAAGACAAGAGAGAAAACGAAATATCTAGTTTTTCTCATAATCAGCTATTAGACTGGTTCAGTTTGTTGATTAGTTGGAGCGGTAGCTTCGGGTTCAGCAACAGGTTCATTGGTTGCAGCTGGAGCAGGAGAGAAAGCGGTGTCACCCGAAACTCTTGGACTTTCACCAATATGTTTTTCAGAAAGGGAGCCTGATCTAAACCAGTTATGGAAGAAACCTTCATCAACATCTTTGACATTCAACCAAGTTAAAATGGTTGGAACAAAAGCGAAAGTGATTAAATCCAAAATACCATAGAAGACCGCTTCAGAATCTGGCTGAATCTTATTACCACCTTCACTTAAACCCCAGGCAATTGGATATAAGATCCAAACGATGATTTGGAAAACAATCAACAAGTTTGCAAGTTTATTGGCAGACAAGGCACGATAAGATCTTGAAAGATTGAAAGAAATCAAGGTGATTGCAAATAATTGAGCAGTGACAGCAAAAGTGAAATAACCCCATTTATAAGTAGAATGAATTAATCCACCAATAAGTAAACCAAGCACAAAAATTTCTGTAGCCAAAAGTTTAGTAGCCAAGTTTGAAATCAAAGAAACTAAACGGGTGAAATTTTCACGAGTGGAAGAGTTAATTGAACTATCTCTCAAAGTGCTTGTAGCCACTGTGATTGCAAATAAGTTAAAGGGCCAAGCCAAAAAGTAACCGATATATTTAACGTAGAATATTTGTCTACGGTAAAGATCTCTATCGGTTGAGACATGTTTGAATTCAGTTCTGGTCGAAGCATAACCTAAATTAGAAGCATAAGTAAAGTAAGTATAAGCCAAAACTGCATTTGTAAATAAGGGTACCACCAACAAGGATTTTTTCAAAGCACTTGATTTAGAGCTTACGAATCCATAAATGACGGCATGAGCGATTGCAAATAATGCAAACACAGCAAATGCAGCCCATAACCAATCGGACCCATGATTAGTTAAGTGAATATCAATTGAAGGGTCGGGAGGATTCACCTCAAGTGCTTCATTACCAGCACGTTTAATAATATCGATAGCAGCCATGTTTTAATTAGAATGATTGCAAAAAAAGAAAAAAATTAAATTATCAACAATTTTTTTGAAACAAACACAAAGTTATTTTGGAATGATGATAGGGATAATCAGAATTGAAATAGGGGTAGGCTGCCAGGGTTTATATAGCCCCGTTTTAAGCAGAAATATATTTATTCGGGACTCAAGGAAAGTCTTAGAAGAAAGGGTATCCGGGACTACTTTTGACGGGACATTACTAAGGAAGACAAGTGGGCTGCCAAATCAACCCATTGCAAGGAAACCCATTCTCGGAGGTTCCAACCGGATACGGCAGAACTAGCAATCTGAGTAATTTAACCCAGTAAGGACGAATTGTATGATTAGCTTATACGAACATCCGATCTAGCAGGGGAGAGGTCATGTTTTACTTTACGGTACATTGTTGATCTCACGAACATAACACAACCATAGTACTCCAAACAAGTATAAACGAAGTCGGGTCAAGGAATTGGTTTGTCAGCCAATTTTGCAGTCTGCAAAATCACTCAATTTTTAGAACGGCTGAATCGGAAAATGTTATTTTTTGCACTCATTTTTCATTTTTTGCAATCTTAGTCTGTGACTATGAGTAGACAAAGTAGACAAAGTAGACAAAGTAGACAAAGTAGACAAAGTAGACAAAGTAGACAAAGTAGACAACGAGTAGACAACGAAGAGATAGTAAGGATCAGCAGGAGAGTAAACATTTGTCAAGTAAGAGTGGACAGTTGGGTGAAAGTAGACGGTTGAGACAGTTATAAGGGTATACCTGGATAGAAGTGGAGCAGAGTGATCAAAGTCTGTACAGAGGTGCAGAACAGCCAGGGTATAGTGACAACAGTGGATGGGATGATTCGGAGAGAAGGACGGGATGAACGGCTAAGGTTTAAGCTTTTGGCTACATCAACAACCATCCTACCAGTTTACAATGGATATTCAAAGAACAATCATGTATTCTATATACTTTTAACCAATTGCAACGGGCTGACCCTCATTTAATCTACTTAGAGCCTCCTTGTTGAGATCTCCCGAAGCATTGCAAATGGAGCACTTCAATCTTTTAGAAAAATAAAAGGGTAACACCGGAATGAAAAACAAAGTTATACAGTTAATGGTTCGAATAGCATGCGCCGACTGGTTATGACAATTACCGCAATAACAAGTTATATTACCAATATTGTCTAATGGTTTATTAAACTCTTTAACTAAATAATGGTTAGTCTTGTATCCAACGCCATTGATGGACTTCATACATACACCCAATTAAAAAAAAACAAAAATCCATTTCCCTCCCTGATTCTCAAGTGATTCCTAAACTCAATCAACTACTAAAACTCCTTGTACTTGATGAAAGAGTAACTGCTTCGTGTTGAAACGATTTCACTTTGAAATGATCGTTTTTTTATCGGGGTTGCGCCGGTGCACGGGTGCATTCGTGGTACGGAGCTTATCAATTAACGATGGGAAAATCATCTCCTTTACAAGTGGCATCACTAGCTTTATCCTCTTCGTTAATAGAAACCCGGCAAGATGGCCAATACTCAATCACGTCCCAAGTCGTTTGTACAGACGGTCATACCATTGGCCAAGACCCTTCAATTCTACTGGTTTATCGGCCATGTTTCCAGTTTAGTGTTTTTCACTTTTGACTTTTTGTTTTCCTTCATTAATAAATCAAAAGCCTTGAAATTCTACCAATTAACCTTGGTTTCGGTCATTATAACTTATTCAATAGTTATCAAACAGGTTCATTTGAAGAATTCTTGGAACGTGGCCAAATTGCTCCAGTTGCAGAGCTTTAAAGATGAAAATATCCAATACTTGAGTCTTTCATTAGTTTTCTTGTTAGCAAGCTTCAAAATTGGCCCAGTTAACGGATACTACTCCTTAATTGTATTCTCTATATTCCACGTTTTACATTACTTCCAGAAAAACTTATTACCGTCCTTGCCAATTTCAATTGCAGGCCAACAATCAATCAATTCAAAAATTAATCACTTCACTTCCAATTACAGTCAACAAGCCTTACTTGTTGCTGCTAATATGGAAGTCTTCTTGCCTTTGGCTTTACTCATGAAGTCTTTCCTTTTGGTCTTTATGATTTTTAAAGATCCTGCCTACGTGTTGGTGTACTTATTCACGCTTGCATCCATTGTTGTTTTCATTAAATTAAGATATAATGATAACAAATACACCCAGGATGTCATTCAACAATGGGACTACAAAATCTCTACCGTATTGAACCATCCCCAATTACAAGCTTATCCTTTATCTAATCTCTATCATCAAAATTTTAAGGCTTTGGTTGCAAAGTATATTGGTCCAATAAGAATTGCTCCAAAACCTTCTAAAAAGACTCAATAATTCATCACCTCAACCTCTTTTATCTAGACATACCATCTCTTATTCTTGTAAGAAGTACCTTGTAAATTTGGCTATAGTGTCAAAAAAAAATTATGAGGCCACACGATCTCTTTGAATAAAGCAAAAAAAAAAAAAATGAATACCTTTTCATTTACAATATTTTTATTTACAATACTTTAAATCATTCATTGGCAATGGCTTCACAAAGTAGTAAGAAAACAGCATCCTCCAATGCCAACACTTTGAAAGAACTCCATTTGATTTCAATTGCAGTAAACTTATTAGCATTATTGGTTTTGCTTGTGTTCAAAAGACCTTCTTCAAAATGGGCTTATTTGATTTTTTCACTCCCAGCATTCTTCTGTCAATATACTTTAGAGAAAAGTGGTAGACCAATTTACGGATTGGAAAATGGTTATTCAAAGCTTATCAAACCGGGCCAAGATTTGAAAGGTGAAGGTTTATTCGAGTATATGTTTGATTGTATCTACATTACTTGGTTAATCGACTTGCTAATGATTGTATTTGGTTCCAATAAGGTTTGGTGGTTATACCTGGTAATTCCAGGTTATGCTGCTTATAAAGCTGCTTCCATTGCCAAATCCTTCTTCGGGGGTGGTGCTAAAGGTGCTGAAAACTCTAATAATACGAAAGAAGAACAAACTAGCAGTACTAAGTCTTCTAATACTAAAAGTAAAAGACAAACAAAATTAGAAGCAAGAAGAGAAAAGGGCCAAGTCCAAGTTAAAAGACGATAACTTGCTTATAATAAAAACATTCTTCATAGTTTCATCCTCTGGAATATATTTGTTAATTAATATCTTTTTGTAGATTACTCGTTCAAAAAAATGCTGAAAAAAAAAAGAGTACTATGAAAAACCAACTAAACTCGACTCAACTCTTCAAAAACCATCAAATGTTTACAAGACCTTTGTTGGGTGGCTTAAGAATCATAGGAAGACCTTCAGCTAGCAGAAGCATCTCTCAAATCATGTCGAACTCCACTACCACACAACCAACCATTATCCAATCAAAGATATCGGGTCCAATTGAATCATCAATAATAGAAAAATTAACCGATAAGTTTCATCCTTCTTATTTGAAAATTGCTAATGACTCTCATAAACATAGTCATCACGCTGGAATGGTGGGTGCTTCAAATGTGAAAGAATCTCATTTCAGAATTGAAATCATTAGTGATGAATTTTCCGGTCTCAATATGCCTTCAAGACATCGTTTAATTTATCAACTTTTAGATGACGAATTAAAAAATAAGGGTGTTCATGCTTTGCAAATGAAGACCAAGACTTCTTCAGAGGTTAAAAACTAGACCTAGGTAATTGTGTATATACGGAATATCATTTAAAACAACTATTATGTATTTGAGGTGTAGATAAGTAAAGGGCTATATAAACAACAGATGATGAATAAAATATTGATATAAAAAATATATAAAAGAAGAGAACAAACGCAAAATCAAACAAAACTTGAAAGAAAACTAATGTAAAGATAAATGAAGCCAGAGAAACGTTAAGAAAAGAGAAAAGTCAGAGAAAATTAAAGGGTATAATTAAGAGTAGATAGAGATTAACATCAACCTTGTATGAATTGTTTTTGGTATTTTTGATATTTTTTTAATTTTTTCTTTTTTTTTTTTTTCATTTAATTTTGCTTTTATTATTAATGCCAGCATGTAAGTATAAAAAGGACTATCATATTGTGAATTAGGCTTCAGCAATGGTGGCTGGATTACCGTTCAATTGAACATCATTGAATTGATCGTTATTCTCGCTTTCAGCTGCATTATTATTAGCTTCTTGAGCAGATGCATTCTTAGCAACTAATTCAACAATTCTACGAATAACTGGTAAGCTTAACCATGCTGGAACATAGGCTTCAACTCTGGAGAATGGTCTCAAATCAACAGTTCTAAATGGATCATTGAAATGACCATCGGTAGAAACCATTTCAAATAAATCTTCATTAGTAGCACCTTCATTAGCTTTAACTTTATCAGCAACAGCTTGTAAAACTTTTGGAGCAATTGGAGTTTCATAATCAGCAACATAATATTGAGAAATTAATTTTTGAATTTGAATTGGTTTTAATGCATAACAAATTTCATAAATGATTTCGATATCATCTGGAGTATTTTTACGTAATTGTAATAATTTTGCAGCTTGAAGTAAATGACTTAAATATAATGAGCCTTCTTGAATTTCATGACTCTTACACCATTCTTCCAATCTGGTAACATTATAATTTAGTTGTAAACCTCTCTTCCAAGATAAGAAATTACGTCTCATGATTAAATCATTAAAACATAATGCGTCAACAAATCTTAATAATTCAATAATAACTTCATTCATAACCTCATGTTCAATGAAATAGGATTTCATGGACCAATAAACGTTATTGAAAAAAGTTAAAATATCATCCATTTTATATTGAATACCAGGAGAAAATACTTTAGCCAAAAATGGTGAATTTTCTGGAGCCATGAATCCTGGTAAAGATTGAGATAAAACAACTGCTGAAACAGCCTTCTTTTCTAAATCTTTTTCCATTTTTTTCATCCACATATTGTAAATATTATAAGAAAGAGATTCAAAATCTTCTTTAACAACTGCAACTAATTTCAAGTATTCTTCGAATTCTTCTTCACTCATTTCATGTGACAAAGTATCATTAGCAATAATTGTTTGTTGAGCATAAGAAACAAATGAATATAATTCATGTGTATTCGATAACCAGAATGCACCATTTGGAATAACATCTTCATCTTTCAAAGTAGAAACAATTTGTTGAATTGCAGCTAAAACTTCACCCAAAAATTCTTCACTTTCTTTGGTAAGACCCAATCTCCACATATCAGATAAGATAATAATGATAATTCTTGCTGGGAATAAAACTTCTTTTCTAGTAAGATCAGCAGCAACACCGGCTGGTGGAATTTTCAAACCTTTCAATAATCCTTCAACCATTTCTCTGTGTAATTGTCTTGAATCTCTCAATAATCTGAATAATTCATCGTTTATGTCATCAATATTGGCAAAATCATCATTAGATACAGCAATAACAGAAACTGGTCTATTACTTTGATCCAATGAAGTTGGCGAATTCCAACCAATAGCACTGCTATGACGTTTACTACTGATGCTTCTAGTTTTATTGTTAACCATATTCTTTTGTTGACTTTGTAAAGTAGCAATTTCTGATTTTAATTGTTCAATATGAGTCTTCAAATCAACTTCAATGGTATCACGTTTAACAAGAGCATCTTTAGCTTTATTTAATTCTTCAATATTACGTTGAACTTCTTGTCTTAATTCAGCTTGTTCTTTAGTTAATTGTTCAATTTTTTGTTCAGCTGAAGTATATTCAGATTTAATAGATTCTAATTCTCTATTAAAATTTTCAATTTCTTTTTGATGATCAGCACCTTGAGAATCAAGTTTTTCATTAAATTCAATTTCTCTAGTTTTCAAAGTTTCACGAGCATTACTTGATTGATCAAGTAAATTTTTCAAATTAGCAATTTCGGTTACTAATTTTTTATTATCTTGAATTTTAGAAGTTAATGATTGAGTTAATTCAATCACTTTATTTTCTAATTTATAAGAAACCTCTTTCAAGTGATTAACTGATTTAGCATCAGATTTTAATCTCTTTAATTCATAACCAGCTAATTTTCTTCTGAAACAAGATTGAATTAAAACAACAGATTTCATTTGTTTTTGATAATCACGTCTTGCTAAAACACCTTTAATAGATTTTTGAATAACAATTGCTGATTGTTCACTTCTAATTTTAGTAAGATTTCTTCTTGTTTGCAAACCTCTAATTGATTTTTGTAAAACAGTAATACTATTAATGGTATTATTGAAGATTTGTCTTGAAACGTAACCTCTAACCAAAGTTTGAATTTTAATAGCAGCATTATTTTCAATTTCTTTTCTAATACGATCTCTTATAATAAACCCACGAATAACTGATTGTAAATTATTATGCGATTTTTGAATTTCCAAATATTTTTTACGATAGTAATGTTTTCTCATATTTTTTTGAATCATAACAGCAGATCTATGTAATTTATCAGATCTTAATTTTTCAAAATGAGCCAACATACCAGCTTTGAAGAAAATTTTAGTATTACCTAATTGATATTTACCTTTATCTTCAATATTATTACTCAAAATTCCATTACATAATTCGGTAACTGATTCTTGAGTAGTTTCACCAGCCATAACACCAATCCATAAGTCAGATGGAACTAAAATGTGATATCTATCAGCAAATTCAACATATGACCATCTAGATGGGAAACCAGCACAAGATATTCTAATAGTTTCTAAAACACCACAAGCCCTTAATTGAGACAACACCATTAATGAGTCAAATTCCCAGGCTTTTTTTTCTTCGTTTGGTTTTATACATCTAATATAATGAACATTTGTAGAATCAATAGTTTTCATAAGTTCAATTAAAGAATTTTTAAACATTGAACCTAAAGTTGGTTTTTTACTAGCAATGGATTTTCTACCATTTGCCACTGGTGGTTTATTTGCTTCTAAAGCAGCAGCAGTTTTATCAATAATTGATAAAACATCAATTAATAAAGGATTGGTTGAATTTTTCATAACTTCTAAATGACCTTCACCAACAGTATCTCTATTTTTTTCGATAAATCCATCAATATCATAAGTAACATCAAGAGCATAATGACTAACAATAAATTTAGTTTGACCAAATCTTGGTTTTTTGAAAACTTTATTAGTTGGTTCTTTATCTAAAGTTTGATACATTTTTTCAATCCAAGATTGATCATTACCAGCTGGTAATCTTGATTCTTCATCTAAAAGAGATAAGATACCTAATCTACTTTCGATTAAATTGATACAAGGTTGATTATCAGCAAAATCAATAAAAGACCATTCAATTTCTTCTTTAACATATTCTTCTTGTTCTAATTTGAAAACATGTTGATTGAATTCTTGTTGTAATTTTTCATTAGCATAGTTAATACAGAATTGTTCAAAAGAATTTTTTTCAAAATGTTCAAAACCATAAATATCTAAAACACCAATAAATGATTTTATATTAGCAGCAACTTCTGGAGGACATAAATCAGTATTAACATAATCAACTAACCAATCAAATAATGCAGAATAAATATATTTTGAAAAAGAATCTCTGGCAACTAAAGCTTGTTTATGATTTAAATTACTAACAATTTTTTCTGATCTAGTAGTAATTTGTTTTTTAACACACCATTTACTAAAAGAAAAAGCATCAATACCTAAAAGATCACAAGCTTTAACTAAATTAGGTTCATCAGAAGATAATAAAGCATCATTTCTTGTAGCAGTAATTTCAATATTACCTAAATGTAATAAAGCCGCTAAAATTTTATAAATTTCTAATTGTTTTGAATCATCTATACCAATTAAAGCTAAAGCATCTTTGGTAATTTTAAATTCAGCAGCATCATCAACACCTTTAATGTCAGGATTACCACCTTGATTAGTATATTTATAATCCGAAGCACTAGTTAAACCAAGAGCCAATTTATCATCTTCATTCATACCAGCTAATAATTGATAAAAAATATGATAATTTCTTTCACTTGAAGGTTGGAAAACTAATCTTGATCTTTCTAATAAATAAGTTCTAATTCTAGCACCGATAATAGAAGTTTTATTATCGAATAAAATTTCCAAATATTTACCAAAACGAGAAGAGTTATCATTTCTAGTAGTTTTAGCATTACCAAAAGCTTCCATAATTGGATTAGTGGCTAAAATTTGTTTTTCAACATCAGACATATCCGATTTATGTTCAGTACCAATATTATTTTGTAATTCTGATTCTTCTTCAACCGAAGCAAAATATCTCATAATATATTTAGCACTTACGGTTTTACCAGCACCAGATTCACCACTAACAACAATGGTTTGATTATTACCATCCAATTTCATACATCTATAAGCATCTTCAGCAATAGCAAATAAATGAGGATCCAATTCACCTCTTCTTTTACCAGCATAAGCTTGAATAATATCTTGAGTATATAATTGATCAACTCTTTGGAAAGGATTAGTGGCAATCAAAACAATACCGGAATAAGTATAAATATTCAATTGAGAATAACGAAGTTTAATTGCATGTAACACTGCTGGTTCATTAAGATAAGATAAACTAGTTAAATCTTCTGCAGCTTCTAAAATAGGAGGGTTTCTTAATGGGGGTAATTTATCGTTATCTTCATTTAAACTATCGGCCTCCACGGAGAAAACCAATTCTTCATCAGTTTCTGAAACAAATTCTAATATATATTTCTCACCTTGTTTATTATTTGATTTAACAGAGGCACCTATCCAACCTAGTTTTTCATCAGGATACCAACAACGGGTACCAACGTCATATGCAGAAACCATGATGGATATTCACTTCAAATATACATACACTTTCTATGAAATCAGTATATGAAATAATTCAAGTTAATGAATCAAATAAAACCAAACTGGGCAAAAGAACAACAAATCAAAAAGAAAAAATCAAAATAGAATTGTAGTAAACGAGACAATAAACTATGATTTGATCTGTTTAATCAAGATACTTGAGTGAAACTAGCCTTTAATTGATTAAATAAAAGCGGGCGGCTAATATTAGCTAGCTATAAAGAAAGTTTGGGAAATGGGGGGAAAAAAAAAAAAAAAAAGCGGGTGGTGGAAGTGAGTGGGAAAGACGGATGGATATGAATAATTACCTAGTGAGTGAAGAGGGAATGGTAATGGTAGTGGATGTATAAAGAGAAAGAAGGATGTTGATACTTTTCTGAAACTATGTGCTGTTGATGTTGATCTGAGCGGGTAGCCTTTTTTTTTTAGTGCGGTGTGTTAAAACCACTAACAAAAACAGACGAATCGTTTATTTAGGGATAAATCCAGTGGGGCGCGTCTTTGTAAACAACCCGTGCACCGCGCAGTATCATCATCTTCAAAGCACCCGTGCACCTACAGTAATTTGAACACTAAATAAATATCTAATAAACTATAGCTTTGCATCTTTAAAAGGAGAGCTGATCAAGGGTTCGTAGACTCCGCCAAAGAGTTTATCTTCGGGGACGTATGCCGGGACGGATTGGGTTTCGACAAAGGAGTCGTTTAGGTCGGAGATTTTGGTGGCACCCAATAATCTCATATTCATAAACATTTCGTCCTTTAAGATTTGCATGGCCTTGTAAACCCCGTCGACCCCGTAGGTGGACATGGCATAGAGGAAAGGACGGCCAATGCCGACCCCCTTGGCGCCCAAGCAGATTGCCTTGAGGATGTCACTAGCACGACGGACCCCACCATCGACATAGACTTCCAATTTATCCTGGCAATTTTTCAGTTTAAGAATGGGCATTAATTCGGCCAAAACTTGAATTGGAGGTTTGCTGAACTCCAATTGTCTACCACCATGGTTTGAAAGAACAATGCCGTCGACCTTATGGTCGAGGGCCTTGAGGGAGTCCTCGACGGTTTGGACCCCTTTCAAAATGATGGGCATTTTAGTGATGGATCTAAACCAAGCAATGTCTTTCCAGGATAACGAGGTATCGATAAACGAACTGATTGCCCGTGCCGCCCCCTGGGTCCGATCGGCGTCCTCGTCATCTCCTTGAACATGACTTAGGTCCTCGACGTTTTTCAGTCTCATATCTTTTTCCCGACGGCCCAATTGGGGAGCGTCCACCGTGATGAACAACCCCTTGATGCCCCTGCGTTCGGCGTGCTGGACGATCTTGCGGGTGATTTCGTGGTCACTATTCACGTAGAGTTGTAACCATTGGGTTTGTTGATCAACGGCCGCGTCCACAATCTCATCGAACGAGCAGGAAGCCAACGTTGGAATCATTTGGATAATGTCCTGTTGAGCACTGGCCCGGGTCAACACCGTTTCCCCTTCGGGATGGCCCAACTTCCCCAAGGCCGTGGCGGTGACATAAAAGGGAGCACTGCACGGGGTGCCCAACATGGTGGTGGATAAATCGATATTGGTGACATCCACCAACACCCTTGGCTTGAAGAAAATCCGATGGTAAGCCAAGTGGTTATCACGGAGAGTGATTTCATCGTCGCATCCACTGCTGTAGTAGGCCCAAGCGGTTTTCTCCATCGTGTGTCTAGCAACAAACTCAAAATCGCTCAAGTTATAGATCTGGCCCAAATCCGGCTTGAGCTTCACCATTTGGCGTCTCTTCAACTCCTCCTCGGTGGGTGGTTCGTCGTCGTCGTCGTCGTACTCTTCCTCCACACTGATCGTAGCCGACGTTGGCACCGGGATCGGTTGTTTCCCGTCTTGCTCATCATACTCAACATCAAACTCATCAACAATGTCATCCTTAGCATCCTTGACATCTTTGACATCGTTGACATCTTTCACCTCCTGTTTCACCTCCTGTTTCACCACCTTCTTGGTTTTCTTCCTCTTCTCCACCTCTCCCAAATGATACTTGGGGGCCAAATACTTCTGTAACGTGTCCCCAGGATGAACTGGATCAAACACCTTGGTTGCATCCTTCCCGGCATACTTCAAAATGATCGCAGACCCTCCAGGGTGTTCATCAATAAAGTCACTGACGTCATACGCCTTATCGTGGATAATGACCCAGCAATCCTTCTTGGTGTTGTGCTTACTCACTTCTTCAATCGAAAGCATCCTTACCCGGGTACCTACACCTTCCAGGGGAATTATTGCTACTTTATATACTCTGCTAATCTCCTTTTCCGACCCCACAAGACCTACGCCCGTACCCCCGGTTCTCTTATCAGTAACAATTTTTTTAACTCGGGACGATTCCATGAGCGGAGCACGACATTTTTGACACCGAAAACACTTGTTGCCCGGACCCGTTACGTTTACTACTGGGTCTCCACCACCCACAGACCACTGCCGGAGCACTGGACTGTGCCAGAGAAACACTGGACTGTGCCGGAGAAGCACCAGGTACGGTCCGTGGGTAGTTGGGGAGTCAAAAGGAAAAGGTAAAAACCAACGAACAAACAAAAAAAAATCCTTTACAAAAAACGAACAAAAAAAAAAAACGAACAAAAAAACGAACAAAAAAAAAAAAACCAAAAAAAAAAAACCAAAAAAAAAAACCTTCAAAAAAACTTTTGCTCTCTCAAAAAAATTGGATTCATTAGCTTCGAAGTTTGAATCAGTTATTCTTTTCATTTTGATACTATCACCAAGCAAGTAATATCAAACATCATTAATCATATAATCAAGCTAGTCGAGGTTGGGCGTTTGACATTTTGTTGACGTTGTCTCTTTTCTGTCATCCCCTGTGCTGCTTTCGTCTTATTAATAGAAAGGTATCTTGAATCGTGGACTAGTGATTGTGGACTAGTGATATATAGTGGATTTGAATAGAGTATAGTGATATTGGTATAGTGATATTGGTATAGTG